AGGCGATGAATCGGTACGTTCTTGAAGCGCCAGATTGCTGGCACCAATTTAAGCCAGTGAGAGTTGAGAGGAGATTGTTGGAAGGGAGAGCAGAGAAGGACGTTAGCGGCGGCGATGGAGGGAGGGATCAGGATGGGGACAAAGAGAACGAAGTCCAGCTTTTCTCGTGAGGCGGATATTTGGTTAGGACAAGTATGAGGGTGGTGCCACCTGACATTGGCAAGGCTGAAACAAGGAGTATAACCTATACACGGGCTTGACACGGGGCAGAGGGCATCACTATTAGCGGCAGGCGTAGGTGCTTTATTTTGGGGTATGGAACTGATATCATGATACTGCCACCTATGTATTTGGCCAGTCTGTGGCGAGTTTGTCCCCCGGCCCAACTCAGAGAGAAGTGGATTATGTGACGATCTGTGGACCACATTTCCTGACCGAAGTAGATGCATTGGTCGAGAATGTCAATCCTCATTCCATACGTTATGATCCCATCGGGGCGACAACTCGTGTACGCTCTTGCAAGGGCTGTCTCCTTAGCGACCCAACTCTACCGAGGACTGGGTATCACTCATACCATCTGTCGAAGCGATTTTGCTCCATCCTGGCCATCTTGGCCGAGAAGAAGGTCTCCGTATTTGGTGCTGTGGCCGTTTTTGTACTGGCCACGGTGTTGGGTCTCTTGTCATTGTGTAATGACATGGAGAGGATGCTCTTCTTTGGCCTTGAGGTAATAAACCGAGCCTTAGTTTAATCTCGGGCGCTCGGGCGGGTACCACGGCTGCCTGCAATGAATCACGAGCTGAAACGGACCATCAGACCAACAAACACCTTTGTCCGCCATCTTCCCTCGCTGTAGGATCACGCTGTTGCCATGGGCCATTTCGTCCAAGGCTAAAAGTGCTCCGTATTTATGCCGACATCAGGCCATATCTGCCAATACGAAGCCACAGTTTGACTTGTAATTTTGGTAGATGTGGTGTGAGTTTGGGTGAATGTGGTCATGCGCAAGTGTCCCTACGTGCGTAGCATCAATCCCTAATGCATGACGTCTGAGAAGAAGTACTCCGTACTGGGTACTTGTCGCTGAGTCAAATGGGCGTCATGAAAAGGTTGGTTCGTTTGGAAACTATCTGGAGTGAGCAAGGGGCTTAAAAAGTTCTGTGTTTGATGATTGGTTACCGCAGTGCCAGTATCAAGTCTCCTAGGCCTATTAGGCGAGTTAGTCGTTTCTAAGTATTACTTAGTGGCTCGTTCGCAAGTGTTCAAGTGGATGCATGTGAGAGACCAACCAATGAGGTGGTTACAAAGCGGACCTGTATCAAATAGCTCTCTCGCAGTGTTGTTTTAAATATTATAGCTAGATCCCGTACCTAAGTGTCGATGTGTCTCTCCATCTGCGGTGAAGAGCTTCAACCTCTGAGGCGAGTAACCAAGGTAACTGTAAGTTCATCTCTGGGATAGATTGCCATTCCTCGACATCGTGGTTAAACAGTGAACGATTTTGTTTGCCCGGGGACTTGCTTGCTTCGGCTTTAATGTGGAGAGAGAGGCGGCGGTAAAGTGTGTTTCAGATAATATTGTTCGTAGGGTCGAAAACTAGTAGACTCGCGCTCCTGCCACGATCGAAGCTGCGCGCGTAGAAGGCAAGGGTGGTTGTATGACTTGTTGACGCTCTTGTCGGTGATCAGGCTGTAGGTCGTCGACAAGAGAATCGTCATCGTTGCGAAGAGGAGACTAGTCAGGGAAAATGAATTGCTGATGAAGTAACCGATCAGAGCCACATGGAAGAGAAGGAGGAAATGCACAACGCCTTGGAACCAGTCCACGCAAATGCCGATATAGAGAGCTGCAGCCACAAGGATTCCTCCAAAGATAATGAAGAACAGGCTGTCCTCGAAGGTTACTACTGGGGGGATGTGATGAACGGTGTAGAGATTGTCCACCACGAAGAGGTTGCACCCGATATTGAAAGGGAGGACAAGGATGTAGAGTAGGACGTATCGTACGAGGAGAGAGACGAAAGCAAACCACCACTTGTGGTGCTGGCGCTGGTGGCGGAGAAAGTTTGGGGCGTTTGCGTCTCCTTTTTTGGCTGTCTTCCCTTCATTATGTCTTTGGTATGTTAGATCGTCCTCTCTTATGTTTGTTAGATCGGCCTGTCGGGAGTTTGGATCGTCCTGTGTTGTGTTTGTTGGGTCGTGCTCTCCCTCGTTTGCCGAGTCGTCCTCTTGGGAAAATAGGCGGCTCGCTTCGTCATAGTATCTCTGATTGACTGTCCAGTGCAAGCTTGCAGTTTCGCCACGCCGTGTTTCTTCCCAATAATGGTTTGGAATCCAGAGGATGAGGAAAACGGCAAATATCGCCGAGTTAGCGACCGCTTCACCCCTCCAGACCTTCCATGCCTCGACCCAGCGGCGTAGGCCTTCTCTATGTTCTGATAAAGTTAACCGTAAATATATCGTCGCTGGAAGGATCGAAACAACTAGAAGAGTGCAGACAGTGAAGAGATGGACCAGTTTTGGGGACTTCTCGGAAATCTTATGGTTGGCGACAGCCAAGGCAACGACGGCGCCGATAAAGAAAACTGCGAAGCCAAAAGTATCTGTACGGTGCGGCGTGTATTGGTGAGACATGTTTGTCTCGATGATTCACGAGAGGTGCCATAGGGGACCGATGACAGCATGCTTGAATCAGGATTTATAGTCGGACAATGAGCAGGTTCAGAAGTTGCATGATGGGGGTTGAGCCATCCTAGCACTCCACCATCAAGATTCGAGAGAATCGTGTCACTGGTGGCCCATTTGTTACAAGACCTTTCCCCTATTTCGATCTTGCGGACCAGGAGTCTCTTTAGCGGGTGAACGTGCCCATGGACGAATGAAAGTCTCAGCAAAGTCACACGGTTTTCGCAAGAAAGTCCAACAGAATGAATGGTGTTTACAACCTCGAGACATTTGCATAATGTCGGCATGGGACTAACTCACCCCGGCCAAAGATCGGACTTCTGGATCGCCTGGTGAGCCTCAGAAGGCGTAACCAAGCAGACCACGTATTTGCACTTCGAAAATTCCCGCGTGCCCTTGTCGAGTCCCCCCCCCCCTTTTCTTCCTCTCGGGTGGCCCGTTGCTCACGAAAGAACAGAATTATGGTGGGTTTCCTACTGGCACCGGCCACACCAGCCATCTCTTCTTTGATGGTTGTTTGGGCTTCATAACTTCTTCGGATAGTTTCTCGATCTTGTCCTTAAGTTCATGGACTTGGGTCTTCAGAGCTTGGAGGTCTGTCATCATAACAGTCTGCCCTTCGCCTAACTTGTCGATCCTCAAGATCAAAGGTTGCAAATCTGGCTGCTGCATTGAACTGCTCATCATCCTAGAGAATTGTGTTAGTTTCAGTTGAATCAGTTGTGGAAATAGGACTTGACTAGGTTGGAATTCATATTAATGAAACGGCTGTTCTCAGCTAGCTCCAGAAAGTGAGATTTTGGTCGAGACAAGCATGATCGCACCTTTCATCTATATCTGCCGTGTTCCTAACCAAATGTGCTTCATGCAGTTGCTCAGCACATAATTCTCCGTTTCGTTGTGGATTGGTATCGTGCAATCCAGCACTTTCAGGCCCGACTCCGTCTCCAACCCTGTCTGGATGGATTTGATCCTTTTGAGGCATTCCGCCTTTGATCGAACCGGTGCGACCGCGAGAGGTCCTCTTAGACTTGGGATTCCTCCTTTAGGTTGTTCTGATGGCGATAATTGTATTCGATACTGGGTGATAAGATTCCCTTCTGATGCAGGCCGAATATATATTATCTCAAGGCGCCATGATGTGGCGTGACAAGGTTGTGGAAAGATCCTTTTGTTAGCTTCCTGGTGTGGAATTACCTTGGCCTATGCCTTTATTAATGTTGCCAGTGCTCGTGGGTGTCTGGTGACCATGGACTATAATGTACCTGTGAGCTATCGTCCAATGACCACCCCATGGTCCTGGATTAACAGTACTGGTATGTCCCCTTTGCCAAAGGACATACTGGAAGTACGGGGTAGGCTGTGTCTCCATATTTTTCTTCCAGATCGGCCGACAGCTCAAAGTCACAAGAGAAAAAGCTCGCCGATCGATTGGTCCTTCTGCCACCTTGCAATTAATCGGAACCGGTTCTTCTGCGGATCTACTTATCCTAAGCCCGGTGTTTTGGAGACCGACGATACCGGACCCGTTGTCCCTCGGCCCGCGTCGAATCGAGTGCTATCCAATTGACACTGAGGGAGGACGGAAGATTCCCTGGCTAAAGACGTGTTCCTGCTGGTCTGAAGGAAGCCTGCTAACTTATATTAACCTGCTCTTTTCTGAGGGGCGTTGAAACAACGGAGCGCCCTTGGTTCAGGAGGATGCCTATTTCCTCGACTTGGCCCAATATATGATTCTGAAATTCAGGGAGACTCCTGAGATATCCAAGCCCTTCCGGGAAGAAGAACGCCTTGGACATCCCGTTGCGATGTTCAACTTTCGTCGGATGGGTCAAGGCGGGACGCGGATCAGGCCCCTAGACAAAGAAAATAAAAGGCGGCGGTCGATCGAAGAAACAACGGAAAGGTCGGCACTTGGTTCGGGATGAGAAGGACGAGCGTCAGGTAAATGTCCAACGAAGGTCGGATGCTCATCTGTCGAATGTCTTCACGTTGAAAGAGACGCGATCCTGGTGCCGAATGGAGCTTGTTGACGACGGACACCAAGGAAGATTGCGGTAGTGTCGGTGATATGTACGAGCGACGCTGGAACTAGGACGTCGACCTAACTCTCAACCTCTCTACAATCAATATGGCGCGCGTTTGGGAAGCAAAAGAATGTTATGTAAGTAAAGCTTGTTTCATTTCCGTCTCATTTTGAGACAACTTGCCTCCGACTCTTCTCGCAACGCATTTTCTCCCTTGCAATATGCCGTTGGTATCGCCTCATATCCGCCTGATGTGTAGGCGTGTCCAAACGGACCCCAGCGCACCCCCCTAGTGCTTGTATACCTCCTGACTAGCTGGCGGGAGGCGGCTGTTCACTGCGTAATAGGTGTCGCGGCCGCCTGCCACGCCGGCGGTCCTCACCGCCCATGCGCCCACGTTGTGGCCGTGTGTCCACCCCTTTAAATTCATGCAGCGCTCGTGCGCCCAAACTCTTCTTACCGGCCTCTCCCTTAAGAAGGGGAGGTCGATGTGGTTGCCGTCGACTGTATTAACTCGAGAGGTAGCATGCCATTTGGATTTTTTGATCGGCGTGTACTTGAGACAGATCCAGCAGAGACGGCGATTTCGAGGGAAGTACGTCTCGAGTTGCAACATTAGGATTCGTCGATCCGAAATGTGCGGAGTGTATCGCCGCTCGCTGTTTGGCCCTGGGGTGCGCCACTCCACCAGAGATGGACGATCAGTGAGATCAGTCTTGGAAAGGCTAGTGATGTCGGCGAAGTGTTTGCTGGTAAGGCCTAGGACAATTCGGGACGGCTTGTCGAGATGGTCCATGATCTCGAGTTGCAGGTCGGTCGGAAGGTTCCACAGTCTCAGCTTGGGGATGCTGCTTGCATTTTGGGTTCTAATCTGGCGTCTTCGGCGAGCGCGACCACTAAGAATCTGGAAGATCTTAGTTGGCGACAACGGCGAAGCCAGAAATTGAGTACTCACACGATGTGGGACAGCGAATTTCGCATGGCGACGGATGACTCGAGGTGCAGTGGATGGGTCTGGTGGAGCACATCGTCGCTTGGGGCGAGCGAGAAGACTGAAACCAACGGAGAAAGCGACTCGTGTCATGCTGACTTGAGGAGAGGATGTACCCGGTCACAGGTTTCGAGACCGGAAAGGAAAGGTAACGCCTGACAAGATGTTTGTGCTCGATGAATTGAAAGGCCGAGGAGAAGAGGTAAGACAGGGTCGGGCAAAATTTAGGAGTCGACGAGAGACTGGTGTTGACATGGGCAGTTTCTGCGAACATTTTGACTTGTGTAGTGAAGTGAATTACCCCCAGCACATCACCTGCCAGGCCATGGGAGGCCAAACATCTTTTGATGCCGCAACCTCGTCCACAACAACCAAACACCTGCCGCCGTGCCCAACACGCCTGTTCCGGTCGCAGCAACCAGAAAAGTCGTAAGTATACGCTTCTGGCTCTTTGATCTCTTGATGACCTCGCTGTATCTCATGTTGCTGAAGCTGACTCGCGAATATTGGGTTGCCCATCCCAAGCTAGGGACATACTTGTCGAGCCTCTCTTCGATGAACTTGCGCAACTTGTACAATGGAGACGTTACAGAAGAGCGCATCTCGATGTAATTCGCCAACGCCAAGTCTGCAATGACGTGCGTGTCCTCAGTTCGTTCGACGCTGTATTTGGCGAGGGCTTCTGCTCTGTTCGAGGTCTCGTCGAGCTTAGAGAATAAAACGCGAACCGATTCCAATCCTGCATTCATCCCTTGACCATAGAATGGCACCATTGCATTGGCGGCGTCACCGACGATGACGACACCATCGCCGAAATGGTGCGGCGAACATTTGATACTGATCAGCGGCAGGTGTGGGTTGCGCTTAAACTGGGCCACCAGGTCCGCAGGTGGGATAAATGTGGTCACTCCGGGAAAATACTTGTCAAAGGTCGAGATCAGCTCCGCATCTGTCCCGTTCTCGAGCTTGGTGAACAGCTCGACAGGCCCAAAGAGCGTGCACACAAAAGTATTGTCGAGATTGGGGAGGGCGATGAACATGAAGCTGCCAGCCGGCCAGATGTGCAGGTAAGTTGGGGGCATGGCGTAACCCCCCTCCTTGGTCGGGGGCATGGTGAACTCGCACCACAAGCAGTCAATATATATTTGAGAATAGTCCATGCGGGCGAACTTCATCATATGATGCCTCGTGGTAGAATGGGCACCATCTGCACCGATGCAGAAATCGAAAGACACCTCGATCTCCTGAGGACGGTCCGACGGAGTGGTACTGGTCTTGTCCATCACTTCAAACCAAGCCTTCTTCTTCCGGAAATCCGCGCCTGTCATCTTGTGCTGGAAGAAGAACTCGACATTGGGTAACGAGTCCAGATGGTCGAGGAGGACCTTGTTGAGTTCCCCACGGTCCACAGAACGCTGAAACCGGCCACGAACGTCATATGCTTGGGACTGTTGAAGTAAAGCGCCACTGGAGGAGCGGAGGTGGATCATTCGCCCATACATGCGGATCGTCCGCGCCAGGATCTTGTCAAGAAGATCGGCGTTTCCCGTTGACCGGATAGCGTCGATGCCCCGCTTGGATAAGGCGAGATTGATTGACTTGGTGAAATTGAGAGGCGTCGTGTCCGCATTGCGAAGGTCTAGGAGGAGACAACATCGGTTAGTATCATGAGGAGAGGGGAGGGGCAGAAGAGATGGAGGTTGAGAAGTCAGCCCTTGAAGAGCCTGCCTCGGGTCGTGCAGAAAATCATCAGGGAACGAGGCAGCAGCAAGGTTAATTGATCTGGGCAGTGCAATTACCGTCACGCAGCTCATATATCTCCACCACGGCCCCGCGAGAGGAGGCATACAGTGCCGCCAGCGATCCGACCGGGCCAGCACCGACCACCACCACCTTCTTCCCCTCCATTCTTTCGTCAAAAAAAGACAGACAAGACAGAAACTGACGGAGAGAGTAGTATGTACGGGTGCGGCACGACCCTAGAAGAGAGACTCTTGGACAAGGAGAGTGATGAAAGTGATGAATCCAAGTCGTGAATAAATTCAGATGAATGTTGGTCACGAAATGGTGTGACGCTTGGTGATGACATTCGGTGTCGGCGCGACTTCGGCTATACTTTAGTAAGCTAGGAGGGAAGCTTATCCGAGAGGAGCTGCTTGGCAAGGCTGAGGAGTCTCAGGAGCGGCCAGCATCAAGTACCTCGTATCTCGCACTGGCATACCTGTTGCAGCAATAGACGTCGGAAGAAGTCCATATGGTGTCGCTGGGTCGACAATATCCTCATGCAGCTTTTAGTTATTGTCATTGTTTGCCCTCATCTAAAAAGCCAATCATATCGTGATTTCTGGGATGCTGTCGATCGCAGACCCCCATTGTCGGATAAGTCCTTTGCCGGCGGATGTTCTTTCTGTGTGGCCCGACACCTTCGCTTAAGATCAGAACGACTTCCATTCACTGTTCTGCCTCCAGCATTGAAAGAAGCGGGTGACAGGAATTTCCGCCATGGAGTCAGAATATCGTTGTGAAAGCGCAAGGAGACCTGTCAAAATTGTAAGCTCACTCCAGCGGAAGAAAGTCCAAGGGTGAGTCCTGGACCAGTTCTTGTTCCTGACAAGGCAAAGGTTGTCGCAGGAGCAAGCGGTTTAATTGGAAAGAGGCATTTACAGCATGTCATTGATGAGCCGGAAGCAGGTATGTCCGCGAACTATACGAGATAGGGCTCGTGCTGACGAACTTCGAACAGAGCTCGTTGGAATCATGTAAGTTCATTGTGCTGCACATATCAACCTTCAACGAGGACGCTGCTGGTGTTGACTACTACAGTGACCCCGCCGCTATCGGCTTTGAACTTGCAAAGCAATATCAGCTTCCATGCTTCCAAAATGTGGCCGACTTTCTAGCCTCACTGAAAGCCGGAGCGATCTCCGCAGATGCAGTCATCTTAGCCACTCCGAACGGTACACACGCACCTCTGGCAACAGATCTTGTGGTGGCAGACGTATCAGTACTAGTGGAGAAGCCACTGACCGCAACGGGTGCTCAGGGACGTGATCTCTTAAAAGCCCGCAGTTCAGTTGCTGGTGGGAAGGGTCTGATCATGGTCGGCCACCACCGGAGACACAATCCATACACCGTTGCTGTCAAGAAAGCAATTGACGAGGGGCGCCTCGGCAGCATTGTCGCCATCAATGGAGGTACAGAGCGCTTTTCCCATCCGAACCCACGTCTATTGGAGATATCGTTGCTGATGAGCCGATAGTCTGGGCAATGCGCAAGTCAACGGAATACTTCAATGTAAATTGGCGGCAGCAACTAGGGGCTGGAGGAGTTGTACGAAGCCGCCACTCCCTGAAAATATTCTCTCTCCCTTGCCGATTTCGTTGACAAGGAAGCCAGGTCTTGAATAACGCAATCCACGAAATCGACCTCCTTCAGTATCTACTAGGCGATATTGTCGAGGTCTACGCTGTCGAAGGTGTCAAAGAGAGACCCTACCCGGTAGACGAGACCGTCCTTTCTACCATGAAGTTCGCGAGCGGCGCAGTGGGATCGTTCTTGTTTTCTGAGTAGGGGAAGCTCATTCACTCATACCTCCTCGAGCGGAAAAGCTAGCAGCTAATACTCTTGGCCATCGGAACAGCACTGCGACATCACCGAACTCTTGGGAAGCGGCAACGGGGGAGAATCCTCACATTCCCGCCGCTAGGGAGACTTGTCTCACGATCTTTGGCACGCAAGGGTCCATAGGAATCCCCTCGCTGTAGGTTTTGTTTTATAGTCCAGCTCCTTTATCTCGGAACCTACTGGTTGCCCCCGATACGCCCCATGACTAATGCTCGAGCCTTTCCAAAGGACCCGGTTCCACCAGGACGATCGTCCGCTAGAAGAGCAGAATTGGACTTTCCCACTATCAAGAGACGAGACATTGAAGGAACAGGTAGACGGTACACCGCCTCTATCTCGCCAACTCAAGCATTTCGTCGCCGCGGTGCGCGGTGAAGTGCAGCCCAACTGCTCCGCCGAAGAGGGGTTAAGAGCAGTGATGGTGGTCGAGGCGATTTTGAAGAGTTTGGCGAAGCACGAACCTGTCATTGTGGAGACGGTGTAAATCTATCTACCAGATAGAGAAAGATTGAGCCAGTGAATGTCGAGCTCAAGGACTCAAGATATATAGCGCTCCTTTGATCCCTGCTTTATCAGTTGCGAGGTATAGCGTCAGTGAACCAGCCGCTCATGATTCGTCGTGAAAACTGCAGCAGGGTTAAGACTAATCCAACATACCCCGTATCCGCTAAGGCCCGCTTGCGACATCATGGACTAAGTAAGATGCTTGGGGCATGGACGATCAATGTCTTGAGGAATCGCGATTCAGGACACTAAGATTGTTTGCGTAGAGTCCTTCCGACAATCCAGAACGGGGACCGCCACCGTCTCTTGAAGGAAGCATATCGAGGCAACCAACTGCTCACACATAGGATGCCAAAGAGAGACTCTTACGTCAATTCCACGCCCCTAGCCGGGGGGCTGTAGCCTCCTGTGAGCCTCTGGACCTTGGCCACCATCGCTGGGAAGTCGGCATCGCCACCGCGTAAAAGTACTTGGAGAGATTTCCGAAGGGGCTTAGAGATGTTGCTTTTGGTGATGCCAAACCCCGAACAAATATTCTATGGCTCGGATTACACGTTCACCCCCCGTGACGCCCTCGTTGCATCGAAGAAAATGATAGACGATGCTCTGCTGAAATTCTTCAGGGAGGACGGCGCAGACAAGATCACGAAGAGAAATGTTGAAAGCATCTTTGAAAAGGTCGAAGGGAACGTAGAGGAGATCGAGACTCACCTTTAGTGGCAAATGCTAGTACGTAGCATAGTCCTCCACAATCTGTGCAGTGGGATGGGGCATGAATAACCGTCTTGGAACAAGGGCGAGCAGGTGATATCGTATACGTTGTGTTCTTCTTGCTTTCCTGATATAGGGGGACAGGTATGATGAATTTGAAGCTAAGCAAAGAGCGTTGAAGCCATTGCCAGATGTTTCGCGGTATCCAAGCCTGACAGTAAGATGAATCGCCTGTATTCTTATGCCCACGATTGTGTATGCAGTGGCTCCCACTCGAGTACATCGTCCTCAATCCAGTCGCTCCATCCTGATTGATCATACATTCATCTCGTCGTTCATGATATTGTTACGCGATGTTGGCCGGGTGTAGCGAGCTCATTGCATCGCCCGACTCGGTGTCGGGAGAGAGTATGCCAAAGTTATCCATGTCAGGTGCAATGCTGCCCTCAATGCGCCGCCTGGCTTCCTGTCTATCCTCCATGGTAATGCTGCTCTCGTCCTTCTTCATGTCCGGCCTATGCGGCTCAACATTCGGTGAGTGTCCAATAGACATACCAGCACGGATCTGAGTAGTAGACAATTAGTAACATGGGTAAACTGAATGCATTTCCTGTAGAACCTACCAGTGTTTCGAGAGCTCCAATGCTGTTGTCGACAAGGTCTCCGTCGTAGACCATCTTTCCCGGCTCGAAGAACAAGAGAATGGTACTGCCGCCAAACTTGAAATATCCAAGCTCTTCAGCTCGTTTGACCCGATCCCCCGGTTTCCGGGTAATAACCGTTGAGCCGACCATCATTGCACCAATGCAGACGTACATGACTCTGCCGTGGGCAACGGAGTCGATGGGTACCAAAACCCTGATATTTTCACCGTAGACATCCAATGCCGATCTGATCGCCATGGGATTGACTGTGTAGTATTCACCCTCGATGGCCTTTGGTGTTCCCAAGGTACCGTCGACCGGAATGTGGAAACGATGATAATCTTGAGGCGCAAGTCTGAAAATGCCCATACTGCCGCCTTTGTATCGTTTCGCTTCTAATGGATATGCCTCACCAAATAGTTTCTCGAGCGAGTAATCTCTGCCTTTGACCCAAATTCGTGTCGCATCATCGATGGTATTGAACACAACGGAGCGACAATCTGCAGGAGAGACGATGATTTCAGCTCGTTCTGGTGCACTGCAAGGCCGAGCGTGGGGTTTCAAAGCACGATAGAAGAATTCGTTGAAATTCTTGAACTCGGAAGTTGGGAGGAGCACTTCGGACATGTCGAGCTGGTGGAAGGCAATGAATCCGGGAATTTGCGCCACCGAGGCTGGATCATCGAACTTCTTGCCCTGTTTGACTGATAACGATCGCAGCATCTTTTTGATTCTTTTCTTCTCCATTTCGCCCGCGCCCAAGCCTTTATAGAGCAAGCGGATGCCAATGCGAACGTATACAGACATTCGTTCTTCATTGATCTGCCCCGTAATCCGATCTTGAACAAGAATGTTCGCGCTGTTAGCGCCCAGTCTGTAGCCTCCGTAACTGATCTTAGTAATGACCTTGGAGTACCACTTCCGCTGAGCTTGGCTCTGTGTCACGAAACCGCCCATTACTAGATTATTGACCTGCCTCCAATCTGAGCTGGCACAGGTAGCAATGTGCGTTATGATGTCGGCTTCGGTGCGTTTGTTCAATTTTGGTTGATGGCATATGGGACACTCCCGAATCTCGATGACATGTTCTTCGTCTCCTTCGTCCGCAAGGTCATTTCCGAGCAATTTGCCCTCCTCACCAGCAGCCCCAGTCGCCTCTTGTGTAATAGTTGGCACTTCATCATTGTTGCTAACTTGCGGGGGAATGACATCCTTCTGTGTCGAAAATATTTCGGCGCTCTTGATCTTCTCGAGCTGGGACTTCTTTTCACTGCTCTTCTGCAATTGTTCCTCTAGACAAATCACTGCTTGGTCAAAGGTCAAATCTGCCTCCCCAACGTCTTCATTTTCGGCGGCAAACCTCTTGAAGAACCGGTCAATCGTTGATTCTTTCAGAGTCGACCCGAGCGTATCAAGCATCGTGGTGAATTCGATTTTACTGATCCGCCTACTGTCATCGGCATCATACTGCTTCAGCATTGCCCTCCAGAACTGCTGCCTCAGCGCCTTGTAAGACAGATATCTTCCTCGGATGTGGAGCTCGGGACTATGCTTGTCTTCCCATCGTTCCTTATTCTTGAGTTCCAATGGGATCACGTAGGGTATCATCGTTGGGTCTTCTGCGGGTTGAGGTTGGGGGAGGTCAACGCCAGGAGGAATTTTCAGATTGTTTCCATTGTTTCCGTTGTTTCCGTTGTTTCCGTTGTTTCCATTGTTTCCGTTGTTTCCATTGTTTCCGTTGTTTCCATTGTTTCCGTTGTTTCCGTTGTTACCATTATTTTCAGACGGCATACTCGTTGGCGGCGGGGGCCGACTGGCATCGTCACTACTTGTACTGTTATTCGTGCTGGACAGTGATACTTGAGAGTCGTCCTTTTTCAAACCAGGCCTGGTTAGCTTTGATAGACTATTGGCCGATGTGGTGCGTGATAAGGGAATGCGAAATCTGCCTTTTTGCTGCAATGCCGGCGAAAACTCTGGTGGTTCAGGAAGGTCATAGAGACCAGTCTCTGGATCCTCTTTTGGAGCAGATTGGATCATTTTTTGCAGGGGAAATGAGGTCGAAGCCACGAAGTCGTTTCCTGACAAGCTGTCTCGATCGATCACACTGAATGTGAAGGAGTAGCCGACTTCATTGCGCTTGATCTGAAAGACCATCTTTTCGTTGTACACCGGGTTCAGATTGTGTCGAACCACCCTTGTTCGCAAGACCTTCCGGCCCAATGCAGTAACCACAAAGGGGTCCATATCAAAAGAGGTTCGGGTCATGTTTCGTTCAGGTGGTAGATCGATTATCTTGACAATCTCCAAGAAAATAATGCCATTGACATCGTTGTCTTCTGAAAGGAAATTGTAAGCTCTTGCCGCAATCGACCGGCGTCGGAGGCGTGCGAGTCGTTTCTTCTTCGCTTTCTTGTCGGCAGTTTCGAGTTTCTGGGGGGATTCGGTCTCTGTGACTGATTCCTCCTGATCCTCGTCAAGCTCGTCAAATTCCTCGTCCGCGGCGAAGTCATCAACATTCGAAGAGACACGGCTCAATTCATCGTCCTCTTCTTCGGCTCCGAGGTAGGCTTGAAACTTTTTCCGGATCTCGTCTGGACTAGCGGACGGATTCGCCGAGTCGACGAGAGAGAATTGCATGTACACTTCTCCGGACACATTGCTCGGTTTCTTCCCCGTCGGTCTCCGCGAACTCAGCTTGTACCATTTAGGCTGGGTCTGTATCTGTCCATTGGTGAAGATATCTTCGATCGGGATGTCAAATTCGCCCATATAGTCTTTGCCAAAGCGATCCTTATCCCAGCACATGCATTCAAGTAGTGGGACGCCCGTCAGAGGCATATCGAAGCATATCTTCCATTCCGGATTGAGATTCTTCGAAATCGAGGGTGTGGACTGTTTCGCATTGCCGAGAGTGACCACAAGGTACTAGGGCTGTTAAAAAAGGAGATTCTGGCCTGTGGAGAGAGGGGGTAGAAACGTACGGGATCGGAGGTGCCAGATCTATCCTTTGGTGCCAGATTTCGCGCCTGCAGAGATGGTGAGCGACGGCGGAAAGCGGTGTCGACAGAACCACAGATACCTTTATGACATAGACTTTGAGAATAAGGGGTTTTTGATCGACCAAGGCAGCGGTGCTGTTGTTGTTACTTCCCAGCCGTGGAGGACTGGGCCTTCTGCTACCATTTCCATTGGGAGCAGAACCACCGACACCCTGATCTTTGTCTTTGTTTTTTCCTCCAAGTTGGCTGAGGCCTCTAGGCAGCGATATGTGCACCATGGTTGGGCTTTTCGATGGAGGTAGAAGCTGTCGGTCGGTCTTGGTGGTGCCGGCGCCCTTTTGACCATGCGTAGGGGTGAGGCTACCTGGAAGGGAGACTTGAGGCTGAAACAGGTCGATTGAAGCTGAACGGGAAGGATTGAGGGGTTTCGGGGGCGGACTCAAGTGGGAGGAATGACACGAAGGGTGGATCTCGATCGAAGCGCACAGACTCCTGTAAGGACCAAGAAATCGATGGCCGAGTTGGCAGGAAACTGGCCAGGTGAAACCAGACTGTGATGGCTGTGAATGTTGTTGTATTTTGGCGCAGGATGGGTCGGTGTGGTCTTGTCGGTGCCCCTCTTTTGGGAGGTGTTGAAGTGGAGGGTGCGAAGGAAGGTGAGGGTGCGCACCACCAGCCGCGTTGCGGTTATGATGCCATAGGTTCACTAGGTACGAGCAAGGTACGAGGTACCCGGTACTGGGTCCTCCCACCACTCCCTACGAGGGGAGCGCTACCTCAGCCCTCTGGGTCCTGGGGGACTACTGGGTAGGTCCCTGCCACACCAGAGGCATACGTATGCAATTCACTAGCAACCAGCTAATAGCACCACTGCTACAGTACGTCGACGAATCGGTCAGTTGACGATCACTCTCCAACAATCGGACGAGGAAGTTCTTGATTTTCATCCACCTTGGTTCGAAACCCGCCAGGCACCAGATCCTTCCCGATTCCTCGATCGTCCGCCTGTAAGACATGGCAACCTGGATTTCTCGTCCATCGAGGTGGAAGGACAACATGTTGGCCGTCAGGTTTACGCTCGGTACGGGAATCAGAGCGAAGCCAGATAATGAATATCTAACCGTGAACCACGCTTGACCACGCTCTTTCCGGAGGTCACGGAATCCGATTTTGCCAGCATCTGACATGGAACCAAAAACCCTACCGTTCTCGCTTCTTGCAAGTCCATGATTACTTGGTACTTGAAGGAAGTCTTAAGCAGGTGTGGCCTCTGGAGGATATGATACGCTGACAAGAGATACTCGAATGTTTTATTCGTCTTTGTCAAGGTTGCTCAATATACTTAAAGAGACTAATCCGAGATATCCAACCCTATCGAGAAACGCAGGTGATCTGAAACCCGAAAAAGGTTTGCGAAAGGAGAGCAATCCGCCCAAGGAAATCGAAACAGGAATACGCCGCCAACCTCAGTCCAACTTGTGATTCGACGCTGTTGTCACTTGGATTGAAAGAAATCGTCCACCCAGAAGTGAAAGAGCCACCAAGGGGGTCGCAGAAGCCAGCATAAAGGATTCCCACGTGTAAAGGAAGGTGTCTGTCATGGACAGGACCCAGAACTTCCAAGGTCCACCTCAGTCGATTGGCACCAGTATCGACCGTCCAAACGCTCGTTTTTCGAGTCGATATCTCCTCACCTTCTCTCGTGAATCTGGCCTCCTAGTTTTGTCACTAGGTTCACCTCTTCCGACGGCCTCCCTGTCATCATGGCGTCCGCTTGTTCCCTCATCGTGGCGCCCGCTTGTTCCCTCATCGTGGCGTCCGCTTCTTCCCTCACCGCGTCGCTCCCTTCGCCGGTCTTCGTCCCGCTCCCTGCCTCCTCTGGCGGTATCGTTGGTCCTGCTCCTCCCTGGGGCTGACGAGGCCGGTGTCACCTCGACGGCTGAAGGGTCGTCCCCATCATCCACAGCCTGGTCTAATGAGTCACAGAACAGCTTCTTTACATGAGCGATCACTTCTCTAAACGATGGTGCAGTCACTTCGCCGATGACCGCAACGTCGACTTCGCGTTCCACATTCCATAACTCCTCGCAGTTCAATGTCAGTTCAGGTTTAGGCCGGAAGCCGTTGGTATACAACTCGACCTCAACACGTCTTAAATTCAGCCCTCCATCTCTGGTATTTGCGATGACAGGACCCGGTTGTCTTGGCGACGTTGTGACTGTGCGGGCCGGCTGCGCCGGGGGCACAACAAGCCGATGCGTCTTGTAGAGCGAGGACAGTTTACGGCCGCGGTGCGCACAGAAGGACAGACATGTCAAGGAAGATTGCGTGTCGGTGCTCCTGCGCAGTACAAGCATCACCGTGTCATTTATTCGACTGTTTGCTAGGTTGTCCCTGATGTAGACAATCGTTCCGGGGGTGAGTCTCTCTTCGTGGCCGCTGGCCCAACCGAATCTCAAATCCCTGCTGGAATTGCTTCCATCAGTGCATTCGATGAAGTCGTCCAAGTCATGAAAGTGATTTGGCCTAATTTTGTGCCGGCCACCCTCGTTCGCTGTAGTTGTCGGAGGCGGCGCATGCCTCTCTCGGCCCATGTTCAGAGAGAACATCCCAAGGTTTTAGTTGGTCTGTGGTGCTGGTACCTATAAGGTTGCTTGTGAGGTATAGGCAATGGAACTGTTCTTAGGCCTGTGCGGTATTGGAAGGGGCTGATGCTTTGTATGTGATTTGTGGTTGATTGGGGATGACTGTGATAGCTGGGCTACGTACGAGGAGGCACGCATTAAATAGGCGTGATACATACAATGTCTTCCACTGGAACTGCCACTGCCACTGCCACTTTGTTCTTTGCTTGGTGGTGGGCTGCTTGGTGCGTTGTGGTTGTGGACAGGACCTTGCATTCTGCCTCGCCAGGCAGCAATGTGCGTGCCATAGCCTTGTGAACCATTCTTGTGAAATCGGCGGCCGCAAGCCACAACCGGTTGCCTTCCAAAACTCTCCGTGGAGGTCGCTTAGCAACGGGCTGGGAACACGGGGAGAGCATTATTCATCGTATCCGAGTTTGGCCGGTGTTCATCCACGAAGATGTCAAAACAAGGATATTTTGCAAGAGATGGCTCGACGACGGGAAAAGAGGCGGAGCGGGGTTGCCTTGTCGCTCGTGTTTGGGGATCTTGACATCCCTTTTTTACCAAAAGCCGCGCAGAAGTCCTAGATTGTGGCCTCGAACTTTCGGTCTCGTGATGTTGTGGAATTGCGGCCAAGATTTTCTGACTTGGGCCCTCGGAAAGGCAAGCATGAGGCAAGGGGTGGAAGGACTCAGTTGAGCACAGCCTTTTGGCGGTTTGGGTCTTTTGCGCATCGTTTGTTTGTCAAGTTTCTTGTTCCATCGAGATTGACAGCCAACAAATGGATGGACTCGAGGCGGACGAAACTGCACTGGTCAGATACCTGATGAGTCCATTATCTTCGGTCTCAATTCCCATGCGTCGAATTCTCAGGCAAGTATTCTCCAGCGGTCCGTTCGACTTTCTTCTTCTCCTTCAGAGTATCGACGTTCTCCTCTTGGACACTTTTGACAATGAGATGGGCAGAGTCCCTATCTTCCACAACGATCCCCCCTCCTCTTGCCATTGACAAAAGCTCGTGACTTGCCTTCGTTCGCTTCCCGGTCTCCTTGTTCCAAACCCAGCCTTCTTTTAGCCACATCCAAGTAAGGTATGCTCGAAGTTCCTTATCCAAGGGAATCACCCTCTTCCACTCGGGCTCAAAAGTTTTAGGATCCTCTGCCCCTTCGCCATTCCAACTCTTGGCGACTCCCCTCAGCTGATCACGGCAAAACATCCGCCAACTATCATGAGAGTAAGGCCCGAGGCCTGGCAGGTGAGAAATCTCCCATGCCACGCGTTCATCTTCGTCGTCGACAACTTCGTCTTGCTTGACCTCTCGTCCATCGCCTTTTGACGGATAATTGTGCTTTTTATAGCGCTTTCCGCGGGCAGGCGGCCTCTCGAGCCAGACCTTTGCCATTGCGACGCATTTTCTGGCTCGTTGATTCTGAAACCCTAGACCATAGATAATCGAAGTAATGTCGCTGACTTCGGCATTGGCTAGATCTATCGGCGTGGGGTAGCGTGACATGAGTTGATAGAAGACAGGCATTGCGCGCTCTCCGGGCGTTTTATTCAAGAAAATGGTCGCAATAAGGAGACGGAATGGATCATGAGCTAGTCTCTCTTGCATCAGGCCGAACTTGTCGTGGGAAAGAGGAGGGAATGGCAATGTCGCCAGGAAGGTAGGTCGATGTTTGTGCACTTGTGGGAAGTATGGCGACGTTTTTGAACCCCGGTGCTTCTTGGCTGTGACCTTGATTTCTTCGGCTTTAGAAACAGGCGAAGGGAGTTGAAGGTATGGCAAGAATGGGTCGGGCCCAATGTCATCTGGGACATCTGTGAGACTCGAATCTGAAGAGAGCTCATCGAGGTTGAGGCCATAGCAGACCCGGCTTCTGGCTGGCGTTTCTGGTGGTGTGGCAATGACTGGAGCACTCTCATGGTCTGCACCTAATGTGTTGTTAAACATGTCGTTATTCTCTCTCAAAGCATCAACCTGCTGTGCATCTTTGGGCTCCTCCATCACGAAATGCCTGGAGACATAGGTAACCTTGCGACGCGTCCCAGCAGCTCTGCGCTTCTTGAGCGCCTTTGCTGCTGGCCCAGCTTGAACCTTTTCCCGCGAGGAGTCATCGTCAGCGATCATTCCCAGGTCATTGGTAGGAATGACTGGCAGCTCAGGCTCTGAGTAGGGAGAAGGAGGTGGCGACAGCAATGTCGCATTGGACGAGCCTAGCGTTGCTGAGGTCATCGTTGGGCGACGCGACGCGACGGTCTGACAGAAAGCAACAGAGCAACAGAGAGGTGTCTGGGAACAAGAGAAACCCAATCTGTTGCAGGAGTTGCATGTCTTGGAAGCCCTCTATTCTGTGGCTCCTCTCCATGTCTTCCATGCCGCTATCTGGCTGGGTTCGCACGCAGTTCGAGGGGACGGCGTGTCGACAATACATTTCATTCTCTATTCACTGCAATCGGGGGTGAAGCCATGCCGCTCCCAGTACATGGTTGTGGGCGCTTCACCCCAAGTGATGGTCCTTAAACAGATTCCAGAGTCCTCCATCCTCCAAGCCCCGGATGGCCAGCCTACCTGCATTTGTCCCATTCAGATCAATCTGCCTCATGGCCGCGAAGTCGAACTTGAAGTTGTGAACATTGTTGACACTGTCAATCCCCAACCATCGTTGGCCGCCACCCGCCAGGGGAACATTGGAGGCAGCAAGAGGGAGCCAATCATGATCGCAAGGGCGTGAGCGAAGCGAGACAGCTCCACATCCTTGAGCGCGCAATTTCGTCCTGACTGCGATGCAGAGATTTCCTGCTTTGTCCTGGTGTTTTGACCGATGTGACCCTTGGAACAGGAAGTGAACAGCTCTGACTAAACAACTAGAGAACTTTTCTCGACTCGGTAGACTGTCTGCGGAACGATTCTACCGCTTCAACCAAGTCTCGCAGACCGTACCATATCCCTTTCCGCACAAACCGAGCCCGCCACCAACACCAAGATGGGTGAAGCAGAAGAAGGACAAGTAGGAGAGGTGGAAAAAACAGCAACAGCTACGATTCGGCGGAAACCTGTGCCCACGCAACTGCCACCTCGAAGCCCCAATACAAACCAGAGCCTCCTGAACCGATGGAGGAAGCTCTCGCGCAGAGCCCGCATCATTATCTTAGTTCTCGTGCTGGCAATCATTGCCCTCATCATTGGCCTTGCAGCAGGCCTTTCGACGCGCAAACACAAGCAGAACCTGCCCCTTCCCTCGGGGAATGGTGGCCCCTACACTGGCGATCTGACTTACTACGAGCCGGGTCTGGGTGCGTGCGGGATTGTGTCCGTTAATAGCGACAAGATTGTGGCCATCTCACACATTGTATTTGATGCAGTCAGTGTTGGCAGCAACCCGAATGCAAATCCACTGTGTGGCAAGAAGATTAGGGCGCGGAAGGACAACAAGAGTGTAGATCTGACAGTCGTGGACAGATGCACTGGCTGTCAGCCAACGGACATCGATGTCACTATCAATACTTTCGCTGAACTCTCCGACGTTGACCTCGGTAGAGTATTGGTGCAATGGAACTGGTTGGAAGATGTGCCTGTTGATGCTCAAAGCTGATGCGCACTGGGGTAATGGAAGACCCAAACGGGACACTGCAGATACCGCTTCCATGGAATACACCGCAAGTGCAACAGCGTTACAAAAGAGATAGCATCCTCTCTCAGACAAGGCATGCGTAGCCTTGCGGGGAAATGAAGGCACTTCCTCGTTACCCTTCTGGATCCAACAACGTCAGTGGAGATCCACGCCCGAATTCGGACATCAGCGTTAGTCGATTGGATATTCATTATGTTTCCTAATCCCTACTACTGTCGGACAAGCAACTTCTGTTCAACCTCAAGGAAAGGTGCGGGAAGGGCCAAACTCATAGACGATGTCTATCGTGGCACTAGCAGATGGACAGCAGTAGGCCCATTCCTCCCCACGCTTGCAAGATTTCTCTAACGTTGTTCAAGGTCCAGCGTCACCCTTGATGTCCTTCATGATGTCGCGGCTCGCAACAACATCAGGATTCCGTCCAAAGCGGACGAAGAAGCATATCTGCTTGTTCTTCAATCAGCTGACATGACGGCTGCAAGCGTCAATAGGCTGCCAGACTACGTTGATCCTCGACTCGAGCCTGTCCCTACGATCGGCGGACGAGAGTATTGGAAACCCAAAAAGAATAGTCACAATGCGTGGAGTCACCAAGCACATCTTGTGGCAGAAAGACCACTGTCAGACGTTCTCAGCGGCCGCAAAATCATCATGAAGGATAATATGTCTGTTTTTGGTCTGCCGCATACTTGTGGAACTTTTCCTCAATTTGTTTCCAAGGACAGAAAATATCCGATTGCTGCGATCGATGCGTCAATAACAAGGAGATTACTGGAGGCTGGAGCTACCATTGTGGGCACATCGACATGCGAGAACTATTCTCTAACTCCAATGTCCTACACTTCAGCCAACGGACCAGTCCACAATCCTTGGCTCCACGGTTATAATGCTGGTGGGAGCACCAGTGGAGGGGCATGCCTTCTCGCGCTGGGGAACGCCCGAGCTGCTGGAGTTCCTGGTCTGGAGGAGGCCGGAGAAGATGTCGACCTAGCGATGGGTGGAGATCAAGCCGGGAGCATTCGCCTTCCGTCATCCTATTGCGGCGTCTATGGTCTTAAACCCACGCATGGACTAGTCCCGTACACAGGAATTGCTGGACTCCATCCGATGATCGACTACACCGGACCTATGGCAAGGAAATTGGAAGATATAGCCGCTCTACTCACAGTGGTTTCCGGCTATGACGGGCTGGATTCTCGCATGACGCCCGAATCGCCGCTTCGCCAACATGTTGTTGACTATGCAACACAACTCGCTGCTGCAGAAAACCCGGGCAGAGGCCTTAAAGTTGGTATCATAACAGAGGCACTTACTTCGCCGGGTACCCAGACCGAAGTTGCAGAAGCTGTCCGTTCGGCTGCGTTGAAACACTTTGGAGCCAGCGGTGCAACGGTGTCTGAAATCTCGCTCCCGATGCATCTGCTCGGCCCTGCAATCTGGACCGCGTCGACAAGGACACATCTTGCCGGATTGGCCATTGGCGGTCGAGTTCCCGATGTGCTCAGTCATAACATTCCACACCTATCCCTGAGATGGCCTCCAGATCAAGAAATGTATGATCTGTTGACTGTGGCCAACCCCGCGGTAATAAACATCATTTTCTGTGAGACTTTTTTGAAAGAAAAGTTTGGTCCAGAAGTTCAAGCTAAAGCTCATCGCCATGTGTTGCAATTAAGAGCGGCTTACGACAAGGCTTTGGAAGAATTCGATGTCCTTATCACTCCTACTACACCAACAGTTGCTCCTCCGCATCCTGATTTACGACCTGAGGCAGAGGGCGGCAGTAATGTTATGGACAAGATCAAATTGGCAGTTGGGTCAACCAACAACACCTGTCCTTTCAACGCCACTGGCCATCCAGCATTGAACGTCCCCTGTGGTTGGGCAAGTGCGCGGAACGGGAATGGGATGCTCCCCGTGGGTATGCAGGTGATTGGCAAGAGGTGGGATGATATTGGAGTATTGAAAGCTGCGAAAGCATTCGAACTAGGAGGAGGAGGTCTGGGCTCATGGCCTGGCCAAACGAGAGTGTGACGATGTGCTCAAGTCAGGGAGTTCTTGTCTCTTCACATTCCAGTCTGCTGTGGCTGTGAGGCGCAGAACACTCGGATCCCGGATTCTGTGTGTGACACAGACTAGGAGCAATGCCCGGGCTAAAGTGAAACCCATCCGCAACGCCAAAAAAATGCCTTGAAAAGTTGGAAACGGCGCCCAAAGACGACCGACGACATCATTGCCGATTTCAGCTCTTTCAATAGCCAGAGACTGCGGGTGCTTTGGATGGCCCAACTGACGTCTGGTTTTCCCCTCGCGTTTTGCATGTGTGGCTCTTTGAATTGATAGACACAGATCCAGATCCAGCGCCGCGAATCTTGGGGCAGTCCTACATCCAGAGAGGCTCCCTTGACAAAAGGAGGCACCCCTCCTTTCGGCTGTCGCAGCCCCTGTTTGTGTGTTTCAGATCTCAAGCTTCCCTTCCAATCTTCATTCCGGGGTTGTGCCTTGTTTGCCAACCCTTGCCAACCTCATCCCTCTTCACCGGCCTCGTTTTTTGGTCCAAGAACTGGTTCATGGCGCGACTGCAGTGCCTACTTGGTCATCGTCGATTCTGCTTTTGTCCATATGAAACTGACAAACTCTGCCCAAATGTTCAGCCATGCTTCTCTCGAAGCGCCCGCCAGCTTTCAGACTATCAATCACACGAACCCAATTCGACACCGATTGGGTGGCTTCCAGTAAACATGCCTCTTCTGTGTCTCTCCAGATGGACCTGCTAGTCGTTGACTCAACCCTGGAACGATGAGTGGACAATGCTATTAGGGGGAACATCATTCTGCAAGCATTGCTCGACTGGTCACCACTTGAGGTTATTCCTCCAAGGCAGCAACTTGCTCAACATTGACTCTTGTGCCATGTCTCGAGTTACACCATCCCACGGCAATGACTACGTGCCACGACCGAGAAACCGGAATAAGCAGCACCCGGCTTCAATGACTTGTCTGTCGTTTGTCTAGGGAAGACCACACCAACGCGATCCTCAAATACTTCTTCATGAGACTTTCTCTTTTGAATCCCGTGCCCTCTACTTCCTTCGTCCATCAGTTCCTTCTCGTCAAGTCTTCCATCTTCTGTCCCTTTAGGCCCGCACTTACTATTACTGAGATCTCCAACCATGTTGTTTAGGTCCTTGACTGTCAGCACCCTGGCTGGTGTAGCTGTCGCGCAAGACTTGACCACATTACTCATGAGTACACCTGAGTTGTCCAATCTCACGTCCTACCTTGGACTGTTTCCCGAACTCACGGCCACGTTAGCGTCACTGCAGAACATCACGCTGCTTGCACCTAACAATAAGGCCTTCATGAAGCTGTTAAACTCCCCGGCAGGAGCTGCCCTGGTTCAGAACGACACCACAATGATTCAAGCACTGTTCACTTACCATGTTTTGAATGGTACCTACGCCGATTTTAGCGACAAGCAGTTCGTTCCAACTCTACTGCAACCGCCTCAATTTACCAATGTAACCGGGGGTCAAATGGTGGAAGCAGTCACCAGCGAGAACCATGTTTCCTTGGTCTCCGGGCTGCTCAGCAATGCCAGTGTTAGCAGCGGCCCCGTCAACTTCACTGGTGGCGTGGTCCACATTATTGACGATGTCTTGACTGTCCCGCAAAATATTTCAGAGACGGCAATTCAATTTAACCTGTCTGCTGCTGCCGGTGCTCTTATCAGTGCAGATCTGGTCACAACCGTCGACTCCCTGTCTGATGTGACCTTGTTCGTACCCAACAACGAAGCATTTGAGGCGATCGGTTCTGCGCTTCCCAAGCTAACGACGCAAGATTTGGCTTCGATCCTGCAGTATCATCTCGTTCAAGGTGTTGTCGGCTACAGCACCCTGTTGCAGAACGGCACGGTGCAGTCAGTTCAGGGCAATGACCTGACCATCACAATCGAGGACGGCGAGGTCTTCGTCAACAGCGCACGAGTGGTTGTGCCAGACGTGCTCGTCGCTAACGGCGTGGTTCACGTTATCGACAACGTGCTGAACCCCAGCAACACCACTGCGGCACCCAGCCCGTCCCAGAAGTCCGGTTCGCCTGCATTCAGCGGTGCCAGCTCTGCCAGCAATATTCCCTTCACGTCTGGTGTGCCGATGCCGACGAGCACTATGGGCAGCCAGTCAGCCACAGGTGCGACGGCGACTTCGAGTAGTAGTTCAGGAGCTGCAATGCCGGCCAAGACTGGAGCAATGGGTGCAGCGGCCTTGCTTGGCGGCGCGGTTCTGGTCTTGAACATGTAAACAGCCCGATGATAGAGGAAATGAGAAAGATGGTCATGATTGATGAGGTTCCGGTGTAAGGCGAGGTTAGAGCAATCGCGGGGACACGGGTTTGCGCACTTTCGACAGTCAAGCGGGAGACACATGGCTCGCTTGTATCACGTTCAACTGGTAGAGACATGATGAAATCAACAAAACACTTAAACGCTCTCTCCGGACTCTAAACTGCTCTCCGTCTATTTTGGCCCGTAGTAGTCTTTACTATGCGGTGGCGAGTGTCCAATCAGGCAGCCTTGCTATTTCCTGCCACCTGCCACCACCAATTCTGCCACTTCCACCGACTGCGCCTCGAGCACCAACGACATCATAGCAGATGGGGGCCTCGTTTCTTGCATCCTCCAACAACCAAACCACAGAGTGACACGACACTCTACTCTCCGCTTGACACACGACTCCATAAAACTGTACCCCTTCACGCGCTGCCTCTGTCCTGCTGCTGCCATCTTTCACCATCCTGGCAATACATCTTCCCGTCCTGGTGACATGGTCGTCTCCCCGCCCGCTTAAGCGCCCAGTCACTCCACAGCAAATTCGCCTTTGGGCACAAATGGTACCCGCGGTCTAAGCGCCTTGAACAACATCCAACTGCGGCCGCATCATGCGACCTTCCATCCAGCATCATGCCGTCCAAGATTCGAGATAATAGCGCCGAGCGGCGGCGCGAGAAAAAGGAGTCGTCGCGATCAGAAAAGGATAGAAGAGATCGAGATCGAGATCGAGAACGAGACCGTGACAGAGACAGAGACAGAGACAGAGACAGAGACAAGGAAAAAGACAGGCACCGATCACATCGCAAAGCCTCAGTTCGGGAAAAGACATCCTCAAGAACATCCATCTCACCGGTCAATGAAAAGAGACGGTCCTCCATGCCAGGAATAGTTGAAGATGTCCCCGTTAAATCAGAATCCAAGTCAAGTCTGCCATATCCTTCATTCTCCAGAGAACACAGCCGCGAAGCTATTGGCTTAGGAAGTCGCCCAGTTCCGAACATCTTTACGCCTCCTGCGACCGACCTCAACGCTTCCAAAGACAAACTACCCTCGAGACATAGTGCTGCCGGGAACGATGCGCCGCCCAGTCCGCCTCTCACAGACAAGAACTCGGGAACGGCGAAATGGAAGGCCAATGCAGGAAGGCCTGTGTCAGTTGACACCATCCAAGAGGAAGAGAAAGGGTCTCAGACGGACGGAGATGGGAAGAGCGCTCGCAAGGCACGCACAATGCCAAAGACAAGAGGATCTAGCGGCCGTCTGCGCAGTACTTCCGAGCTGGGGACAGACAGTTCTCCAACCCGGAAACCTCGCGATACACCATCTACACCACTGAAGACTGCAGCTCCGGTCTCGGCATTTACCCTTCCTCAAAGATCAATCAGTCAACCCTCCCGAACTGATTCTCCCGCAACCACCAACAGCGCAACCGAATCAGGCACGAACATTAGTTCCGAAGCTACTTCCATAGCCCCAGAACAACCTACGATTCAGCGACCAGGGTCAAAAATCCCTCCCCCGGCCGCGTATGCAGACGAACCGGCTGTGATCCTTCCGCAGTCAAGGGGAGTCACTCCGCTAGAAATCTTTGTCGAGGACAGTTCCTCAGTATTGACAGGAACACCGGGGGGCGTTTCACAAACTCCCGGACCTCCACCACCGCCTCCGGCGCCCGTTCCAGTCTCTATTCCCAAGGTCGACTACCTCCTGCAGCACGGTGGACTCAACCAGTCAATAACGAAGAATCTATTACTGGCGGGTAAGCCCATGGCGATACAACAGGCTCAGTCGTCGAACCAGCCATCGATTCTGGTGGCAAATTTATTTGAACCTTATGTCGCGCTGCTTGATGACTATGAAAAGGTGATGTCGAAGAACGGCTCATTAGCCGTTGCCACTGGGTACCGCTCCGTGGCACGTCGATTACTTGATCGACTTGAAGCCGTGTTCGCACGTGACATCTCTTCAGAGGCATGTCAATGTCCAATGTGCGAGTACGACCACGCCGAGGATGTGAGAGGCGTCAGCTGGGGTGAAGTCCTAGAACTAGTCTCTGGAAGAAAAGATCTGCCTGGTTGGCCGCCTTTCGCTTTCACACAGTCGCCGGTGGGACTGGGGATTTCGTTGGAGTTCCGTGTGCCGATGCAGAAACTCGACATCGATGTGCCCGAAGAATACAGAGAACACTATATCCGACAGTCACGGAAGACGAAACAAAGTGTGGACAAGTGGCTAAGCCGACAGAGTGACGACCCCAGTTCGCCACCTGGGGAGGTCGACGATGAGACATTAGCTTTTGCTATCCTGACCCATCTCCCCGCTGAGCAGAGACCTATTTTCAAGGGTTTGCTGGGTATTGTCGATCGGCCCATAGAACCTCCAAGACGAATACCGACGCCAGAACTCGGGAAGCAGAATGGCGAGTCCCATCCACCACAGCCGACGCCAACACCGACGCCCACTCCTAGAGTGCGACCTCCCCACATCGCCGTGGCTTCGCAAGCAATTCAGAGATTGTACCGTTTGGCGATCACACCGCGAGATTCCGAAGCCGCTTTGTTCTTACTCAATAATCCTTCATTACACAACGCACTGGCTACCTTATCTGCAATCTCCAATGACGAGTGGGACATTCTTATTTCAGGCCGTTTTGACGGATTCCTCAGAAGCGGCGCAGAAGACGTCCCCTTACCCGAGCATATCCCATCAAGAGCTCCAAACCCCTACCGGCCACCCACACGAGGCGCGACACCTGGTTACGGCCCTCAAACTAATGGCACGGGTTATGGGTCTCGCCAGGCCAGCTACTCTCATCCTCATCCCTACGCAAATGGTGTTCCTAGTGCTCAATGTGGCGCGCCCATTGCGTTTGACGAGGAGACCGAGCTGGCCACCCTCGCCGAGATCGAACGCGACATCTATGCCGGGATGGAAGCGCTCGAAGATGCATTCGAGGGATTGCACAATAAGGCGGAAACTGTCCGACGCGCCTTGCGGGAGCGCTCCGCCGGCCTAGCTGCGGCAGCCCAACGAAGACGCGGCGCGATGGGGGGTGGGATTGAGGTCCGCATGGATACTCCTGCCAGCGTGGTCATGTCAACCGGAGAAAATGGAGTAGGCGGACGATGGGATGCCGAAACTGATGACGGCCTGGGGGAGTGGGATGGTCTCGGGGAGATCGAGCCGGATGATTCCGCAAGTAATATCTCGAGCGCGCGGAGGAGAAGGCCGAAAAGGAGAAACGAGAGGCGGACGCCGGCGTTGATCGAGGAAGAGGATGAGATGGAGGACGATGGGGCAAGTGAGGGCACAGGAAGCCCCAGGAAAAGATGACATAACTGTCGATATGAGCCGACGTGCTATGCATCTGTTGACTACCAAAAGGGGTCAGAATCATGAGGCGTGGTATGTCACCGTCGTTGCATATTCCAGCTTTTATTCCCGGGAGTTCAGCATGCCATACAATTCGCAATTTGAGATCACAGAACATCAGGAGGAAGGTGTCTCCAACGAAACTCGTGTCTACAAGTTCAGTATCGTCCAGCGTGGCCGTGTTGCACCTTCGGGTTTTCGTATTTTCTCTTTGGCATACGCCATTCTGCTGACCTAATTGGGGATTCAGAGCATGGTAGACAATACTTCGAGAATGGGATACTCGGAGTCGCATTTTGTCAGCACTTAGACGGCAAAGCTGAAGGTCTGTAGCTGCTTGAGGAGTTCGACAGGAAGATGGCTAGCAGGGAGTGTTGGGTCACTGGCTATTTCTTCCTTAGAAATGGTCATTTGGCGCTTGGTCTGTCCCGTAAGGCTGCAGTATCCCCTATCATTATGTGATTCCATCTCCGTCGCTGTTGCGTGGGGATTGTGTTCTTAGGTTGAAACTCACATCGCCGAAGGCCAGAATCGACCGATGGGAGCCCCGCTCTTGAAGGACTTCGTCAATCATGGAGCGGATGTTGACCCAGTGGCCAGTGTTGATCAGCAGTTGGGTAGCAACCTTGAAGTGGACGACATCATCAAGACGACGAGTTCAATTACGTTTTACTCTCATGAAAACGACCTCGAGGCACAACAATGTGGGATGGCGCTGTTAGCACTCATCAAAACAAACCGAATTGAGGTAGAGGAAAACACAACTGAAGCAGAAAAGAGAAATGAGACCAGACAAAAGCGAAGAAATCGAGTCTGGAGAGAGTGCAGGAGTCCCTTGTCCTTCAGCAAGCGACAAGTCAACGGGCTGCGGGAAAACGAGAAGCAATCGATGATACGAACCAGCCTGAGACAACTTAATCGCATGCCCTTCCCTTCCCAGCGAGATCTTGGGTCTGAATTCCGGAATCACGCACCTACCCATCTCCAGAATGGGCCGAGAAGTCACAGGAGGCTGAAGCACCACAATATCATTTCCGGAATGAGAAGGGGTACCGCCCCAGACGGGAAGGGAGAGGCAGATATGATTCTCCCACACCGTCGTCACCCAAGGGGGGGGGGGGGGGGGAATTGCTTTCATCGTCGCAAGGCTGCGCAAAGCTGCAGGCCCCCTGGAGTAGCAGAGACGGGGATGATGCTCAGCAACAAGGGATGACAGGTTGATCGACGCCAATAGTGGAATATCTGTCATGTCTTCCACTGCGTCTCTACGAGCAATAACACAACACAGACCTCTTTTGAAGCAAACAGTGTATTTCAATTCAATTCAACAGTCTACACGCCAATACCTATTACTGTATCTCAAACCCCTTGTACCCCTGCCCTTTGACCTCCGCCAGGGTCTTGATGTACTGCGGAATGCCGCCCGCGTAGTTGAGCGGCTCCTTGGGCTTGCCGGGGATATTGGCGCCGTTGTACCACGAGTCGGTGTGTCCGCGGACGCCCTTGAGGGAGAGTTCCTTGACCAGGGCGCGCCATTCATCCTCGGCGTCGGGCCGGGCGTCGGCCCTGCTCTGGCCCGTCTCGCGCATCAGGCTGAACAGCTCGACCAGCCAGTCGCCCTGGATCTCGACGCACGAGGGGCCATTGCTGAACGCCGTGGGCGCGTGCGGGCCGTACGTGAACCAGAAATTCGGGAAGCCCGAAGTCGTGAGACCCAGGTACGCCCATGTCCCGGTCTTCCACTTGTCGCTTAACAATGAGCCGCCCACGCCGCGGATCGCGATATCCTTGAGCCCACCCGTGATGGAATCGAACCCTGTCGCCAGCGCGATGATGTCAAGCTCGTGGAATGTGCCGTCCTGTTGCCTGATACCGCCGGGTTCGAAGCGCACGATCGGATTACTCTTCATGTCGACCACGTGCACGTTGGGCCGGTTGAAGTGGTCGTAAAAGTCCTGCTCTAGAGATAGCCGCTTGGCCCCGAACGGGTGCGGCGGGTCCCAGGGTGCCAGGAGCTCTGCCTTGACGGGGTCCTTGACGCGCTCGCGTACCTTGTCGCGCCAGAAGTTGTACGCTTCCCGGTTCGCTTTGAGTTCGCGCGTCATGTCGTAGTAGTTGTTCATCAGGAAGCGGAATCCGCCCTGTTATTTCAACGAAAATGAAAGACGGAGTTAGTTATTGTCTCTACGCCCCGGAAATAGGCTCGCCATGTAGTATAATAATTACGTAGAGGAAGGCAGAAGGGGGAAAACCACCAAGGAGTAAAGTGACTCACCATATTCCACAGCATTTCGAAAAACTCTTTTCTCTCCTCGGGCGTGTAGTCGAACATCATCTCGGCGCGGTACTGGTACAGAAAACCGTTATAGTTGTTCCACCGCTCGTTGAATAGCTCGGGGTAGTTCTTCTTGTCCTTCTCCTGCTGCTCGGGGGTGAGGTAGACCTGCCGCATGGGGCAGGCCAGGTTGGGCGTGCGCTGAAACATCTTGAGGTCCCCATCGTCGCCGATCTCGCGGGCCCATTCCTGCGTGATCTGTACACCTGTTGCTCCCGTGCCGATGACGGCGCACCGCTTGCCACGCACGTCGACGCCTTCGTGCGGCCAGAACGAGCTGTGGTGGATCACGCCCTCGAACGAATCCAGCCCCTCCCAGTCCGGGAAATACCGCTTCGCGGCGAACCCGAGCGAGGCGATGAAGTGCGTCGCGCGGAACTTCTGGCCTGTGTCGCACGTCAAAGTCCACTTGTTGGTCGCCTCGTCGAAATCGGCCGACACGACTTTGGCGTTGAAGACCGTGTCCTTCTTGATATGCAGCTTCTTGTCGACGTGGGCGAAGTATTGCCTCAGCTCGACGTGGTCTGGGTAGTGCGACGTCCAAGTCCAATCTTCATACACCTCTGGCAACGAGTAGGCGTATATCGGGTACTGTTTCAGAACTGTGGTCAGTCTGGATGGTCAAATCTGGTGGTTTCTGTCTCAACGCACTTGGCTGTCCACCCGTGCCCCCGGATACGAGTTCCAATACCATACACCCCCCAAATCGGAGCCAGCCTCGACCATCTTGGTCTTAAACCCGGCCTTTCGCAACTTGTAGAGCAGATAGCAGCCCGCAAACCCGGCCCCGACAATGACTACGTCCAGATCGTCATCGACTTTGTGGACCCCATTGGTGGTCTCGGAAGAGCTCAGCGTCCCGTTGGTAGCGTGTCCGTTGACATGCCCATTGTCGGTGGCTGTGACGTGGGCGTCACCCATATCCCGCTGTAGGGCAGGCATGGCTGCTTTCTCTTCCCCAAAAATGGGAGAGTTCGATTCTAGATGCTAAACAAAAGATGAAGGACGAGAAGGAACCGAAAGGGGGCAGTATGTATATCCTTCAGCACGATCGGCTCTGTGAGAAATGCCTTGCGATCGATGTATCTCGCTTTTGATCGAGTTAGATACCCGTGTTATCCGTTCCAGGCCGAGGTTCGGTGAATCATGTCCTGGCCTGAGTGAAAGACTCCAACTGAGTTCCCACCGACTCGCACAACGATTCCCAGGTGGTGTGCTAGAGCAGAGTTTGTTTTCTCAGGTTCGTGATAGGCATGTCGTTTCTATTCGACGTGTCTGCTGCAGGTGGTGACAATGCTGACGGGGCTCGAGGTTGTGGGGTAAAAGTGGAGAAGTTGGTCGAATTCCCGAGGCTCTGAGGCTAGAATTGGAGAAAGAGCAAGAAAGGGGCATACAATGTAGCCTGTCGCTGGCGTGATATGCCTGGATTCCGTGGTAGACCGATGATACGGAGCAACGGAGGGAGGGAGATTGCATCCTCAGGTTGGCCTCGGTCTGTTGGTTGAATGGAATATGGTTTCCATTGGGTTTAGTGCTTTGACAGACTCACGGAAAGCGGACAGCATGCTGAGGCGAGACAAAGACAGGTTCATGATAGAAATGATGCTGAAGGGTGAGCGAGTGTCAAGAATAGCTTTGTGCATGTGGTGTGGAAGTCCTACTTGTGCCCTTCATAGTCCCATCTGTGCCTTTCGTCGACAAGGCTCGACAAGGCTGCAATAAAAGGGGATCCCCAGAACCAGACAAACTAGTGTGCGCCTCGGCTAGTAATTCTCGGACTGCACTCGACTGACCCCCAAAACGAAAACAACTTTGAGGCTCCTTTCGATTTCTTGACTGGCCGAGAATCACACCTTCATGCAGTTGCAATTGATGGTTTAACAAGGTTGTATCGCGAATGATCAATCCCGTGGAAGTCGAGATCCGTCTTAAGTCCCTCGTCAAAAATAGGGTGATAGTGATCAAGGAAGACACCAAGCGGCGAGAATCGCGAGATCTTTCTGATCCAAGGACGAGAATGCTCACTCGACAGGCGCAGCGGGCCTTATGTTAACCAACACCGGACTCAATGGTTTCGTGACCAGGAGACGCAGGCATCGAAGATTCGAGGTCGTTGGAGACAAGGACAAATCGTAGCGCCTGAACAGAGAATACAACAACAGCTTCATTTCGAGAATCGCAATGTTTTTGCCAATGCACGATCGAGGACCGGTGCTAAACTGGTTGAGCAAGAAAATCAGCCCAGAGCAATTCAAAGACGGCTCCAAGAGTAATTCCGGTTTGATGGTGGCTACTCACGCCCAGAAAATACTTGTCTAGGTCCCTTCCACCAGAGTCTTCAAACCACCGTTCAGGCTGGAACGTATGGGGTTCGGGAAAGATTCGCTCATCCATATGTATTTGGCATTGCATAACGTTGACAATGGTACCTGGAGGAATATAATGCTTGGCGACTTCGAAACCCTTTCTGGGAGAGATCCGTGGGAGAGGGCCAGCGAAGGGTGTCGTAAGGCGCATACCTTCTTTTATGCAACCGTCTAGGTATGGCAATTTCTGAACATCCTTAAACGAGGTTGAATCGCCCAGTGAGGGTCGACGGACCTCCGCTACCAATTTGGCAGCCTTATCTGGGTTCCGGAGCAGGCGATAGAGGATCCCTGTGAGGGAGATAGTAATGGTATCTGAGCCAGCGACACTATGTATACGTCAGTAGGAGTTCATTTCCCAGTTCGGATCATCCCCTACATATTGGTCGATGCATTGGTGGCCAGATCTCCGAATCCCAGTCGCTCTTTCGTGACAGGGTTGGTGGCTTCAATGAGAGCACCGAGAATATCACCCCGTTGCGGCGAAGCATCATCTCTCTTTTCCCAGCGTTCCTGTACGAGTTGGGCCGTTTCCTTCGATCAACCAATTAGCAATCTTCATCGCCGCAGGATATCGGCACGGAGGGTCGCAGACCTTTTTCACGTAGGCGAAACCGTGGTTCAGCTCGCGGAACAGGGGGATTGGAAGCCATTTGACCAGAAATCGGCTCAGTGGCCGTAGAAGAGATGGCAAAAGAAACAGCTGCACAAACAGTCAGCAATGTCAGATGAGATGCCGAGGGACATGTCACGCCATACAACGAACGTGTACTCGACCCCACTGGAGATATGTGTGACAAATTCACCTGTCACTCCTCGTTTGAGCAGGCCAAAGCTCTTTCCAAAAGCCAGGTCTCCAATCACATCGAAAGCATAGAACTTGAACCACTCTGCTGCGTCCATCGTCTCTCCACTTCGGGCAAACTGATCCATTTGGTGGAGGAATATGGCAACATTCTCGAGGACGAGGTCTTCCATCCTCATCAAGCTCTGCATACTGTAGGCATGAGCGGCAATCCGACGCTTTCGGGAATGAATCGACTTGTCCACTTCACTGAAGATCGAAGGCGTATGGAAAACCAATGCATTGTAATCTGAGCCTTTATCGAGGTAGTGTTCACCGTACCCGAGGACTTTTGGGACAGCTTCAGCACTTCCGGCAAGGACAGTGTTGGGCCCCACGCGGACGACATCACCATATTTTGCGTGGACTTCGAGAATGGCCGTCTCGGTGTTGCAGGTGAATGCTTGGTAGGCAAGCCATCCTGGAAGACGCCGCGCAAGAAACGGGCCGGGGATGTTGCGAAGGGGGTCGAAAAACGTTGAATAGAGAATGTACCCCGTCTACTTTGAGGTTAGATCTTTTCGTCTGCAGTCCATCATGGGAAGACCTACGATTAGAGCGACCAGCGCCGCTAATCGAGGATGCTCAAGGCCAATTTCCAGCATATCGACGACGAGGACTATAGCAAGCCTGGCTTTCCTTTCGGCGTCAGCAAGGATCTGACTTCATGAGCGTGGTGTGTTTGCAGAGACACAACCATGATTTTATCCCTCCGTGAATCTCAGCTGAGGGAACGCCTCAAGACATCCCTAGGAGACTCGGCTTTGGTCACCGCTCGCTTCGTCGGCTTTCATCTGTCCGAACCTTCGGACAACATCTGTACATCTGCCTCTTGGATGCGTACTTCTGCGGTCAGTCTGGGGTCCCATCGCCCCAGAATATGCACGAGCCGGTTCCGATAGACACCCACGGGGAAGTGCAGGATGTCGACTGGACTTGCAAATCCGATTTGCTCCCTGTGGCGTCTGGTCAGACGGTGGTGACCGTATTGACGCACTGGGCGAGTGCCTTCGACCTCGCGCAACTTCTCGTTCGGTGAGTTCGGATTATTGTTGTTCCTTGCACATGATCATGACTTCGCCTTCTGGCCCTTTCAATCATCCGCGCACTCGCACTCTACGACAACCTCGTCATGGGCCCCAGCAGAGTCTGAGTCATCGTCCCGCCTCATTTGCTTTCTCACCCTGGGTGCGCTCCGAAATAAGCCTTCTAAGAGCCCAATTGGTTGCCAACGCCGACGGTTTCACCGTCAACTGCACCCTGACAAGAGGACGATGTCGGTGCGCGAGGGAGAAGGTGGACTTGTCGAAGCGAAGGTGGGTGGGAGATGTCTCTGTCCGAGAGCGAATGTCCGCCAGGGGAAGTTGACACACAGTACGCTGCTGGTAGGGCCCTCCATGCTCACCGCCCTACTGGGTACAGGGTACACGGACTCAACAGCTAACGGCCGAATCAGCAGAAAGCCGCCTAGTCTTTCGGCCGTGTGGTTCCTCTACGAAAATCGAAGCTGCCGCAAACCACTCGCCCTCTTTCTCAGTTTGACGGACAGCTTGTCTCTTTGGAAAATTACCAGTATTTGAAAATATTCGTGACTGCCGAGGACAACGCTTGCTACATTTGGTGGTGGGCATCATAGGTATGATCTCAAGGCCGAGAGACGAATGCCGCTCGCTTCTGGGACGAGCGCCACTTGCAGATGGGTCCTCCGCGATCTCAGCGCAAGCAGGGATCGACATGCAGTCTCCACGATACAGATCATGGCGGGCTCTGGTTTTAAACCGCATTCACGCGGATCAAATATTTCCCCCTGCAGCATGTCATTGGTTTAACTCGGTCACAAGCCCTACGCGCGGCTTAAAATACTTGACCCTGCCTGAGGGCGTGAAGTATATATCACTCGCCTTCTCTTCCCTCTGACTACGTCAAGTTAGGAAAGCAAATACTGCGAAAATTTCAACACATCCTATAAACAAAGGGACAACCTAACACCTCCATTTTCGGAAAGAGCAAACGGCAACTCCAATTCAGCTCATCCCAGAAGAGAAACAGCAAGAGAGACTTTGAGACTTCTGCAACACGAGGAAGAGTTTGGTTTGGAGACGTATGCGTACGTGTCGCAGCAAGCGCTCCTTCAACTATACCACTGTCGTATCAACCACCACGCAAACCCTACCTCGACCGATGGTGGCCGGCCCGGAATATGATTCTGCCGCCGACGGCTACGCCCGCAAGAACAATAATGATGACTGCAGTGAAGGTGCATATGGGAACGGTGAATCTCGCCAGCGTAGCTGCAGCTATGGCTGCACAGACTGCCACGGCGGACGACGCGGCCATCATCGATCCGCCGTATGCCCGGTTGGACTGTTGATCAGTGGAATGACGCAGACAATGCGGAGTCTTCAGGCCATGAACGAGCAGGAGAGGGTAGTTGCAGAGCGGAAGGAGATGGAGAAGGGTCCCAGAAGAGTCGCAAATAGTGACGACGGGAAGGAATCTGCATCGGCCCGTGATGTGGATGGTGAGAGTGAGACTGGAAGCGAATGTGAGGGATCTGCTACGCTTGCAAGAAGGGATTACGAGCAGCATTTGGAGAGCCACAACGCTGGAAAGAACTTGCCTAGTTATCAGGCTGCTGTAAAAGGCACCCAGGCGGTCGAGCCGCCTGGGGCGTCGATGAAGGACTGAGATCGATGTGTCCACAATTCGTTCAGCCTGTATGTTACCGCGAATGATCTGATGTGGTCAAGGTGGTATCGCTTCCGCGTCCCTGCAATCGGGGTTTCTGTACATAGCTTGGAGGAAGTCCGTATCCTCATGTGCAACTGACTGGCTTGAATGAAGATTGACGAGACCATTTTCAGGATTGTTTGGCATTTTCTCTGGGAATCTTGACTGACTTTTTGGGTTCGGCAATGCGCAAGCTGCCTGTTCCTTGCATATATGGCTGTCTTAATAGATGGTCGTAGCAGGAGGCGGACTGTTCATGAAGCCCGCGATTTTGCCAGCCAGAGACGATGCTGCACGTCGAATTTGATCTCTGAACATGATAGGGTGTGAACATTAACCCTGGACTCGGGTTGAAGCTTCGATCAATACTGTGCGTTCGTCGAGCCTTCGTTCCTTTCCACCAAATCTCCCACTCCCAGCCCGCGTCCAACCTTGACTTTGACCATCTTCTCCTTCTTCCCATTTTCACCATTGACCGTCTCACCGTCTTCGCCTTTCTTGCCCAGCGACCCCACGCCGTCTCCCTCGTCCTCATCCTCCTCCGGCAGACTCTTGATCTGCAGGTTCTTGAGATCCATCTTCATGGCAAACGCATCCTCTCCGTCGGCGTAGTACTTGCTCTCCACCTTTTCGACCTCGAAGCCGAGCGTGTCGCGGTACAAATGCAAGGCCGCGGTGTTCGACATTCGCACGTGCAAGCTGACATAGTTCGCATTAAACACCTCTGCCATCGCCCTCTGGCTCATCCTCATCAGTTTCTCGGCAATGCCCAGCCGTCGATGTGTCCGCATGACGGACAAACTGGTGATGTGCCCGTGCTGGACTCCGTCCGGAGGATCTTCTTCCATCTTCGCGAGCACATAGCCCACGACTTTTGGGTAGCGAGGCGGTTTTGAGCCAGGACCGCGGACGACGGCGACAAAGGAGAGTTGTGGCCAGCTCAGAGCGTGGTAGAGGTAGTATTTTAGAAAGTAATTTTCCGGGAGGTTGGTCAGGTTGCACTGTTGGATGGACGGGAGAAGGGAGATGTGAGATGGATACGAGGAGACGGGGACGATGTCGACCATCTTGGCAAGCTTGAATCGGAGACGAGGGCAAGGGAAATGCTATAGAGTGGTAAAGTGGTCTGTGGCAGAAGAAAGATGGTGGACAGTGAAGTCAATGTGGTCAATCCAGCAGTGAAGATGGAAACTGCGGGCAGTTTCAAATGACGTCGATTTCCGGTGTCATTTTCAGCCTTGTACGAGGTACTGTACTGACTCCTAGAGATTCAGCCAGCCTCGACTCTGCAGAAACCCCAATTCTAACTCTAGAGCTCCCCAGTTGCGCCCTATGCTATTGACATTTTCATGCCCCCATTGGCACATATCACGCTCCCTGTCGTCCATCCACTCTCTTCAGAGCAGAGCATACCCACAACGCCCGCAATCTCGTCGGTGAAAGCTGGCCTCTTCCCCCCCATGCCCTTCAACACGATGCGATCATATTCCTCGGGATCACCGCCCGCGCGAGCCCTGATTGCGTCGTCGCCGCCTTTGTAATCCATCAGCGGTGCACTGTCCACGTATTTCTGGTTTGTTTTCCAGAACTTTTCTCCTGCATGGCTGTACATGTCTCCCCACACTGGCCCTGGATTGATAGCATTGACCGTACAATTGTCTGCCAGCTCTCTGGCCCAGACCCGAGTCATGGCTTCCAACGCTGCCTTTGTCCCAGCGTATATGGACTGTGACTCACAACCGATTGACGCAGACACGCTCGACAAATTGACAATGCGACCGGACCGGTCTTTTGGGAGGTAGGGTTGGCATGCTTGAACGAGCAACAATGGCGCGAGGACGTTGACATTGTATTGTTTCTGGAACTGTGTTTCTTCAATTGGCCCCATGTCTGGGTCATTCAGCAGTTTGTTCCCGGCGATTCCCGCGTTGTTTATGATGATGTCGACTTGGAACGTGCCGGTCCGAGGATGCGAGAAGTGGTTTTTTGCTGTGGCCAGGATATGAGGGACACTGCGGGTTGGTTCTGCAAGGTCGGCTTGCACCAGGAAGCAGAGGATATCATGGGCCTCAGAGAGTTCTTTGCAGAGGGCCTGCGTGGGCTCGGTGGAGGAGTCGGAGGTGTAGACGAGGAGGAGGGAGCATCCCTTGGCTGCCAGGTTTCGAGCTATGGCTGCTCCGATCCCTGTCATCTGTCAGAAGAGCTGCTGGGTCGACATCTAGCTTGTGAAGAGTGTCTCGGACCTCTTGAGCCGCCAGTCACGATACCAAACTTGCCCTCGTGCGGGCGGTATTCCATGCCCTTTGGCATGTTGGTAGAAGAGAAAGTCCTGCGCGTAGATGGGTGGTCGGCCATTGGAACAGAACCTAAGAGCGACACCAGGACGAGACCGTATAGATGTGAACTGGTAGACCTCAAGACGGCCTTTGCTGTCCTCCAATATTAAGTGGGATGATGGAGCGGGCGCGGGGAAATTTCTCCTGCGGCGTGTTTCGTCTCCATCGCTTTGCGGCGTGAAATGGCCCGGTGCCTCTGCTGCTGGGGACAAGTTTCCAGATGTGAGAGCCACTGTCGCCTCATCGTTGCCTGGCGCTCTCACCAAACTCACCTTCGTGCAAAGAGCTTTGAGCTTTGGTCTTGACGGCTCCTCGCTCTTCGCTCCTCGCTCCGGCCACGCGAAAGTCGATGGACTTTCTCAAATCCGCAGTTGCTTCTGCAATCGCCAAATCCAGCTCCTTCCCGGTCACCATCGGAGATCGTATTGACTTCGGAGACTCCATTTGGATCCTGCACAACGCGACCAAGAAGGTAGGCTGGAGGTTCAGTGAGTGTGGGTGGTACTGTTCTGATTCATCTTGGTCCAGGACGACAACTCGCCGTGCTGTCTCTTCAACTTCGACATTAACGCCAACAAGGCCCTCTTGCCCTTAGCCAAAAACGCTGCCCGGAAACTGCGAACAATACGGCACCCCGGCGTGATACGAGTGATCGATGTGATCGAAAATGACACGAACATCTACATCATCACGGAGAAGATTACCCCTTTGAGTTGGCATATCAAACGCAAGAGCTTGAGCGAGGAGACCATAAAATGGGGGCTATACAGCGTTTCTTCCACCCTCAAGTTTATCAACAACGACGCCTCTTCGGTGCATGGCGCAGTGCGCGTATCCTCGGTTTTCATAAGCGAGAGTGGTGAATGGAAGCTGGGAGGGTTTGAAGTGCTGAGTTCTATGAACGACGACGACGCGATTATTTATAGGTATGGGAGTTTGTTGCCAGAGTCGAACCGCTATTCTCCGCCCGAAGTGGTCAACGGCGGCTGGTCCGCCATCAAGAAGAATCCCTTGGGAGCGCCAGACGCCTACGGACTCGGCACTCTCGTGCATGAAGCATTCAATGGGGTCCTCATGAGCACCGACAGCCTGGGACAGACAAAGAGCATACCGGCCAACATGGTCCAGAGCTATCGGCGTCTAGTCAACGCAAATCCAAAACTGAGGCTGAATGCTGGTCAATTCGTCGAGCAGGGAAAGAAAGTTGGAGGATTTTTTGAGACTCCCCTTATCCATATCACCGAAGGAGCGGAAAGTCTAGGGCTGAAGAACGAGGAGGAACGAAATGAGTTTCTGAAGTAAGGGCATTCTCTGATCCCGAAAAGACGTATTGCTCACTCAATTTCAGAGAACTCGACGGCCTCACAGACGACTTCCCCGAAGACTTCTTCAAGATGAAAATCTTGCCCGAGCTGCTGAAGTCCGTTGAATTTGGTGGTGGAGGACCCAGTGTCTTTGGAGCCATCATGAAAATCGGGTTGAAAATGTCAGACGATGAATTCGAGTCGCGCCTTGGACCACTCATTATCCGTCTCTTCAATAGTCCCGACCGGGCTATGAGAGTTTGCCTGTTGGATAATCTACCACTGATGATCGATCGAATACCTCAAAAGGATGTGAATGGCAAAATATGGGCTGCCATGACGACTGGCTTCACAGACACAGCCCCGGTGGTCAGGGAACAAACGGTCAAAGCCGTCCTCTCCGTGATCTCCAAGTTGTCGGACAGAGTCATCAATGGGGAGCTTCTTCGATTCCTTGCCAAAACGGCAAATGACGAGCAGCCTGGAATTCGTACCAATACTACGATATGCCTTGGGAAAATTGCAAGAAACCTAGGCGTCGGCTCGCGGTCAAAAGTGCTGATTGCAGCATTCGGCCGTTCTCTGAGAGATCCTTTTGTACATGCCCGAAGTGCAGCGTTGATGGCGCTCAACGCAACCATTGATGTTTTTAGCGATGATGATTGTGCGACAAAAATCTTGCCTGTCATTTGTGTCAGCTTGGTCGACAAAGAAAAGATCGTCCGTGATCAAGCCACCAAAGCAGTCGAATCTTACTTGGCTAGGGTCCGCAAATATGCATCAACACTACCCGAAACAGCACTTTCACCAGAGCCTGGCCCCGGAGCAGCTAATGCCACCACCCCCGCGAGGATGGGAAATCAAAGCGATACTAGTTGGGCTGGCTGGGCAATTTCCTCGTTCACAAACAAAATGGCCGGAGCCCGAGGTGAGATGGCTCCGACAGCGACAGCAAACGGGGCACCTCTGGCAGAAACACAGTCAATGCCTGCCTCTGGACACCCCACACCGCTCATCAATGTTTCGCCCGAAAAATCGACAACTGCCTCATTAAGACCGCATGCCTCGCAACCAGTGAAACCCTCCACACAAGCTATTGAGCCTGATGATGCTTGGGAGGAAGAGGATACGATGGACGCTTGGGGTACAATGGATGATGATGGAGATAACTTCTTTGACGCATCTTCCACACAACGCACAAACACAACTACACCTGAACCTGCTGCTGCTGCTGCTGCTGCTGCTGCCTTCGATGACGGCGGCGAGCCAGACTTTGCTGGCTGGCTAGCTGCGCAGTCAAAATCAAAATCGCAGAAACCACTACCAAAGGGCTTGAGCAAGACGACCACCACAGCGTCAGCTTTGAACATCCGTCCTGCCGGCCCGGGGAGAAGTGTGTCGGCGGGTGTTGGAACGGGTGGGGTTAGTGGGAAGAGACCTGTCATTACGAGCACGAGGACTACTGCACCCGTAGCAGCCAAGAAAGAAATCCGAAAAGACACGCCAAAGCCTAAAGAACCCGACATCAATGATGATGAGTGGGGTGAGGCCTGGGACTGAGGCAAGAAGCTGTGCGCCGAGAATATCGGACCAAACCCCCTCTCCACTGTCGATCTACCGCCTGGACAATTTGGAGGCATGTTTCAGCCCTCCGGCAGGGCAACAAACAATTGTCTCAATTATCCAGCACCGCCGTCTTTCTCCTTGTATTGGTCATTCAGGAGATTTTTGGTACACCTCTACGACCTTGGTGGCTCATTGATGAGATTTGTCACTTGAGCAAAGATCGTTTGCGCGACCGGATGGAATCAGAATAGGTCCATTTTCCTGTGTGCAACAAACAGAACCAAATCGTGGAAACAATGGACGTCGGCACCGGAAACCTTTGACGACTGGATTAGCATCGTAGTTATCACGTTAGTTTCACATGTCAATGCTTCCATTTGGTTGGGTTATGGCCCCATGTCGGCCATCCCGCGTACCAAGATCAGATGTGGTCAGAGCAAAACCCCTTCGACATATTCTTGCGATTCTTCCAACACAAGGTCTACAACGGAAAAATTCGCCGAGGAATTCATCGACGAAAGAACAACACCGGACACCAGATCAGACTTCGAGTCGGACGACCTTGACAGACCAACCGAAGATTTCTTGGTTGATCCAAATTTCAATAAAGCCCGCCGATTGCGTCTTATCGAGGGAGGTCGGCGTAACAGGTTATATATGGAAGAGCAACGGCGAGAAGCCGTGCATAAGGCCAGGGAAGGAATTGATGCAAGAATGCCCACACCTCAGAAGCCAGCCGGTTCTAAGCAAGGATCAAAGTCAAAAAGAAGACGTAACCGCCAAAGAAGGGATCACAACGGCCAGTCAAGGGCTTGGGCATCTCAACAATCCCTACTTTCGCAAGACCAGGGTACAACTGCTCGACAGCTAGGCTCTTATGGAACAGTGGAACCAAAAGCTGGTATTTTCTCAAGATATTAGCCAGCCTTTGCCCGGAGGGAAAAGAGGAGACACGAATTTCGACACACGGACACAGATTGCCGAGCTCGCGGACAAGAAATTGGGTACTCTCCATGCATGGCCCCCTTTTCCATGGGTTCTTAGGAATCCTTTCTCTCCTTTCTTTCTCGACCTACAAGTAGGTCTAGACCTAGCGCCGACCTAGCGCCTGCTCTTTTGGTCGTAAACCATTATATTGTAACAGAGCACTTCAGGGTTCGGCGTGCACGTGCGACAACGCACAGAGGCCTGTCCAGCAGATCGGGAATCGAGAACGCGTTTCTGGTTGATACTGACAACAACACCACCACCAACACCACCCAGAGAGATAGCGGCTAGAGCAACGAACGCCTAGCACAGCGGCAGCATCGAGGAATAGGACAGGACTGATGAAAACACTCAGGAATTAGGTAGACGGCGTCAAAAGCCATGGAATTCATGATACTCTGCTCTAACTGTAATGAATGGCACCTCTGCCAGCACTGTAAACTGTTCCGCACCCCCTTCTCTGCCAGCCCATTTAGGTTTGACATGTGACCTGACAGATCTCTGCCTGCCACCGCTCTACCAGCCCAGCACAGCCCATCACAGCACAGCCACCTCGCCTTGTTACAATATACTCCGCTCTCGTCACTTGACCTCGTTAATGTGCTAGAATAAAATACGTGACCCATCAACGAAGTATTCGGGAGCTAGCGGCTTCTAGAGAAGAGGCAGCCGTTTGACAGGGAGGAGAATGTAGCGCAACCGGAGAATGTCTGACATGATGATCCATCGTGGAATCTCCCCCATCGACAAGTGTGTACTTGTACGCGATGGCCACTGACCTCGTGCTTCTGGACCGACACGTAGTGGACCGTCAGAATGAGGGAGCAAACCTGGCAGCAAGCCCACAAGCTGTGCAGCCATCCCATCCCATCCATGCGGAGCGCGAGACACCAGCTGGGGCGTCGTTGTCAGGGAGGAGGACATGGAGGAGCGGGAGATCTGAGGCTCTGCCGAGCACTGCGAGGGAAGTCTGTAGACTTTATGTCCGTCTGTCCAAGGGCTCCGTCAGCGTCACTTCACACTTGTGCTCTTAAAGGTTCCGCTCGATGGCCGCATGTAGGTGTTCCCTCTTGGAATTGGTCATCGGAGAGCCAAGTCCGGGAAGAGATTACAGGGAAGGGAAGCCTACCTGCAAGATCAGCGACTCTGTAGTTGCAAGTTTGAACTCACGCAGTTGTAGAAGGGCGGCGCACAGAGTCTTTCGTCGCCCTGAGATGGAAGATGGGAGGCAATGCATAGCAGGGTCAGCAGCAGTACCATTTTGCTTGGCGCCTGGGAGAAGTGAAATAGGAAGGATTGTTAATCAAGGCAATCAAGGAGACGGAGTGCCTCTAGGTTTTCGAAGCACGGAGAGCAGAAAGGAAAACTCGGTCCAAGTGGCACTAGGGCGAATGGAACAGAAAGGTTTCATTGAATGAATTTGGATTGTGCAAGCTAGACTAAGAGATACCACGCAGCCAGCTGACGGACAAGGTCCAAAGCTGTAGAATGGTTGACAATCGCCGGCAGACCCAAGCGCACCCTCATATGAGGCATGGACGAGAATGCCTGTTCGACTGTACTTTTTTTTTGGTCAATTTCCATTTTTCCCCATAAAACAAATGCTGAGTAAGAAAAAGGCCCGTTGAGACTTAGGGCTTCGCCTTTTGTTCCGAAGCAGAGGCTTCAACTGCTTTGAAAGCGCCCAAGCACGATTTGGAAGATTTGACTTTTGACTGCATAGACAGGTGGATCGTACTCGAACAAGAGAATGGGATGTGGATGCATGCATCTAGACCCGGACTCCTCGTCGCATCGGTGACGTTGAATTCGGTCACGGGCCGGGGTCAGCGGATGCTTGCCATGGTAGCCATGAATGGTAGCCATGAGAAGGAGCTTAGATGTACCACATGGAGAAGACGATGCCTTGGACGTTGAAAAGGGGCATGAGTGATTTGATCTCGGACTCGGAAGGCTCAGAGCTTTTGCTTTTGTCTGGATCCTTCTGCTTGAACCCAGCACCGCCTTGGGGACCGGCAGTGGCAGGGACATCTTCGTGAGCCTTTGCACGGTTGGAGGCCAGATGAGCGTAGTAGACCGCCGGATGAAGCGACACGGAAGTCGTCGAGCGCATGTATTGGTAGCAATGCTCGTAGATCATGTTTTGGATCTGCTCCGGACGGTGTTTGGCCTCGTCAAGGATGACACTGTAGTGCACCGGACGGGAAGTTCCTTGCAACGCGATGTGTGAGTAGAGATAGAAATCAAATTCGGTAGGTGTAGTAACGTCTCTCTCGACCAGCGTGCCCGGCAGAGGGTTGCCTTTGTTGTCCGCACCTTCTCTGTCGGGGAAGCAACGGACATGGTGGCGCTTGCTTGCGATGATGGTCGTAAGCTTGCCTTCGAACTTCTTGCCATCGATGCAGGCCTCGAGCACCTGTCTGATATGAGGCACTTCCCGGTTGAGCACATGGGCGAACTGATCCTGAGAGACTCCGTCGCGTATGTAGTAGACTTGCTGAGGAGGTCGGCCGCCGCCAACCTGCGACATCCACTCGGTCACAAGAGGTCTCAAGATATCACGCCAGTTGGCCTCTGAGATCATTTCCATTTTACGGCCGTTGGTTTGACAAGCAGCGACGTAACGGCCACCAAATCGATCGAATGAAACGGTTATAGCCGCCATCGAGGCCTGCTGACTGCCGGGTGAAGCATGCGAGACGTCAGCACCGATGATCATTGTCGGGACAGAGAACCGTTTGAAACCGCTGTCTTTGTGGGGCACAGCTTGAGATGTTGTACCGCCTAGTTTGGCGTTGACCTTCATCAAGACATTGGAGTAGTACTGAGGGTTACCCTTCAGGACTTGTTGAATCTGCATGACTTGCGAAACGACACCGAAGCGACAGTCGCAGGACTTCTTGATTCGAAGATAGTGGAAGGCATTTCGGTCTTGGACCAAGAAGATCAGGAGCTGTGGTCGACGTTGGTGATGATTGCCGGTTGATTGGTGTAGTGCGGCAACGGCGGCGCCGACATCCTGATTGAGCACGGTGACAAAAGGCGGGTTGCTTGCAACCTGGCCGCCGTGGCCACGATAAGCGCGGGCGAAATCAAGGACAAACTGATCAATCACAGCTCGATCAGGCTTGAAACGACCGGTGAAGACGCCGACTCCCCAAGACTCAAGTATCTGAGGGTTACGGGTGAAGAAAGTCTTCCCCTTGAGGTCCCAACGACCTCGCGTACCAGGTTGGTCAAGCTTGTTGCCGAATTGGATCCCAGGCGCTGGGAGAATGCGCGCAGTGCTCTTGATCGGCGTCTGGCTGATGCGAAGTCCGTAGTTTGTCAAAAATGGGTCACCGTCCCAGTTCAACCAGCCTTTGCCCTCATTGATGGCTTGGAGTCGGACGTTTGGAGGAGAGACGGCGAACCTGATCATGTTGGCGGTCTGGATCTCGCTCAGCTTTGCGCCGTATCGCTGGCCCTCGACAATGTTGAGGAATTCCAGAGGATACTTGACACCCTTCTTGGTCATCTGAACCAATCGTAGTCGGGGATATTGCAGGGTGATGTTGTATTTGCGTCTGAAGTACTGGTATACAGAGACCCTCTCACCGGTAAGTTTCTTAGTAGTTGGATCCTTCCATTCGATCATCTCTTCGTTGGCATTGTTTTCATCAAATCGATGGATTTTCCACTCTTTATTGGGGAATGGATTGCCCTTGTACACAGCCTTGACCGTAACGCCCTTGAAAGCAGCCTCTACATTTCTGTGAAAAAAGCTGCTGGTTCGATGACCGTTGGTTTGCTCCGGTTCCATTTTCTCGATAACATCATTGATGTCCCTGACTTCTGGATATTTGGTGACGATGGTTGAAGTCAAAGAGGTTGGTCTCCAGAAACAGGTGTTTGCGACGTCCAAGTTGACGACCAACTTCTTGCCTTCCGCAAGACGAATGGACTGATAAACGCCACGCCAAACCTCGATGCCACCGCCCAGATCAGCACGCTGACCTTGACGTCTAAAGAGGCTTCGCTTCACGGAGACAAACTGCGGGGAGGACGACGGCGTTTCCCGGAGAAGATGGTCCATGAATGTAATCGCTTCTGCGACTTTCTCATCGAGCTGCACACGACCTTCTAGGAACTGCTGAATGAGGCTGATGTCAAGCATTCGGGTTCTCTTGATGTGAAGACGGAAAGTATTCTTGCCATCTTGAGAAGGAGGACGACCTTCTTCCTGATCGAGGTCAACCATGAGGCGAATCTCGTTGTAGTCCTTCAGGGACCATGCAAGACGAACGCCATCGTAGATGATGGGCGGACCTGTGGCGGTCTTGCGAACTTGAGAGTTCCAGACCTTGCGGTTGAGACCCCGCTTCTCTACTCCACTGCCGATGACAACATCATACTGGAAGACCTTGACAGAAGGATACTGTATGACTCGGAACGCGTTGACGTTGACGTTGACCGATCTGCCGGTCTGGTTGTACCCGGGACGCTGGGTGTACTGGGTGGGAAGATTGTACTGCTCAGGATTAGTGGCATTGCGGGTATAATAACGCTGGATGGTTTCTGGGCGATGCCTGGAATCGGGGGGAGGAAAAGATTCTGGATGGATAGGAGATGCGCCTTGTTGGAGAGATGGGGAAGCAGGCGGGGAGTTGTAACCGGACTCAGATCCGGGCCCTCTGGAAGCTTGCATTTTGCATGGAATTGGAGAATAGGTCTGTGGGAAGAGAAAGACACAGAGCGAGGGAGGAAGGGGTATAAATAATCTGGGACATGAGAACCGCACGGTCCATGTCGTGTACAGGAACTGGTGGTACGACGAGGGGTGACTATCCGAAACAATGGGGACGTAATTCTGGAGAATAGGCACCGCAGGCTTTGAAGGGGCATTGAAGATATCCGCGTTGAAGATTGAGCATGGATGTCGACAGGCGGTGCGCAAGAGGGAAGAAGCGAGATGTTGCAGAAGACCTGGACGGGGGAACCTTTGGAAGTCGAGGGGAAAGGGAAGACATGTGTCATATTGAAGGAGCAGAGATAGTGCAGTGTAAGAAGCAAGGACAACGACGGTGCAGTGCACAAAACAAGGAAAATAACTCACCAACTGATCGATGTTGTAGAAGGACGGTGGAAGATCGATATTGCGCATCTGGTCCGTATATCTCGCAGGTCTCTCCCGTGCCGGATCACCTCGAGGTGCGTTCGCCTGGGTTTGCGATGAGGGTGGTGGACCGCCAGACTGGCTACTGCGACGGCTGCTGGGAGGTTGAGTTTGAGGTTTGAAGCCTCCTTGCGGGACACTGGGACTACCAGCACCAGACGCAGCAGATGGAGCAGTGGAAGCCGCACCACGCCCTGCAGAAGCAGGACCAGACTGAGAGGCACTTCCTCGAGAAGCAGGCCCATCAAAGCCACCGCCTGGGACTTGGAGTCGATCGCCACGACGAGAAGAGGTTTCGGCCGGCTGTTGACCCCTAGTCGCACGGCCAGCGCCTCGCTTACGCGCTGACCCAGACATGTTGTCTCGAGGAACCGGAGGCTGTTGGTCAAGGAGTCAGTGTGAGAGCTTATAGAGGAGAGAACGAGTCTCGAACGTGACCGGAAAATCGGGGTGGCTGACAACAACGAGAGATGTTGCAATGTGAGGATGATGAGCTAAGTGTTGGGGGTTCTGCAGAAAAGATGATGAGACGAGATGAGCCAGCAATATATGGAACAGAGGTTTGTGGTTGTGCGCAGAAGGAGTTTGGATTGTGTTGTTTGTTGGTTTGTTTGTTTTGTAGGTGAGGCAGAGAAGAGAGAAGTGAGGGAAGTGCAACTCAGGTCTGAAAGAGCATGGCGGATTGAGAATGAGGGCAGATTGTTGCAAGCAAGGGCGAGCGACGAAAGCATCGTCAGCAACTACTCACCCTGGGTGACTGACAAGTCGGTTGAACTCAACTGAGTGGAAGATGTTGTTGATGGTTTGGTGAGATACAGTGAGGCTGCCTCGCGAGAGACAACTCTGGAGGAGAAGTTGGCTATCACCCGAGGCGATCAAGACAATGATGATGAAATCGATGACGGACAGTGACAATGAGTGAGGAGAAGGAAGAAAAGGAAGAAGAGAACGAACAAAGGTGGTGAGGATGGAGAGAGAGAGAGAGAGAGAGAAGCAAAGTGGTAGACGGCGATGAGGAGGAAGATATTTGTAGCAATGACCTGCCGATGAGGCTGGATCACATGCTGCGTCGCCCGTCACTTGTGACCTGCCAAAGCCGCGATATCACAAGGAGTGAAGGATAGAGACGATTGTTGAGGCCCAAGTCAGCTTTCAGTCTTCTCTCAGAGCCAGCCTCATGTTGAGCTCTGTGGGTGAGGTTGACAGAAGGCTCACTAGGTCCGGCAGGCGCCTGAACAGTTGGTCACCTCCAGGTCACCTTCAATGCTAGGTGTATTAATATATCGACCATACTACATCCGACCTAGCAGCAGTAGTTCCAATGCCCAGTGCCAATGGAGTCGGTGGGATGAAACAGGGATCAGCCAACGCCGGAAGCACCCCGCGAGCCCGCGAACCCGCTGAAAGGATCTTCTCTACACCTACTGGGTACACAGAGGCGAGCGAGATGACGCAGACACCAGCTGCAAGACCATGCAGTATGCAGAAAGCAATCAACATGTTATTTGTTTCTCGCAAATCTCAATCCTGGCTGACGCGGCTAACTTTTCCATCCTGCAAGATGCCAATGTAGCCTTCCTGAGACTCGGTGATAGCCTGGCTATTACTTGCTATCTCGCCTGATCCGGACTCCCAACTTGCTAAAATGCTCAAAATCAGGTAACGGTTTTACATCGTGCTCTGCCTCCCAACCCAACCCAGCCAAACCCAACCTCTTCGTCGCCCTTCAATGCCCTGGCCATGTCCTAAGCGTATCGAAACGGTGCTGGTAGCCATGTCAGTGACGTGATTCCGTGAGCTGGGGTGTCAGAACAGCCACTTACCCCCTCCATATGGCCCTTGTGTAACGCTGGCCGGCGGCGCGAAGCCTTGTGGCGGCATCGGCACTGGTGGATGCGGTGGGTACGGTGGCCAGCCTGCCTGAGGTGCTGGGGCCGGAGTCTGGCTGTGCTGGCCTGGAACCGCTGTCGGTGGAGGTAGGCGAACATCTCGAATGAGCTCCATGATTTTCACTGCGTCAAATCTGGTGTCAACATACGTCGACGCGTTGGGGAGGATGCTCAGAAGGTAAGCAACCATTGGGGGCAAGGGCGGCGGAGCTTGGAACTGCGGCATCCCAGCGGCTGGCATGGCCTGGCGCTGCTGCTGTTGCTGTTGCTGCTGCTGCTGCTGCTGCTGCTGCTGCTGTTGCTGACCCATGCGGCGGCCCGCGGCCCCTTTCAAAGGCGACTCGCCACGCGCCAGTTTACGGGGCTGAACATCTTCGAAATCATCTGGGAACGGTCGCTTCGGTGAGTGGGTTGTAATCGCATCAATCACCTTCTGGATGGGCGAGTTGACGACTTCTGGTGCCTCTACAGAGGGTATCACTGTATTTCGCAGAGGTTTGATTTGGTGTGGCGAGATGACGGGATAGATGTTCATGGTGTCGAAGGTGGGTGTGCTATATCGGCTGGAGAAGAGTTTGAGAATAGGATCCTCAGGGAAATGCTTCTTCATCCGCTCTTCTAGAGACTGGACCTGAGCTAGTTCACCGTACTTGGATTCGTAATCGTGCAGAAATGCGAACAACGGTTGGGCCTTTGCTGTATGTTTGGCGTCATCGTGAGCGAGGAGTCTCTTGACCGTGGTTTCGAAAACCGCCCGTGCGTTTGTAACGTCGTTGATGTCAAAGAGGTGCTTGACGTACTGGAGCGGGAGGTAGTCGTCTTCGGGGAACAGCTTCATTCCGCGGTCCAGGATCTTCGTACCGGTTGGATCTCGATAGCACTGCCACTCAATCCGCGCAGATTCGACGTAAAAGTCGCTTGTGAGCTTGCCTCGCTTCCGCGCCTCGCCAAAGACAGCACGGAAGCCGCTGGGACCTCGTTCCGTAGGCAGTCCTTTCCCCTGCACTCGTCGGGTTGCTCGCATGAGCGCAATCCAAACATGCGACACCATTCGACTGAGGACATCCGTCTGTGCTTGAGCGCTCTTCTTGATCGTCTCGATCTGGCTGTCGATGACGGCTTTCTTCGCCGCCACGTTCGAGGCGTTGATGTCGTCATCCCCCACGCCATCTTCTCCATTGCCCATAGCAGTGAGTTCGACCTTCTGAATGTCTTGTTTCTCGCGGATAGACACTTTCTTGATTAGGTCATAGAGTGCGTCCAGAAGTTTGTCATACGGCTCCCGAATTTTCTTCATCCGTTCTTTGGCACCAGGATCCGCGCTTTCGTCGTTCTGGGTCGACGCCTCGATGCGGTCTGCCAGTTTGAAGGCCAGCAGGGGCGACTCGGGATTAGCTGCGATGCCTTGGTTGAGAAGCTTGGTGCCATCGGTGTCCAGGCCGTTGCTGAAACAGAATTCAACCGCATCATACCACATCTCCGGCCAGAATTCCAAGGCCATGAGAGCCTGTTTGTATGTAAACAAGATCCGATTCTTGTACAAAGCAAGGTCTTCATCTTTGAGAACAAGGTTATCCTCTTTCTCCCATTCGATCCACTGCTTCCACAGAGCGACTTGCTGCATATACTCGGCATGACCCTCGAAGCCAGGCGCCGGTGGCAGTTGCGGCCTAGAGGTCCGGTTTAGACCTTTTGTCAAGTTCTGCAGCTGGGTATATGCCGTTCGGGCAGTCATGTATACGGGGGACTTCTCTTGAAGGTATTTCCGACCCTGGAAAGCTATCAGCACAATATCCTAATCCATGTGCTGCAGTCTGTAACGCACGTTAATCTTGTTCAGCCCTGTCTCGAAGGTATCGTATTCTTTCCACAGCGGCATGGTTGCTGCAGTAGGAACAGCAATTGCTTTCTGGTATGCCTCCCGCAAGGCGTCGACTTTTGCCCCATCTTGCCAACCACTGCCTCCAACAATTCCCGGACCGGACTTGAGGAAGTTAATGTAATCTTGCCATAATTGGCCCGAGTCCTTGTCCATTCCGATTGTCTTGAGAGCGAAGGTGAAAGAATCGTTAATGATGGTGTACGAGCGAGTAATATCGCCGGTCTGCATGCTGTTCCGCCGGCGGATATAGTTGATGTACAGAGACCAGAGTTGGACATCAAGCACATCCAGCAAAGACCGATTGAAGAGGGTTTCCATCGCCCGCATTCGGTCGTGCTCCTCTTCCCATTTCACGTACGCACACCACTGTTCGGCCTGTGATCTATTAGTTCACTGTAACAGATACGACAGAGGACAAGCACGTACGGCTAGAGGAAAGACTTTGAGATATTGCTCGTACACCCGACGGACATCTTCTTGCTTGTTTCGACTCTTCAGTTCGTCGATTAGTTCAAGATATGCATCAATGTCACCACGGGGGTCATCCTTGATGCGATCTTCCAGAATACCAACCACATCATGAGCTAGTCGAGACTTGGGTAAGCCTGGAGTAACAGAGGCATTCACATGCGAGCGAGGTGGAGAAGTTTGAGTCGGAAGATCAGGAGCAGTGTGAGAAGGTGTGGCAGTGGCAGCACGCACATCAGCGCTGGCACCAGAAGGAAGAGTAGTGGAAGAAGAAAGGTCAGCGTCAGCAGGACTACCAGTGGCCTGGACAGGAACAGGAGTGATTCCATTTTCTTGTTCTGGTGACTGGGAAGCTCTATTAAGGGAACTGGAGTTTTGATTTGCAAGGGTAGGAGCAGGTGTTGAGACATCGAAGTCTAGCCCCACGGATGGATCGTAGACATCAACCTCATCCTTTCCGTCTTGTGTCCCTTCCTCATCTTCAGGATCATCATCAACTTCAAATCCACCCACTATGCGGGGTTTGGATTGCGCAGGAGCGGGCGTAGAAGACTGAGTCAAGGCTGGGGTAGCGGCTTGGGAAGAAAGCTGGCTGACTGGTTTTGTTGGAAGAGGATGAAGATTTGACTGAGTCGGAGATGGTATTTGGTCATGTTGATTATTGACAGGATTATGCTCTGAGGAAGGAAATGGATGCGACAACTGCGCGGCACTGGCGCTCGGAGGATCGAGGGCAGTCGCAGTACCGTTGAAGTAAGATGACTGCGCCGCCGACCCTGAAGATGGAGACGGCAGCTCCGAACCTGGACCTGGATTCGCCATACCGACCTGCCTACTCTCTGTGACTGGTAGAAGGGAGTGAGGAGAAATGGAAAGTTTCTGGGTGGTGTCAGTGTTCGTCTGTTCGTCTACGTGGGCTGGGACACGCGAAGAACAGACTGACTGACCTTTTGCCGCAACCGCAACAGCAACTAAGAGACTGTCTTGAAATTGAGCGTCATAGTCGTTGCCGCCAGAAATAACTGTGGAGAGATTGTCACGAAGTCACAGGATATTGTCTTTGATGAAGTTAAGTTCAGTTCAGTTCAAGCAATGGCAGCGGACGATGACTGGCGCATGCCCTGCTGTTGGAAGTCGTCATTTGAAAATACTCCACGCTCAAAGAAAGCTTCGGCTAACTTACCTCCACCGACAATATTCTTCGGCTAACTTGCCTCAACATACTTGTTAGAGTGCTAGCAATCTGCGGGAATGGAAAGGCGACGACGCGACTTTTCACGCGACAACATCGCCCCCTCGCGATTTTCTTACAAACACTCGGCAACAGTCGTATCCAACAATCGCGATACCTTCACTCTTCCAGAAGATCATTTAACCTACATTTGTCGCGAGGGCCACGACGTGTGCGCAATCAACTGCTTTAGTGGCACCTGTCGTAGCCATGTCGGTGGTCTCTTTGTTGGGCGTCAAGGTCCTGAACAACCCCGCGCCATTCACAGCGCCCTATGAGTTTGAAATCACGTTTGAATGCCTTGAGCAACTGCGCGAAGGTGAACATATGGTGGCAGTCTTATCATCTTTACCGCAGATCGGCTGACGAGCGTCTCATAGATCTAGAATGGAAACTTACCTACGTGGGCTCCGCAACGTCTGCGGAGCACGATCAAGAGCTCGACTCTCTTCTCGTGGGCCCCATTCCAATTGGTGTCAACAAATTCATCTTCGAAGCCGATCCTCCCAACCTATCTCGGTTGCCGCCCTCCGAAATTCTCGGTGTGACGGTGATCCTCCTCACCTGCTCCTATGATGGACGAGAGTTCGTGCGCGTTGGTTACTATGTGTATAACGAGTACGATGACGAGATATTGAGTGCCGATCCGCCTGCCAAGCCGGTCATTGAAAAGATTCGCCGCAACGTGCTCGCTGAGAAACCTAGAGTGACCAGGTTTGCCATCAAGTGGTAAGTAGCCCATCTGTTTAATGGTGGCGGATTTGTGGCTGATGCAAATCTGCCGATAGGGATTCCGAAGAATCGGCCCCAGCCGAATATCCACCTGACCAACCTGAAGCCGACACGCTCGATGATGATGGAACAGCGTATGGCGCAGAAGAAGCGGAGATGCAGGCAGCTCTAGAGAAAGAATTGGAAGAGACCGAAGCCAAGATGGCGCGAGAAGACTCGACAAATGGAGATCAGGAAATGACAGACACCGCTAAAGTCAAAGACGAGGATGAGGAGGCCAGCGATGCTGAAAGTGAGGATCTTGAGGAGGAGAGCAGTGAGAGTGAAGACGAGGAAGACGATGAGGAGGGCGCAGAAGGCGAGGATACAGAGATGGCAGAGGGCGATGAGAAGCCCACTGCTGCTCCAAACACCGCTCCCGCACAGTTGAACGGCGAGAAGAAAGGAACAGAGACCAAGCCAGAAGTCATGGTTCATTAGAGCAGCCCAGACAGCAACGCGGCACTGGGTTTCGGATCCGACAGTAAGGCGTTCGGTGTTTCGACTGGGCGGTTTTTCATGTGAAGATGAGCGAACATGCATTGCATATTAGATGAAACGAAGAGCACGATTGAATTGAGGACATTGCTTCTAAAGGAGCCACAGACACCATTGTCCCCGCGAGGTTGGTATCGGCATATGCTTGCCCTGGTGGTTGCATATTAAAACAGAGGCGTGGCTAATCGCTGAAATGAATTACATTGACCTCAAATCCTTTCAAGCCGGCTGAATGGGCGGGGGGATTACTACCCACCGTCCTCGTCTGACGAAGCAGCTAGTCGTTGACTAACTACATTGCCCGACACCGTTCCATGTGCACCAGGCGGTTCTGTGAGACGAAGACAACCTCAAGCGGCCATTTTATTCTTTCCGCCATGAGACTTCTCTGTTGAAAGTCCCAACGTCCCTCAAACACAGAGTCCTGTGCGGTCCCAAGCTCCATTCTGTATCTCGAAGGAGAAGTACACAAGATCGATCGTTTCGAAGTTTGCTCATTAGACATCGCCATGAAGGATAACTTCCATGCGACCACACTCGAGATGTTGATGTCGACTCGATCGGCAGACGAGACTTACAACGAGGGTGAAGCGTCTCGAGATGGAATCGCAGCAACAACGTTTTGAAAGACCCCCGATCCAATTCAAGTAGATCGTCAAGCGTACCCAAGTCAAACAGCCGAGTACACAGCCGTAACGTTCCTCCCGCACACCACGCGCTGCTCAATTCTTACTTTCCTCCCGCTCCCCTTCAACCGTACATCGTGCATTGGTGTCAAATGCAGTCTATGCTCCTCCTTTCTCCCCATCTCAACTTCACTAGCCATATCCAATGGCCGTATGTACATGGGAATTGGCACGTTGTTCCTCTTGCCCGTACCCAGCTGGTAGAATTCGTTTCCTCCCCACCAGAGAACATCAGACCCCCAGTTTGTGTCGTCTTCCGAGGACCTTTCCGAGGCATCCAGATAGGTCACGTTTTTGAGCACAGCGGAGGCGTGAGTGCTACCGACCGAGATCTGGGACATTCGAATCGGCACCACTTTTTGGGTCTTTTCGTCGTACTCGAAGAGGCCCGACAAGGATGGAATACGTGTAGGGGTGCCTTGGATATGTGTCCATTTTCCGTTTCCTAGGGTCCCCCTAATGCCCAGTCCGCAAGCCCATGTATCGGCCGTGACTTTCCCCAAGGTTGAGATTGAGTTGGGATCTTCATCCTGGCCAGCGATGCGGGTCGCGTCGATTGTAAAAAAACTGTTTGAGCCGCCAGCAGCAATGGACGTGACTTTGGAGGATTGATTGGTGCCTTGATAGAGACGAGTGGTAGGCAGGAGAGAAGGCGTGTCGACGATGGCGGCTTCCGGGTTGAAGTCGAAGCCAAGTTGGCCCGAGGAGTTGTCACCGAAAGCAAAGACACGGCCTTCTTTGTCGAGCACAAGGGAGTGGTGGTCTCCAGAGGCAAGCTTAGTTATCTCGAAGCCCTTCAGAGTCGTTAGTTCGTGGCACATGTCATATCGGCCTTCAGGACGAGTGAGCCATGTCACTCCCGGAACGCCCAGTTGTCCACGACTAGGGAAGTCCTCCGTTCCCGAAGCGGCAGAGAAGACCCGTCCCGAGTTTGTGAGTAGGAGGACGTGTTCAAGGCCGCCGCTGATGGCGATGACTCGTTCTCCCACTCCCAAATTCCGAGGTTCAAGCTTTCTGTAGCTGATTGACGACTTCGAATTCCAGAAAGGAATCCAAGAACTATCGCTCTGTTTGTGCCCGCTTTCCTGATCCGCCTTGGAGACTGGGATCGAATATACGGTTCCGTTTTTGTCCAGACCGATAATGCGATCTTTCGATATTGCAATGGACGTCAAATTCTTGCCCGTCAGAGTGGCCGTCGGCTGCCTTACGTCTTCCGAATATGCATTGCCCCATTGCACCAAGTCTCCATTCTCCAGGACTGCTGCACCAAAATCCCTGTCAATCTTAAGATCTCGGAGCAGGATATCATCAAACCAGCTCAATCGTCGCGGCGTCTTGACATATGCCTCATCTGACCCTGGGGCCACAACCCGGCCGGTATTTGATCCCCAAGCATATACCCCAGGATTCTCCCAGCTCTTCTTGACTTGAAGATGCTGAGAGCTGATGAGATCCCTGTTCTCTTCTTTTGAAGCACCCTTTCTCTTCTTAGATTTTTCGATTACGATCTCTTGGGCATCTGAGGGAGGAGCTTCTGCTTGGACGGCGCGAAACTGGGTGGTTGTGTAGACTAAAGCAACGGTGGCTGCTGCAGCAATTATGACGGCGGACTGTCTCTTCCATGCCTGGTGAGTAGCAGCATAGTCTGAGGCCTTGTGGGAAATGCGTCTTGCCTTCGAGAACGACACCCGAGATCTGAGTTGCGAGAGAGGCACTCGTCGCGAACGAGCAAAGGTGCGGACAGCGGAAGCGGGCAAACTCCTTGAAGACATGGCGTGACGGCGGTAGGGCTCGGCTCACATATTCGAACAGCAGTTTGTCGTCAACATGGATAAGTAGAGAGTCAACCCACCTAGTAATATTAAACAGACCGCAGGCACGTATTCGGAAATCGTTTGCGTCATTGAATGGAGCGACAGCCTCGTCAGACCCCAAGCAATAATATTGGTGGATCCGGTTCAGCCTTGTGCTTGCATTCTCCGCCCTCACCTCAAAGGCTGTTCGCTTTGTATTCCATGATCCACAGGCCATGAGAAGGCCGGCATTATGCCTTCATGGCGAGTCTTATGAGACACATCTAAGCAGCCACGACGTCGTTGCAGGCTAGTTCATGGCCATGGCCTCGGAGGCAAGAGAAAACCCAGACAACGAGCAAGATGCCACTCTAGCACAACTCGAAAGTGCAGAAACAGAACTCGATGTGTTCAAGCTATCCGGAGACATAGATGATGTCCTATTGGACGCCGGTCTCGATGAATACCAGTGCGCTGTGGCATTATCACTAGACTAAGTTATCCTCACTGAACATCAGGACAGGCAGTATCTTGATCAACTCGACGCCGCCCGCTCTCACCTCGATACCCTCCTCGCATCCACCGCCGCCACACTTGACGAACTTTCCTCCATCTCCGCATCCTTCAAGTCTGTCAGTGCCCAAACAAAGTCCTTCCAGGCCCAGTCGGTTTCCATTCTAGAAGAACAGCGCAAGAGCGAGGTCGTCGCACAAGGAATCGCCGAGAATCTGCGTTACTATGAGCCGCTCGAACGAATCACCCGTCGCCTCAATGCGCCGCAGGCAGGTAATTTTGTCGGTAGCAAGGACTTTTCCGACATGTTGGTCACCCTGGACGAATGCATAGATTACATGCAGACACACCCATCCCATAAGGAAGCGGAAACCTACAGGTCACGCTACAGGCTCCTCCTCACCCGAGCATTGACGCTGGTGCGGAATACATTCATGGCGGCGGTGCGGGAGACTACCACCGAAGTTGCCGGCCGCATTGCAGCGAAGCAGCTCAATGACACAACCATGTCCGCACTCCTATATGCGAAATTCCGCGTGGGGGCGGCGGAGATGAAGGAACTCGGCCTGGAGATCCAGAAGCGAGCGAATCCGCCAGCGGACGCAGAGCCAGGCACAGAAGGGGAATACCAGAGCCTGATGAACGAGTTGCACTCCAGCTTCGCTGCTTGTCGAGGCAGATTGATTCTGCCCATCGTGCAAAAACGCCTGACGGAGACGGCTCAATTGCCCGGTTCTAAGGACCTGGTCCAGTTTGCAAGGGCCAGTATTGGCTATATCCGGGGCATCTGTCTCGACGAGTTCGAACTGTGGTCAGAGTGGTTCCACGGCTATCGTGGGCTCTACGATTTCCTCGAGTCGATTTGCGAACCGCTATACGATCATCTTCGTCCGCGGATCATTCATGAGAACAAGCTCTCTAAGCTCTGCTCGCTAGTCACTTTGCTCCAGACACGCTACCTCCACGACGAGGAAGAAGACGGGCCCGCCGACCTGAATCAACTCGATTTCTCTGCGCTCATCCAACCGGCGCTGGAAGACGCACAAACCCGCCTTGTTTTCCGCGCGCTGGCCATCCTCCGCGAAGAAATCGAAATGTTCAAACCCAAACCCGAAGACCTGGACTATCCGCGACTCACCTCTGCTCCGCCTATATCAGCCACCGCACCGCTGTCGGGACGCCGCTCTTCTCGCGACGCTCTGACATCCCTGCCCAAAACCCCCGCCACCGACGACCTAGACGACGACTCGGGCGAAGAGGGCTCCTTCAGCTGGACACTCGCCTCGTCGCGCCGGTCCGCCCTGAAGCACTGCTACCCTACCCTTTCGAGATCCCTGCGCCTGTTGTCCCGCATCTACCGCCTGGTAAACTCGTCGGTGTTTGACGACCTGGCGCACCAAATCGTGCACCAGACCACCCTATCCCTCGTGACCGCATCCCAACAGATATCCACCAAATCCTCGCCGGTCGATGGACAACTTTTTCTCCTCAAACACCTGTTACTTTTGAAATCGCAGATAGTGGCGTTTGACATCGAATACGTCACCCCCGACGTGAGCTTTGACTTTTCGGGCGTGGCGTCCACGTTTTGGGAACTCCGCGAACGAGGCGGGCTCTTCAACCCGGCGAGTTGGATAAAACTGTTTAGCTCCGGCCGGTTGCTGCCTCGGGTGGTGGAAAACATGCTTGATGCAAAAGTAGAAATGGACGGCCAGTTGAGGACGGCGATCAATGAGTTCACAGCAGGTTTCGCCGCAGACATGTGCAAAGATCTTCCCAAGGACTTGGAGAAAACGGGGTCTAGTAAAAGGGGCGACCGGGAAAGCATGTTGGCTGAAGCAGTGGAGAAGACCCGGACGAGGATCGAGAAAGAGATTCCCATTTTGAGGGCCAAGTTGGAGCAATATCTCGACGATCATCGAACGAGAGAGACGCTGGTCGCCGCGGTGGAGGACCAGGTCGTGCAGATTTACGAAACGTTCTTCGACGCATATATTACGTCCCAATCGGCCGGGAAAGCTGGCACGCGGAACGGGAAGGTCAACGGTGGTGCGGCGGGGATGGGAGGGGTGACGCCCATCTCCCGCAAGGGAAAAAGTCCAGAGAATGCAGTGTGGGATCTCGATACATTTGCTGAATGGGCCGAAGGACTGTTTAATGTCGCTTTGCCCCGTGTTGAGGAGGAGGAGGAAGAGGTCGTGGACGGCGATGACAGCCATGTCGCTTCGAGGAGTTTGTCGAGGAGTGGCAGTCTGTAGGCAGAGCAACAGAGGCGGTACCCAAATATCCTCGCACAACGACGATGTTTTGATTCAGCTGACTCTGACGTGTGAATATGGATTGATTGTTCGTTTGCCGTATGTTTCGTACCTCCTATGTATGTATGATGTCCACGGCCTAATGGTACATCCATATTCCGTACGTATGCTCAATCAACCTCCCGCAGGAAGCCGTGCTCCAAGGTTGACCTTCCCCCTGCCGCGTCCGACCTGGTGTTTGCGCGCCCGTGCGACCCAGCATCTCGCAGCCTCGGCGACGCCTCCTGCCATGGCGCACTCGCGGTCCAAGAGGGCCCGGATGGCCGTTTGCACGGGACTCCCGTCGGCTTCCCCTTGGGTTTCATCGCCGTCGCCACTAGGGCCCGCGGTTGTGAGGGTTTCGTGCTCCACCGCCTGTTGCTTCTTTATTTTCTCTGTACCGCCGATAAGGCCTGCACGGTCACAACTATGTCGCTGCGCCCTTTCGTCTGGCGCGGCATGGATTGCCGCTGCATGAGGAATGGTACCGCCACCACCACCACCACCACCACCACCACCGCCACTGGCGGAGGGAGGAGCCGTCAAAGTCCGCCGCCTGTTCCCCACGATGCCGATGTTCCGCGTGCTCGGAATGCGCATGAGTGTCAACTCGACGTCGTTGCCGAGCTCCAGTGCCAGCGATACGACTTTCTTCGTCAAACAGGCGTACATTGACGCGTCGTCCGTGTGGTTCGCTGCTCTGGACTTGGTGGCGCGGAGGGCCCTCAAGTCGCCGCTGGCAGGCTGCTGCTCGGCATTGGCGCTGCCAAGGTCCGTAGTAGGACCGGATGGCGGCGATGCGAAACTGGCATCTCTTGGTGAATAGCGGTGTTTGGCGCCGCTGAGGGCGTGCGAGCAGCATGGGATGGCCAGGAAGGGCAGAGGTGAGTCCGGAGATGAGAGGGTGGCGAGAAGGGGTGTCCAGGGCGTGAGTTCGTCGGCGTGGTTGGAGATGATAAAGGTGCCCGGTTTGAAGATTCCGTTATGGATCCTTGCGCCTGCCTCCTGGAGCTCGTTGATCTCCTCGGCGCCAACATGGTCCAGGAATGGCTGTGGAATGCAGACCATCTCATCTAGGTAATCGTCTATCTCGAGAACGTCCCATGTAGTCCGTCTGCGGACATCAAAGCCACGTCCCTGGTATCCCTCTTTGACGAGCACGTACGTCAGAACACCGTTTCCGCATGCAGTATCAACGAAGCCTGGAAATGCGTCTGGCTTTGGATACATTGGGCTCCAGAGCTCGATGACGAAGGCGGCGATGGCAAGGTCTTCGAACACGTGTTTGGACGGTTCGGTCTTCTCTGCCCAGCGTGATATGAGGTCGTGGGCGTGTCGCTCTTTCAGGCGGGTGTAGGTGTGTTGGACGGCGTGTTGTGGGAGTATCGTGTCTTTCAGGGCCGAAGGCGCAAGGGACACGGTGGTCAAAGCCTTTCCGTCCATCATCTTCCGGCCGTCTTCAGCGACGATCTTTTCTGGCGCAGGGTTCTTTGCAAGCCTGAGGAAAGTCTGGAGCAGGGAAACGAACGTGCGCTGCGTTCGGGCTGGCAACGGGTCAGGAGACGTTGAGAAGGGGAGAAAATGAACAGAAAGCGTCATCTCGGTTCCCTGTTTTTGGCGAAGATATGCCACAGACTTGACAGGCGGATGATACCATGGCATATCAGCCTCGGTGTCTACTTGCGGTTCGTAGACGACAATACATCCCGAACCCTCGTCTGTCCCTTCGATGAGCCTGTAGATATAGCACCACTGGTCAAGCGAACGATCAAGCTGGGGCTTCCGGGGAATGAGTTTTCGCAAGATCTTTCTCTGCAAAATGGCGCCCTCAAACACGGGTGCTGAGGGCACGGGTTCGGGCTCCTGGGGCTCATCTCGAGTCACGGCCTTGTCATCGCTGCGAAGCACTCCGGTGGACTGAAGATAGAAGGTCTCCTTCTCCGAGACCGTCTTCAGTCTGTGCGCGCTGTCGTACAAGATGTCGGCCCGGAAAAGATGGGTCGAATTCAGATTTGGATTTTCCAACAGCAGATCTGTGACCTGCAAGAATCTGTCGGCCGAAAGAACGCAAGACTGCGAATATTCCGGTGCAGTTTTCCATTCCTTGCTGCCTGCAATTAGCCTGTCGAGGGCCATTGTTGTTGGGATGGCCCAGTAGTGTCATCCTTCAAGTCATCTCTTTGCATCGGAATATATCGCAGTGCGAGTCCACAGTACAAAAGGCATGAAAGGGTACTCTCCCATTCAATACAATCGCGCCCGGTAAAAGTAAGCCAAGAGACGGGCTCGGAGATGCGACACGAGCCGCACAAAAGGTGGCGTTCAGATAGTTTTACAAGAGTCTTAAACCCTGTAAGCCGTACTTCGTGATTGCAAAATAAGTAAAAAGAAAAACAATGCCCTAAAAAGATAGTGACGCCCTGGGAGAGGCCTGCAGACATTGTTAATTCTGATGTGCCTTCAAGGATGATGGGGGTTGCACATACTCGAACTCTCAACCTTGAGATTGTCATGGCTGCTTAACATAGCTGCCTTAAAAGTCTCACTGAACACAACGTTAGAATTCATATTCAGGTATGTTGCGAGACACAAAACCTACCGCGCTGACCAATTGTGCCACCAGGGCATTTAGTCACCTTTTTTGGTGATGCTTTATATCAACCTGCGTCTTCCTTGGCGAGCTTGGATAGGCTGTTGGGCCCCATGAACTCCATACCGGACCCACAATGCACTTAAAATGCCTCTACCCATCGTTGTGCCCTCTCGCCCAGACTAGATCTCAGGATATATACCACTGTGTTGAGTTATATCTTGCTCACGTCTTTCTTCTCTTCTCACGATGTCAGGCAACACCACGATGCATTTGCAGAGGACCAGCAAGACTGATCAATACAGGGGAAGGAAAAAAAAAAAAAAAACCTAGAGGCAAGGAATTCCATTTCCCGCAAGGGCTACTCCTCCGAGAACAATGTAGATATATTCGACAAAGACAACCAGAAAGGGGTAGTAAGGGTAATATGTGCGCTCGCTCCCCAGCAACAAGCCATTTCCGGAATCTATAACTTTGCCTTGGTCGTACCCTGTTGTTTCTTCCTCTCCTCAAACCATTCTTTCACCTTTTGCCTCGCCACCTCGACAACCTCCTTGTCCTCCACCGTCGCAGGAATGTTGACCTCCTTGTCGTATTGTCCCTGGGCGGCATTCTCCACCAATTCTCTCAATACACGCCGTAAAGTCTTTCCGCTCCTCGTCTTGGGAATCATCCCTTTACCCTGGATGATACCACCCAACGAGGCAATGGCGCCGATTTGATTTCGTACGAGATTGTTGATACCAGTAAAGAACTCCTTGGAGGGCGTGGCGGGAAGGTCGGAGTCGGTGGCGGCGGAAGGGATGACAAAAGCGAACGGTAAGTGGCCCTTCATGGGATCGGGAACGCCCACGACGCAAGCTTCGGCGACTGAGGGGTGGGATGTGATGGCCTGTTCGATAGCGCCTGTCCACGGAAATTGTTAGCATGCAAGTTTCCTGTCAAGATGATAGGGCTCGGGGTCATACCGGTGCTGAAGCGATGCGCGGCAACATTGATGATATCGTCGCTTCTCGACATGACATGCAGATACCCATCCTGATCGATCATTCCGGCGTCTCCGGTGTCCACCCACTTGCCATTAAATCGTCTCAAATAGCCCTTGTAGAACCTGTCATCGTCATTGAATAGCGTAGTAAATCCGGTGGGAGCCAATGGCATGGCGAGCACAATATTTCCCATCTTGCCTTGTTCGACTTCGTTTCCCTCATCGTCGACGATGCGCACATCGAATCCAGGCATCGGTTTGCCTGCACTGCCAGGCTTGATGGCCAGTGCCTTGTGCTCCTCGCGACTGTAGTGATCGTGCCCAATAGCAGGGCGTAAGGCGAGGCCGGTCATGGGACTACCACTCTCGCTGGACCACCAATGGTCAATCACTCTCGCATCCGGAGCGGCGTATTTGCTCAGCAACTGTTGATAATGGGTGATAATGGCCGGTTCTGATCTCTCGCCGGCAAGAAACAGTGCCCGCCAATGCCTTAACCGACCCTTCTCGCCGTATTGCTTGAAGAGTTTGTCTTCGGGATCTTCTTTTCGGATGGCTCTGAGCGCGGTCGGGGCGGTGAACAGCGTTGTGACCTTATGTTCGTCGACCAGCCGCCAAAATGCGCCGGCGTCAGGTGTGCCAATGGGTTTCCCTTCGTAGAGGATGGTGGTTGCTCCTGCCAGGAGAGGCGCGTAGACGATATAGGAATGTCCGACCACCCACCCGATATCGCTGCCGGTGAAGATGATGTCGCCAGGTCCCTTGACGTCAAAGAGGTATTTGATGCTGAAATTGAGACCCACGGCATGACCGCCTGCTTCGCGGAGGACGCCCTTAGGCAGACCGGTTGTGCCGCTGGTATAGATGATGTACAGGCCATCTGTGCTTTTGACTGGAACGGCCTCGGCCCTGATACCTCTGTTCCGGGCGCTTTTGACGAGACGCTGCCAGTTCCTCTGCCCTGCGTCTTTCCTCACAGGGTCCCATCTCCTGATTTCTCGCTCCCAGATGATGGTTTTGCTCGGCTTCCAACTGCTTTGCTCGATCGCGCCTTCGACAAACGGCCTGTACTCCAGAGGCCCCTTTGCTCCTTCAATGGCACAGCTGGCAGTCAAGATGACTTTGGGCTTTGCAGCTTCGATCCTCTGAGCCAGACTAGCCGCGGCAAATCCTCCAAAGACTACTGCATGCATAGCACCTAGGCGGACGGCTGCGAGCATTCCAAAGATGGCAGATGGTATCATGGGCATGTAAACCAGCACAACATCTCCCTTCTTGACACCTTCTTCTCTAAGGACACCGGCCAGAACCTCCACCTCGTCCAACATCTGACTGTATGTGTACTTCTCTTTCGACCCGCTCACGGGACTATCCCAGATCATGGCGATCTTGTCGCCATTGCCGGCTTTGACATGGCGGTCGATGCAATTGTACGTGGTGCTAATTTCGCCATCTGGGAACCATGACCAGTGTGAATGTGTGGTCCCATCCTTCAGTTTCTTGGGCTGTTGGCGCAGAACGGCACTGTATGGTTTATGCCAGTACAGCTCTTTCGCATGCTGGTCCCAGAACCGTTCCGGGTCGGATATTGACGCGTTCTGCACAGAGTCCTGGACTGTGTTGTTCGGAGACATGATGTGAGGGACGGAGAGTGTGGCCGGGGCCTCTGGAGGTGGATGAGTGATAGAGTTGAGGTGCAGAAGTCGTAGGGTCAGATAAAGAGAAAGAAGTTATGTAGTTTGGACAGCACGCAGCCTCGAGGCTAGGGAACGATCGATCTAAAGCGCGACGAGGGTGCCTCTATGTATGTCTATGGTCGAAGCATGGAGGACAATTGATCGAATTACCAAGTGATGCTCAGATGGCGTGGTATTCTCTCCGAGTCTGAATCGATCAAGAACCTGTCCAGATGATGTTCGCTCTTTAACAGATTTGCAACAACTGCAGCCAGCTCCTGCAGCAAGGAAAGACCAAGCAAGCAAAGCTCGGAAAGCATTCCAGGGAGAGGATCTTGGTCGCCTGGTACGGGGGAAGGGGGTCGGTCCAACGGAGTTGGACTTGGTTTGGGGAAACGACATCATTCGATCGTCGCCGACTTTGTGGGGGAGGATGAAGGCCGGGGAGAGGCGTAAGAGGTCTTCGATGGATACCGAGGCTGGGGCCATGTTTGCTTGGAGGATGGCAGAGTCTCGGTGGCCAGATGCGGTAGTGATGTTGGGTGAATGCCACAGGCACAATTAATCAGCTCGCCCCGAGACAAGGCCGAGAGATACCCATCTGGGAAATGCTGCTACATAATACTCAAGAGCCTACAGCGTCTCACCAAGCGAAATCGGCATTCATACCTACGATACCTGAGAGAGCATGCACGAGGTGTCACTCCCCTCTCTGGAAACAGTTTCGTACCACCTCCCTACTCTGCTTCCGACTCTCCTTCACGAAATTCGCGAACCACTATATCTATTAAACGAGTCACCCAACACGTGAGCTCGGAGCTTGAAGGTTCGGAACAATAAAAAAAAAAAACCAGCCCTATCCAGAAAACTTCCATTCATTAAATGACCAGCACCCAGGGTGAGGGGTGGGATTTCTCATTGTACCTTCTAAATGTACAAGGCGTCCATCACACCACTCCAACGACTAGCCAAATACTCTATATCCAAGGCGTTGACTGCTAGTATACACAATTGCCCCAAACTTGTCGTGACCGCTACATGTCCATGCCGTGTCGTGCGTACTGCAGCCGAGCCGGCTAGTCGCTGATCCTTGCCCGGGTCTCAGCGCTAAGAAGTCAAAGTGCAAAGCCATGACGGCAAAACAGAAGACAGCCCTCCGCAACCGAGAAGCTCAGTTTGGAAAAGCCCATCGACAATTCCAAGTCATGGCCCCAAGGTCTCCAGCTTACAGGAGGAAGGCAGCAATAGCACCAACACCGGCAAGACCAGCGCCAACGTTGGCAACGAGGGCGTTGGCTGCGCCAGTGTAGGTAGCGACGGCTGGGGCGACGCTGGATGGGGCATAGGACGACCAGGCGGCGCTGGACGTGCTCGCAGCCGCAACGGGGGTGTAGACAGAGCTGGTGACAGCGACCGAGGTGGAAGACCAGTCAGCCCAAGTGCCGGTGGACACGGCGGCGACGGAACTGCTAGTATCAGCCTGGAGAATCTTCAAGTCAGCTTAGGTTCTATCTTTACCTGCTACACGAGGTGGAGGTCTTGGTATAGACGGGGACAGAAATGGTGCACGGGCAATCAGTGATGGTCAGAGTTGTGGCAGATGTGACTTCGTAGGTCTTGCCAGCGTGCGTGAACTTGGTAGCATATGGGCAGTAGGTTGTGATGGCACCTACAACGGTCGTAGTATAGGAAACTGGGGCTTCGCTGGAGGTCCAGTCAGCCCAGGTGTGGGTGCTAGAGGCAGCGACGGGTGCCTTGGTCGTGGTCGTGGTCTTAGCAGAGCTGGTCCAGTCAGCCCAGGTGGTGTACGCCTTGGTCGTGGTCGAGGTCTTCGCGGGAGCGGCCGGCGTGGTGGTGGTAGTGCTGCTGGTCCAGTCGAGCCAGGTGCTGGCGACACCGGCGGAGGCGCTGGAAGCGAGAGCTGCGACAGCAACGAGAGAAGCGGCGACCTTCATTTTGATGGGGGTTGTAGTTTCTGGATTAGAAAACTAGGTAGTGGAAATTCGTTTGGGGGGGGTTGTGTTTGTTCGTTGAAAACGAGTGTGGGTGGCACAAAGACCGGCTTTTGGGTTGCTAACGAGCGACTGTAAGTTGGAGTTGTGATCGTAGGATGGAGGAAAGAAAGAGAGGTGGTGAGAGCGAAGAGGTCTCTTTCATATATGGGAGAGCTGGCTCATGACGCCGAACGCAAGGGAAATTAAGGTATCATTTTAGCGTCGATGTTGGCCATGGCGATGACTGAGTGGACGGTGATACTGAAAGGTACCTGAAGTGGATTTTGGGGGGGGGGGGGGAAGGCATTTTCGCGGCGTCAGGGGTAGTGGCGGGTCTGTCTGGCCTTTGTCAATGCTGGCTCGCTGGTGGTTGTATAGCGGAATCCACATGGCGCATTTAGATCAGCCTCATCCAGCTCTCGATCTCTGTCATTGGTTCCTATCCAACTTCATCCGAGATTGTGGCGGCGAAAAGTGGCAACCTCCTCCACCAAGCTTGAACCTGTCTCGTGGAGCGCTAGCGTTTCTCCCACCATGGCAGCTTCGCAGCGTTGGAGCACCTGTAGGTATGTGACTGCCAGTAGTAGGTATGTCATTGTCAGTCATGTTTGTCCAACCATAAGAAATAATGGAAGATGACCTGTTTGACCACGGCAGAGATCCAAACAGATGGGATTGGGTAGCTAGACCCAACTGCTCGAGTGACAGGCATCATCACATGGCAATTCTGTTCTTTGTTTGTCGCCTGTGTACTGGGGTACTTGGCAGGGTTTAGGGGGTAAGAGCAGTAGGGAAAGTAGCTGTTCTCGCGTAATTCTCGCCTTTGTCCCAACCGAGATATCTTTACCCGTGATGGTGTGTAGTGAGCATGTCCGCCTGTTCCAGTCCTTGTCAATTTTTCCTGCCCTGAGATCGCATCACCAATTCACCAAGCCAATGGACACATCATCGAGGTCCGTACTTAGTGCAGGAGATAGATCCATGCTGCCGCGCTTCGCGAATGATTTTGATTGCTGTTCGCTTAGTGCCTGGGTGGTTCACCGCTCCGGCTGCAACGTCCGCGTGTGTTTGTTTCCACATGCACCTAGCACCAGCGTTGCAGTAGTGGTACTCCATGGTCCAGTCCATCCCTAGGTACGAGGTACTGGATACAGGAACCAAATGAGCATGAGAAGGTTGCTTGGAGTTGGGTGAATGAGGGGAGGAGAAAAGTAGCAGTGGTCAGGAGCGGCAAGGAGTGGCTCCGTTACTGCTGATCTGGTGCTGTGCGGAAATGAAGAGCCAAGATTGCCACCAGGGGAAACAGCCAATCGGCCCATTTCTGTGCCTGCGCCCTCTTTCGAGGCCTTGTCGATGTTTGCTTCCGGTGCTTCATCTTCGAGGCTTGCGACCCAGTCACCGTCTCTCTCCCTTTCTCACCCATGTCGTCTCTCCCTGCCGTGCCCGCACCGCTGCATCATCTTTTGATTGGAAAGCTGGACATGGCCAAACAACAGGACCCCAACCAATTGCCACCCAGAATGCAGAATCCTCGGCCTGCAACTCTGTTGGAGATGACTTGCAGCTCGCGTTACGTCGCAGCTGAAGGATCTGATCTCGTATCACGCAGATCCAGCCATCTAGAACATAGGTAGGTATGAACTGCCTGACCAACAATCCGTCATTGCTCCGGAGTACCTTTTACACTCATCCTGACCCATTGGAGAACGCAATCATATCGATAAAGACCATGCCAATCCTTCAATATCACCCCCTAATTGAGCCGCCATCAATAATCCACGAGGTCCCTGAAAATAGCACGCGATCATGCCATCATGCAATAGTGGATACGGAGTCTTCGCGACGCGAGCACAATTACCCTTTTCAGGAATACCGGAGACCAGGCTCCTAAAGGTGTCCAATCCGATGGAGCAAGCCGCCTACGGAATCCTTTCCCTTTGTGTCTGCTGTCCTCAATAACTTCGGTCTCCCTGCAAATACGGAGTACATGCTTACGTACTCGGTACCTACTTGTACACAAGCTTCTACGGCCAGCATAAGGAATAGACTTTCGGCATGGTTCGGTGTGCTCGGAGGATCATTCAAAGACCAGAGCAGACTGAAAAGACAGCTGTTGGGAATAGAATCTGAGCTATGGGTATAACTACACACTCATGAGGCTAACATCCTGCCAAAAACATCTTCCTGGCGCACGAATTATCGATTCCACAAACGCTTTGTTGGTTTCGCCACGCCGCAACTCCGACGATCAAACAGGCGCACAGCAGTTATCGGCCCAACGAAGCCCAAGTGAAAGGGTTCCGCAAGTCCTCCGTATCAGAGTCAACGATGCAAGTTCGGAATCTGAGACATGCCCGGGATGCGAAATGAAGAGATGACCAAGAACAACTGGCTCGTCGGTGAAACTGGACCTCGAAGTCCGACCTTGTCCAAACAACACAGAGCCCCTGGCACGTGACCATTGCGTCAAGCTGATGAATAATGGCATAATGGCTACATAACTACAAGTACATCCCCCCCTGAATCCCGTGTGATATCAACCAGGCACATGTGTTGCCCCAAAGAGATAATGGTCAATTTGACTGGAGGCAGCCCCGTCTCTCAAAGGGCGGTAGCTTTCCGTTGGTGACATCGGCTGTCACTTCACATTATTCCATTGTTTTGAATGTAGAGCAGTGGCCATATTACGTGCAGGTACTCCGTACAGGTGAGGCGAAAAGACACACCCAACTCAGCCTTCTGGACCGCATTGATTGATTACTCATGACTGCTCGTCAGCAGACACAAGCTTGACTTCTGTGAAGGTATCTGGCCGGGGAAGTCGGGCATTCTGGAGGTTGTCACTCTCGTCACCGTCGTCATTCATTCCGGATTCACGGCGTTTTCCTCTTAACTAGCCGTCATGTCCTTGTCCTTGACCCATGGCTCTGCAAATGTCCCAACCCAGTCCTCAACCTCCCGCCTCAGCGTGAGAATTTCGGGCACTTCGGTCCCATCCTTTAAATAATCTAGGAAGCTCTTGACTGCTCCTGGATTCTTCTTCCCCTTCGCTTCTGCATCTGACCGGGCACTCTTATCCACCTTGATCGCAATCGACACGGCGCGGTCCACGATCTCTGCGACGCGAGTGAAGTCGCTCGGTTGGAAACCTCGTGTGGTCATCGCGGGCGATCCCATTCTCAACCCGCCAGGTCTCAGCGCAGATTTATCCCCCGGAACGGTGTTCTTGTTCGCGGCGACGCCGCACAGCTCGAGCACACGCTCGACGCGAGCGCCGTCAATTCCCTTTGACTTCAAGTCAACCAGGACCAAGTGGTTGTCTGTCCCGCCGCTGACGATGTTGTAGCCCAGGCCACCGGTGTATGCGGAATTGCCGAGTCGTTCGGCAAGGGCCTTTGCATTCGCCAGGACGGTCTTCTGGTACTCCCTGAATTCTTTCGTTTGGGCTTGTTTTAATGCAACCGCGAGGGCGGTGATGGTGTGGTTGTGCGGCCCGCCCTGGTGGCCCGGGAAGACGGATGCGTTGATGGGACCCTCGAGGTCGTACATTTCCTTCTCGCCCTTTTTGTTTGTTCGCCGGATGCCTTTACGAAAGAAGATCATAGCTCCTCGGGGCCCACGGAGAGATTTGTGTGTCGTAGTTGTCACCACGTCCGAGAATTGGAAAGGGCTGGGGATCACGTCCGCGGCGACCAGACCAGAGATATGTGCCATATCAGACAGCAGGTAGGCACCCACCTCGTCGGCGATGGCCCGCATGCGTCCGTAGTCAATCAGTCGGCTGTATGCAGAGGTTCCGGCAACGATGACTTTGGGTCGATACAAAAGAGCGTACTCGTGCATCTTGTCGTAGTCGATCAAGCCTGTTGACTCGTCAAGGCGATACGGCAGAGTCTCGAAATACTTGGAGATCATGGAGATCTTCTTGGTGGGAGTCTGATAGCCGTGGGATAAGTGGCCTCCATGGGGGAGGTCGAGGCCCATCATGCGCTCGTGCGTGCTGAGGAGGGCCGAGTAGGCATAAAGGTTTGCGGGAGAGCCGGACAAGGCTGATATGTTCAGTTTTGTGATATCAATTGAGCTCCACAACACGTGGAAACCACTTACGTTGGACATTGACGCCCCATTCTTCTGGATTCAGGTGATATGTCTCCAGAGCGCGCTTTTGGCACAGTCTCTCGGACTCGTCGATATGTTCGTTGCCTCCATAGTATCGTGCCCCAGGATATCCTTCTGAGTACTTGTCTGAGGAAAGAGTTAGAAAATCGACCGATGACAGATAGATGGTTGGGATGATAGACCGACTTTGCATTACACTGCCCAAGGCATCCAAGACGGCTTGAGAGGTGAAGTTTTCGGAAGGGATGAGATTGATGAAATGTCTCTGCCGGCGGATCTCCTGCAGAAAAAGAGTTAGGAGGAGGTATTGTGCTAAAGCAGTTGTGGGGTTGATTCCTTACGCGCTGCAAGATCTCATAGATTTCGGGATCTGCTTCTTTGAGATGCTCACCCAGTAACTGCCGGCCATGTGAGTACATGGGAGTTCAAGCAGAGATTGAACAAGATATTACCTTGTTTTGTGCTTCTGTGTGGGCAGAGCTGTGTGGGTTCGAAGACGACAACCCTCTGATTGTTGTTCTGCACGAGAGGCAAATTGACGGTTTGAATAAAAGGGGCGGCGATGCCCAGATTCTCTTTGCGAGCATTGAACGGGCCATTTTTGAGTTGGTCGTGTATTAACAGCTGACAGCCTTCAGACCAAGCCCTGGGTAGATGCGGAGAAGAGAATATCTCAATCAGATGACATGCAACCTCCACAGTAGATGAGAGGTCTAGATGTTGCAGACCCGTCGATTCAAGCTCTTGACAGGCGACAGCCACCTCGACTCGACCCACTGATGGAAACTGGACCCTGGATGACGGGGTATGTGGGTGTTCTGCCGATGATATATAGACTGGTTGTGCCATCGAAGTGGCGCAAGATCAAGGAATGAAGTCCAACCAATGCGGAGGTTTGGCCGGCTTCTGCACAAGGAAGGTCAAGCGAGAACCCAGCCGAGATTCATTTTCCTTTTTCTTTTTCTTTTTCTTTTTTCCTTCGTCACAACTAAATCCAAGATGAAGAGCACCTGTACGTCAATTCCAGCTCCCGCGCTCTGGCTTCCGAGCTCGAGGTCTGTGGGCGATGCTGATATGTCCTGGGTCCACGCACCACCTTGAGGGACAATTTGAGACAAAGACTGATTGGACATGTTGTTAAGCAAGGCTGGACTCCATTGTCAACTGCCTTGTCCATCTGTGAATGCACTCAATATGCACGACCTGGCTTGGACCCATTTGCTGCCTGCGCCTGCTGGGTTAGGGAGGCGGCTGATCAAAGAAAAGGAACAAGAGCCTGGGAATTGTGGGGTTGACGGACAAGAGACGTGCCTGATGCTTTCGTGGACTCGGGGGAGACGGCATTGAGTGATGATGAGGATGAGGCCGAGGATCTGGAGTGACGACCTGGCATCGAGTCTTGCCCCGACAGCTGAGTGATTATGTTTTCTTTTCGTGAATGCTATTTGGTGGTGCTTGCCTTTGCCGAATCCGCCCACGCGTCTTCCTGATCATGTCGTTGGTCTGTAACTTGCAGAACATGCTCTTTGTGGTCGCGACTTCGCTACGTTCTGCCTTTCACAGGACTTTCTTTCACGCTGGAGGCCTTGCCGACTGGTAATATTGGGGGTTCGCGCCGTCGTGTTTGAATGCTTCACACCTCGCTGCCGCCCTTGCTCCTGTTGTTCTGATACCGGTAGGACATCTGCAGATAAGGCAGCCTTGCTGGAAACCCGTGTCGACTGTCGACAGCCTCCCCATCACAGCCCATCACGTGCTCACGTGCTATACAACACGTGCTATACAACTTCTGCCAAGCGGGCGGTGGTTGAGCTGCCTCTTTCCTCTTCCCACTGACGCGTCGCGTCAAAGGAACGACCTCAAACCCTCTCTTTCAAGCTCCTGATTCTTCCTCTTTTCTCCCAAACCATCTCCATCTGCATTGCCATCTCTTCTTGGATCCGTCCGTGTAAAGACAATCAACAGACAACCGCTTGTCCTCACTGCATTCATCCGCTGAGATATCAGTATGATGAGTACCCCTTCAGTCAGAGACTGGTTTGCTGAAACATCGACAGATCCATACACCGTCACGGCACCATGCCTCCCACTACCCGCAAGAGAGCTCAGGCTATGAACAACAAAAACAACCCCCAACCCTTCAGCGTCGTCACTGATGGAGCTAGTCAGACCGCGGGAGATGTCATGGATCACAAGTACAAGGACGATGACCCGTTCGAGCGTGTCTTCGGTCCCCTTGTCGATGTTGCATCTGATGACCATGACTCTGATCACTCTGATTATGGGGCGAACAAGAAAAAACGCAAGAGAAAGAGCGACAGCGGCCAGAAGGGGAAAGCCAAGAAACGTCGCGGTCGCGCTCCACCTCCTGCTGTGCCGGATCTTTCAGATGACGATGATGTCTCCAACGGGGTCGAATCTGAGCGGGAAGAGGATAGTGGTCTCTGGTCTGTCGAACGTAGCGCTGCTGCAAAGAAGTCTAAGGAGGAGAAGGACGAGCTGTCGCAGGTTCTGTAAGTGGACCCCCCTCTTCGAGAAAATGTCTTTTTTTTTGTTTTTCAAGTCCACGCTTTTGTCCTTCTAGCGTTCTGCAAAAGCTAACACCATATTCGTAGAAGTGTCAAGGTCAATGGTGAAGGTGGCGCCAAGACGGTCATCAACCTCAACCTTGCTGGTGTCTTGAAGGACTTGGGTGCTACTTCTTGGACTTTGCCTGCCGCAACTCGAGCCGACACTGGGGATTTCGAGGACACCACACTGGTCGAGGGCAAGAAGAGCAAGAAGTTTGGCTTCTGCGAGCTGCCATTCGAGCTTCGCTTGAAGGTCTATCGTTTCGTCTTCCGTCACGGCAAGGCCACTGAGTTCGAAAACCGCGACTTCTCACGCTCTTCTCATTTCCTCCGGACCAACAAACAGGTCCTCAAGGAAGGCAGAGTGGTCCTCTATGGTGAGAATTCGTTCCACTTCACTCGAGACACTGCGATTCGCGGCAAATACTATCAGAAAGTCTGGAGAGAGGTCGGTTTCAAGGATATCCGACGATTCCTGGAATCAATCGGGCCTGTCAACGTAAGTGCCCCTTCCTGCAATATTGTTTTGTCCTTCGACGAGTTGCTCTCATCGCTCTATTAGCCATTGGTGCAAGCTAACGTCCCTTTTCAGATCTCTTGCTTCAAATACATCTCGTTCGTACTCACCGATGGAGCGGACGGTCGATCCAGAACAGCCGCGCAGATTCCAGAGCGCAAATTCGTGGACGACCCACATTTGCATGAGGTCTTCCGTCTCATTGGGGCGAACGCCACGTTGAGGACGCTGGCTATCCAGTTTGCTGGCCGCGCTTGGGTTACCCACAACGACTTCCACTTCTTGAAAGCTCTCACTGAAATCAAATGTTACAACTTCGTCACCATCTACCGACTCAGAGGGCTCACTAACAAGATACTGAATGATCTCAAGGGCAAGTTGAAGCTGGTTATGTGCGTGACAGAGGATGGTGCACCAGTCGAACGCAAGGATAATAAGAACAAGGTGAAGATGGTGTATGAGGGATTCTCAGTATATCCATCCATGGCGCATTGGGCGTCTGAGTGGTAGCTGCTCAAGAGCGAGGGATCCTCGATGACAAACCATTAGTCTGGCGCGTGCCTCGATGTTGACCGAGGAAGGTCAAGGCTTGCAGGTGAATGAAATGCGAGGAAATGCGAAAGTCTTGTCAACAGTACTGGAGCCGAAAAGTTCGTGTTGTTGGGGTCTGGCACAATGTTGAAGAGCAAGAAATGACAGAAACAAAACAGGGCACAATCTACACGATGAGCTTGAATCAGAGCACATCGTCGCGAGATTTCGAACTCGCAACATGGAAAGGCTACTGGGGTCGGACGAAGGAGCTGAATCGAACTGTATCGACAGACGCTCTTTCTGAGATGCATGGTGGGAGGACAAATAAAGCTGGAGACGAGCTAGATCACATGGCACAGGATGAGCATGGTTATGTCGAAGATCGGCTGCCTACTGTTTCTTATGAACTACTGGCGCCAGTTGGGTCGAGCCGGATCATCGTATGAGCTTCGCAAGCATGGATCATGGCATGATGTACCTAGGTACTCGTTCTCCTTCCTGGCGGATTGGACTTGGAGCAACCGAGCCAACGCATGGACCAAAGCCATAACTGACATCAAAATCAACAGAGCTAGAAATGATCAAGTATCCAAAAATCCTGAAAAACTAGCGAGCACGTTTGCGGGCATTCAATTTTTGACACTGGTATATTAAAAAGGTCGTCCCTTTCTATCGGCCGTAAGAGCATTGTTGTATCCCGTTACGTACTGTCTACAGTTCCGGTTTTTGCAGCTTTCCAAGACGATACTAACTTTGATGTATTCCAACTCGTAGATCCAGAACCACCGTCAAGCCATGGGACAGTTGACACTGACTAAACCGAAGAAAGGATTAATGCTCAATATCATCCCAGCTTCGGCCCTGTACGGCGTTCAGCTCCTCGATGGTCATGACCTTGCCGGTGGTGAAGTAGCCGGCGTGGATCTTTGCGTCGATCTCGACGCGCGAGTCCTCGGGGATCATGTCGTCGGGGATGGGGACCCTCTCCAGAATGGGGATGCCCTGGTCGACAATGGCGTCGTGCTTCATGTTGGACATGGACAGCATGCGGTCTATTTTGGTGATGCCCAGCCAGTGCAGGATGTCAGGCATGAGGGCCTGGAAGCGCATGTCCTTGACGCCCGCGATGTTCTCGGTGCGCAAGAAGTACTCGCTGGCACGGTCGGCGCCGCGCTTGCGCGCGTTGTACACGAGGTACTTTGTGACCTCGCCCAGCGCACGGCCCTCTTTGCGGAAATAAATCACCACGCCAGACCCGCCCTTTTGCGCCTCCTTGACCGCTTCCTCGATCCCAAATATCAGATACGGCCGGCACGTGCAAATGTCCGAGCCGAAGACGTCACTGCCGTTACACTCGTCGTGTACGCGCAGCGCCAGCCGCACGTTGGGATCCGCCATCTTGGCCGGGTCGCCGAAGCAGTACACTGTCAACCCGCCGATCGGCGGCAGGAAGACTTTGATGTCGTTCCGCGTCACCAGCTCCGGGTACGACCCACCCGTGTGCTCGAAGAGGGCGCGTCGAAGGGCGCTTTCGTGGATCCCGAATCGCTCCGCCACCCCCGGCAGATACCAGACGGGCTCGACCGCGAACTTGGTGACGCTCAGTTCCCCCGTCTCATTGAGACAGATCCGCCCATCTGGTTTCAACCGGCCGGCTGTCACGGACTGTTCGAGTTCGGGGATCTTCATGTGCGCCTTGGTCACGGCGATCGTGGGGCGGATGTCGAGGTCCTGAGATTGCATGAGGTCCTTGTATAGCCAAGGGGCCAGATGACCAAAGGGGTCCATGGCGACGATTTTCTTCTTGTCACCCCATGCCGGAAAGGGCCCAATGTTCGCGGCCGGCTCGGTGTTGGTGAAGTCCGGTTTGTGCTCCAGGTCGAGATTGTTGCTCGCCACGGCGAGAGCGTGGTAGATGCTGTAGGCTCCGCCGTGAGCGCCGATTGCGTTTCGACGGCGGATGGTGTTGTGGTGGCGACTCACCACGACAGGGCCGCGTTTGATGGGATTGGGTTCGCCCCAGTCAAGAGGGATGGGGTCGATCCCTGACTGTCCGGGGTAGGTGGTGAGGATGATTCGTGAGGTAGCCGATGACTTCCTTGCCGGGGTTGTGGGTGATGACGGTGCTCTGGGAGCCAAGCTGGAGTCTGTGGGAGGAGAAGAAGCGCCGCTCGCGGACTTGCCCAGTTGGATGGGATCCAAGCTGGGCGAGTCTCTGATGCTCGTTCGAGACTGAGGAGCGCCACGTAGTTGGTTCACAGACTGCGAGGTCTCGACCCTGCTCTGGAGGGACTCCATGTTGGCAGCGAGGTTTGCTTGGTCGACTTGTATTTTCTTGAGCGTTGTGAGGATCTCGGAGAGGACCAGCTCGGTGGTGATCCCGTTGGTGGATTGTGGAGCAGCCATGCTGGGCAGCTTGCGGATGTTGAAGGATAACGGATCTGATCGAAACAAGAATCCCTGCGTAATATAGAGATACTCGTCACCCGTCTGGAGGAAATTCCAACGGGTTCCTGCAGCCTGGCTCTGTTTTGCCTTTGTCTCAATCCCACCGAAAACTTGGACAACGGATGGATGGTGTGCTGACAAGGGATAGCCAAAAGACGTCAAATGCCTCCAACACTGCTCAAACACCAACGGATGGCCCCAAGCACCCAAGCACGATCAATCTAAAAATATAGAGGTATGAGGATAAGGATAGAAGGAAGAGAGCAGAATGATGTCTTCAAGGAGCTGAACGAGGGGGTTGCAACGTTGAAGCATGTTGGTGGGGGACAAGATGCCCTTTCTCATTGTGTAATATGATTGGCCGCTCGGCTTCTCGGAGGATGCCGTGATAACGATAAGCCATGAACACACGCACGTGACTGACTGCAAAGCTGGGGACGAGGCTGAGGCTGAGGCTGCGGCTGAGGCTGCCGAGGGTGAGGTCCTCGACGTCTCACTTTAAAAGTGCCATCGAATACCCTCGTATACTCTCTCGTCTCCCACCTTCGCCCCCAACCTCGACCTTGATTTTCTGTTGTCGCACCGCACCACGTCTGAGGTCGTCGGCGCTATATAAAACATGGTGAGCTCTCGCAAAGTTCGTGGTTAGAGCACAATCTAACCTCCTTGCCCCAGGGGAAACGAAAGAAGTCCTCACGCAAGCCTCAAGGTCCCAAGAAAGTCAGTAGGGCCTTACCTTTGTTGCGTTCTGACACAAGTTGGGACAAGTTGCCAGACCGGTTCTCAAACTAACATCCCTTCCCCGTATTGCAGCGCGAACCCCTCCCCTCGACATTCACCTGCCTCTTCTGCAACCACGAAAAAGCGATCCAAGTGAAACTCGACAAGAAAGCCGGCGTCGGCAACCTACACTGCAAAATATGCGGGCAAAAGTTCCAAACCGGCATCAACTACCTGAGCGCCGCTGTCGACGTATATTCCGACTGGATCGATGCGTGTGAAAATGTGGCGCAGGACGAGGCAACAAAGGAAGCGGCCGAGGAAGAGGACGACGCAAAGTTCAGCAGTTATGCTACATCCGGTAGAGCCGGAGCAGGTGTCGGAGCCGCTGGAGGCGGCGGGGATGAAGATGACGAGGACGCCGATTATGGGGACGAGTGATCTTCTCTGGCGAGCTCTCGGGGCAAATAGTGCCGCTCTTTCTCTGCATGGCATGGCGCAGCGCGGCGTTCTTTTGGAAGAAAAGTTCCATGGTATTGGTAAAAAGGGTAGGGATGTGACTGGGCAATGCGGAGGCATCATGGATCGCCCTCGGGACGTGGCAGTCTCACGGAAATCACTGGGATGGGAGGGTGATGATACGAAGGAGCAAAAAGTTGGGAGAATATGCCGTCAAGAGCATAGGAGGATGTGCATTATCGGTCAGAAGCCTTCCATTTGGGCAGAGTTAGGGCAAACATATTGGGAAAATATTGCATATCTGACACACATGTCCCTCTTCATCCTGGGGAATAAAATGGTATATCTCAGCATCTTAGTGTCGGAGTCAAATATGAATGCCATTCTCCCATGCTAGACAAGGTCCGATCAAAGGTAAGAAAGCACTATCAATGCTTTCTGTGGCACGTTCGTGGCACCTGCACATAGATTTTGGAGATCGATGGCATACTTGGCCATTTCGCAGTCCGGCGAAGTTGATGGTGATAATACCACAGGGTTGGTCGTGCACGAGTAATCAATGAGAAGTAGGAACTGGTACGAAAGGCACTGGAACTAACCTTTGGTCAACCGACACGGTGGATATAGCGAGCGCCAAGGGACAAATCCTCTGCGGAGACATTCGAGGAAGCAATCGGCCTTGTGCTGTGATACCAGTGGAGAGGCTTTGGGCGGGCTGGAAGGCGGCCGATGCAGAGACCCATCGCTTCAGGGCGTTGAGAAAACCTTCACCATCGACAGAGCCTTGACTTCCTCTTTGATGGTCCGAAGCCAGTCATTGAAACCATGAGATTGCCACTGTCCGTCCCTTGAGGGCCCTAGTCTTCTGCTCCCCTTTCATTTGTCACGACAATGCCGACGATCTCATCCTTCGCAAGTGATCTCTTCGAGGAGATGCGGAAGGAGTTAAACGAGCAGAATTGATCTTGACGGGAGATGGTAGTCTCCCCAGTTTCATTTCAGACAATGAGCTGCCGACCAGTAGATTACCCAAATTAACAACAGCATGCCAGTGCCTCCAGTGGCAAACAATCTGGCGATCCCTGGGGGTCGGAAACGCTTTCGAAGGTTGGGCTCCTTTGAATCCTGCAAATTTGATTGCCCTTGCTGGAAACTGATCCGGAAGGAAAAGGACATTTGTTTCAACAATGATCAAAGATTTGACTCAAAGTCTCGAACCCCCTTGATCAGGGTGTCGGGCTTGGATTGCAAGAGTGTCGATTCTTATTGGAAATCCTTTCACGGAGGATCGCGGGACCAGGGAGATGATCATGCACCCACATCTCGTATAACAGAGCTGACCAGACATTATGTATCACTTACCGCATGTGTCAGGGGCTTCAACAGTGAGACTGGAGAACCTGATCTGACGATGCAAGACATTCTTGCCTCGCTTTTGGCAAGATTGATGGAGCAACGGACGCGTCCCCTCCTTCCTCAGGCATGTCGAATGTATTGGACTGCAATACCTGGACAGTAGCCTTCATGCAACTGTGATGTGCATGAGAAGGGGGAAGGTCTTTCCGTTGGCTTTACCGACAGCTAGTCAGCCCAACCACAGCCAATCGACCGTGGCCATCTGTGCAAATCCAAAACAAGGGCGTTCAATAACTGGGCGTTTCTTTTCCCGAGATTTCTCCTCCGTCAACAACCTTGTGAGAGGGCTAGGAGAGGGGGGTCTTTGCCGTTTCCAGAACGGAGTGCTGCTCCTCGCTTTTTTCTTTTTTTCCCTAAGCGAGAGGGAGTCGGTGCTGCTAGCCGGGCACAACCCTCTCGCGACGATAATGGATCGGCGTAGACTTCTCAACTGCAGCGCGTCCTGCACAGGCGATCGATGCAAGATCGCAGACCTGCAGTAAACAGGGGATGCGGTGCAATGCCAATGCAACAGCGCAAGGCAAAGGCTGAATATTGCAGACGCAACACTGTCCGGCTCTTGGAAGAGGGCGCAAGACGAGGGTGTCCAGTAACACACATTGGCCCACGCACCAAGACGACCACCCTCCCCCCTCCAGAGCCCAGCCTCCTCAAAACGAAATGCTCCCCGGAGCAGCTCGCGAAAAAAGACCTTTTCTCTCATGATGTAGACTCCACTTGGAGAAGAAGTAAGAAAACCCCTTTGGCTGGCAATCAACTAGGGATAAGGCATCCCATTCAGAAGTTCTAGATACGTGCTGGAGCGAGTAATCATTGCTGATCGAGCGATCCACGCGAAGCTGACCCGTTCTCGCACGACAGTGATTGGGCTGCTTCAGCCGAAGCTGGTTGAAGCCAGTCTGAGAGTGGGTTGCTGGGATTTTCCTCTGCAAATCATGAATTGACAACGCATCAGGTTGTTGGGATGGGGGCGGCAAGCGGGCTGGCGATTTGTACGAATTGTGAACTTGTCGACCATGCCAATCGCTTTGGGGAACCAGACTTTTCCTTTCCACTTCTGCTATCTTCTTCTGTCCCTTGACCATTTGACCCGGGAAAATGTCGCAACTAGACTTTGATGTGCAGTAAATCTAGACCCCTTGATTCTTTTCCTGCACAAGCGCCGTCACCCGTTAAGCCTTGTCGCACAGAGGAGAAAGCCGGCGCGGTCATGACCTACGCACCACCATTAATATCGGGAGGCTGAAATGACCAATAGTCCCATGTGCCACATCTCCCTTGATGCCTTGGCCCCTGTCCCCTGCTCCCCTGCCTCTGCGCATGATGATCCTGTCATCGGATGAAGGCCGGCTGCCGGTGTACTCGGTAAACCGTCAGGACATTCAGCCGATCCACTGTACCTACAGTAGAGACTTATGTCCCAGCATGCAATTCAAGCTTTCAGAGGGGAGGGCATGTTGACAGGTGTTGGTGCATTGCCCATGCATCGTGGCCTCAGGAAGCCAGTGATCTTGCATTTGCATGCCTCTGGTTGGCATCTTGGATCCAGATAGATTCAACCTGCAATGCGACCTTAAATCGTAGCGGATACCTATGCACAGCGGGAACACCCCGTCTGCATCCCCGCATGCACGCAAGCTGTCTCTCTGAAGATCCTTTGCCGACTATAAACGGGAAGGTTCAACATCGAGGACTTAGTTACTCAGGACGGTATATCCAGAGTTCGTAAAAGCCATCTTTTATTGAACCATTGCTGCCCCTCTCTTGTTAGTTGTCAGGCCCAGTGTGCGTTTGAACGCACACGTGTTGTAAGGATGTTGGACTGGAAATATTTCAGAGTGTCCTTGCTGTGAGGGCTTGCCCTAGTGGCCCCGTTGAGAGGCTGGTCCTCAGCCTCTTTCTAGAAAATGGATGGGGAACCCGCAGCCGCAGAACCCTTGGACACCGTTGTCATCCGGGAAGGGACCAGTTAGTCACATTCCTACCGATGCATCCGGGCCAGTCTTCCTAGTTGGACCGAAAATGAGTGATGCCCAGCCCGGTGGGATCGCGAATAGAACTTGGAGATGGTTTTCATCAAAAAAGCGTCCGCCGATGCTTGTGATCTGTTTGATGAGGCTGGAAGAACGATGTCGACGCCATAATTTCCTTAGGTAGAGATTGCGGAGTACAACTCCGTCCACAGGCAGTTGGTCGAGGAGCCATGACGCGCAGCAGACGGATCAAGCTAAACCTGAAACTCGTGGTGAGTCGAGGCCCTAAGTTGCACTTGCCAGCCACAAGCTGACAGATGATGCCATCAGCGCCTGGGAACAGGGTTTGGATCGTCTCGCGGGTTCTTTTTGAAAGACTCTGCTAGGCAATAATGCGTTGTACGGAGCATCTAAGACTTGATTCAATCGAAACTGTTGCTTCTGCAGAATTTCTTTTGTCTCTGTTCAGATTGATGGCTATGGCTGCTCTTGAGTGGCTTTTACATGAAAGACGTCTCCAGGAACGCAGCAGACGTTCTTCGCTGATGACCGCTGTACGGTACCTCACCTTAGCGCTTGAAGACTGGGGAGATACGCCCAATCTGGCGTTCGTCAGGGAACAAGTCTGCATACCTAATACTACTCGTGGTCTCTTAACCGAGGCCAAGATGGAGGTCGCGGCATGATACCGCGAAGCCAGCCAGGGGGCTTTGGCAAAGGATCCGGTGGCCGTTCAGAGTAGGGGGAGACGGAGTCGGGCCACAAAGTTTGCGATGCGAGCGCTATCGCGGCTCAAGCAAGATGGCTTGTGCTCATCTGGCGAGCATGCGCAAGTCAGCGACAAGGAGCAGGGGAGAAGGAATTTCACGACCGGCACCACAGGGGAGGGGGCGGCCTTGCCCATCGTCACCTTATCATCGTTCTCCCCTCACTCCAGGTGGGCACCTGGCTCTCCGTTCCGGACTAAGCGCGACTCCGCCGGGAGAAGCAATGGAGGGACATACTGTTGTTGGTTGGTGCCACCTGGAAATCGTCCGATATTGTGGCACAAGCCTTCTCGTCGAGACCGACCAAATTAAAATCCAGACCTGGGAATTTGAATGAGCATCCACTGCGTAACGTTGAGACGAGAATTTTGAGCGAAACAGAAACGGCCTCGTAACATGAGAGAAGAAGCAGATGTCGCACTGGGATTTTTCAAGGCCGCGCCTCTGGGGGGGGGGCAAGGAAAGAGCGTGACTATGATAGACGGCAAGTGCCTCGAAAGGGAAAAGAAAGATGCTTCCCCCCCCCCAACATCCATAACTCGGGCGGTGCGTGGGCCTTGGTGTCGGACTGGAGGAAGCCGCCAGGCGACTTTTGCACAACGCTGGTTGGGGAACTTGGGGGCTGCCCGTGATAAGGTGACGGTTCTCCCGAGCCTGAACTGATACGGTAGGTATGGGATGGGCGGTACGGGGAGTGGAGGAGGGATGCCAGCTGCCAGGTGGTGAGGACGGATTCGCAGTCATGGTTCTAGTCCAGGACCCTAGGGCGGTTGTGCTTCTTGTGGCTTGCAGAGAAATGGGTGGGCCGATGCTGACTGGATGCGACACCTTTGTCGAGGGGCTGGGGGAGTTTGAAGAATTGAATTTTTGCCCTCGAGGTTCACAGCAAATGCCCTGCCCTGCCTTTTTTTTTTTTTTTCTTTCTCAACATACACGTATGTACTCGGTACTCCGTACAGCGTACTGTGCTGGCTCCAAAAAGCGCCTGACTGTTCACGATAGTTGGTTTTCGCGAAGGGGCAAAAAAATCCACCCTCGGCCAGCGAGGCGCACAGCTGGCACCTGGGAACGCCTGGGTTCAACCTTGGGCGCTTAAAAGCGTGCAAGCAGGCCTTGGAATCATCATCAGAATTTAGTGGTTCCGAGTAGTAACCTGTGTACCGAGTAGCTGCTCCGCAGTCAGAGGGATTCTTACCCGAAGTACACGTACAGGCCCGGAGGACTAACCACAGTACGGAGTTTGTTATCCCTACTTAGTTTCCTAGTATACAGGTACTTGTAGAGTACCCAGTAAACCCACATAGGCTTCGGTTGTCGGATGTATTGTACGTACTGTGTAAGTTGCGCCCTTAACCCCGTCATCATGTCCGACTCTTTCAGAGTCCTCGAAAGGCACGGCGTGTTCGTGGAAGGAATTGGCACGAGATTGGTGGCAGGAAATTCACGGGTTCGTCAAGGTCAATGGTGATTGTAAGTTTGTCCTTAGCCCACCTACGCGATAGGCAGAGTGCAACGTTATTTGATCAAAAAAGGCCGTCGTTGTAAGAGGAGAGTAACTTCCGTAACGGAGGAAGACAAGCAAGCCAGTCGTTTTCCGGCTACGATTGGCAACCTGCGTCCGCCCGCCGTGGGTCTTTGTTTGACCTTTCGTGGAGTGTCAAAAGTCGCAAGTTTCGGCACGCTTGGGATCGCTGAGAGCATGGTCTGTGTGTGAGGGAGTCAGTGAGTGAGGGACGGAGGGTGTGGGTGGGTGGATCATGGATCATGGATCCCTGACCACCTGCGGCTGGGCATTGGCAATTGGGCAAAAGGCCCATGGTTGGGAGTGGAACCTCTCCTGCTGCTTGCTCGACGCTGGGCATGGTGGCAGCTTGGGCCTGCCTGGGCTTTTAGAGTAGTGGGTCGCCTGGGAAGGACTCCCTTAGGCAGGTTAAGGAACAATCTGTTGCCAATCATCCACCGCCCATGCTGGGTTGTAGCCAGTTAGCGGGCACCCGTAGCGGGCACCCCCCCTCCTCCGAGTGCCCAGGTGGCTTGGTGGGATCATGGGCAAGCGGGCTTCGGCTTCGTTCTTTGCCTTCTGGCCTTGGACTTGACCTTGACACCACCCTCCCCCGTCCCCCTCCAGTGTCCAGTGCCGACCCTGGCTGCCCTGTTGCCCTGCTGCCCATGCTGCTCTGGCCCTCTGGCCCTCTGGCCCTCTGCCTATTTTGCTCTAATGCACCCACCTGCGCACACCTTCTTGTCCTCCCGCTCGGCTACTGCACACCGTCTGCGTCTTTGCATCCTACCTGCTTCCCAAACCTCGTTGCCTCTTTTCTCCAGATCTCCATTGAACCATCTTTCCTGCAACCCCCAATCCAGGTGTATGCTGTTCGCCCGTCAATAGTCATGGCCTAATTGCGCGTCACCATCGTCTTTCCCAGTCTATGTTGTTTGAGAAGCGTTCTCCCAGCTGTTCGGTATGTATTCAGAAAGAGCCAAAAAAAAATCTGCCATCAGCCTCTGAGAAAGGGAAAAAGTCCGCTGCCCGTGCCCAGTGGTCCGCACAACAATCTGAGCGAGCCTGCTACGTTTTGCTGATCTTGCTGCATGCTCCATGTGCCTGCATGCTGCACAACCCTCTATCACAAAATAATGCTAACCTCTTGCCTGCCTGCGCAGTTTGCGATTCCATTGACGACCCTCTTTCGCTGCCTTCTTCCTGCGCCGGAAAGCTCAGCAACAAAACAACATTAGCGGCCGTTGCCAGTATCAGCATTGGGAGGCACTCGAACATCTTGGATTACTCGGTCACTGCTTCCAATCGTGCATGACCCTAACAAAATCCTCCGCAATTTGGTCTTCTTTGTTGAAGAAAAAATTGTCGGCGTGGGTTACGACTATTACGGCTATAGACGATAAGGCTTGACCGCGAGCTGGGCAATTCCCTGGTCCAGCTCTTTCATCACGCCCGGAGTCATCGGACTATCAATTTTGTACTTGGACGTCTTGGACACCAAGTTACCTTTGCTGAGCAGTCGATATATAAACCTTGACGCTCGCGGATTAATCTAACGCGAGTCCCAAAAAAAAATCTGCAAGACCTGAGTTGAGAAGAGGTGCACATCGTTGAATTTCGGTTGCTCAGGCTGCGCCTTTTAGTCAAAAGAAGCCGTCTCTCTAGTGTTTGATCCAAGAGGCGCAAGAACCAGCTCTCAGACCATCCGAACTCCAACTCTCTCGGGAAGGTATTGTCCTTTGCTTGTGATTAGCTTTGGGCGGACGTAACTTGTCGAGCAAATATTGGTGGTTCACACATCGATCCAAAATGAATCAAACGCAGTCATACCTGGATATGCATCCTGGTTCACACATATCTTCCGGACCTTCATACTCCCATGCCGCTTCAACAGCGCCGTTGGGCCATTATCAGCAGTATCAACAACCTCCAATTTCTGCATCCTCACATTACGGGCCACCTCAGCCCTATGGGACTTATGGCTATCCCAACGGTGTTACTTCTCCACAGTCTGCCACGGGTCCAGTAGCACAACAAGTATCCCAAATCACATCACTTCCCGGTAGGTCCGGTATAGTTGATATGGCAAAATGAGCATTCTTACTGACAAGGGAAAAGCCATCATGACCGGTGCCCCCAGTTCTCAACACTCGTTTGTGACTCAAACGCCAACCTTGCCAGCTCCAAGTCAAGGCTTCCCTCAACAACAGCAACCGTTTGATACTACTGGTCAAATTGCTCCCCCTGGCATGAAACCAAGGGTAACGGCAACGCTCTGGGAAGATGAAGGGAGTCTGTGCTTTCAAGTGGAAGCAAAGGGAGTATGTGTTGCCCGCCGTGAAGGTAACGCCCAAGTCCAGTCTGATCAGTTATTTTCTCTCGACTCTGACTTGCTTGGTAGACAATCATTTCATCAACGGGACAAAACTCCTTAATGTTGCTGGAATGACCCGGGGACGTAGAGACGGCATCTTGAAATCTGAAAAGACCCGACATGTGGTTAAGATTGGGCCCATGCATCTGAAAGGCGTCTGGTAAAGTCTACCGTGTATCTCGACTTAGAGCAATCTGCTAATTTTGTTCAGGATACCTTTTGAACGTGCCCTTGATTTCGCAAACAAGGAAAAGATTACAGATCTCCTTTACCCACTTTTTGTGCACAACATCGGCGGCCTGCTTTACAATCCGGAGAATGCATCACGGACGAATGCTGTAGTTCAAGCAACAGAGCGTCGTCGGATGGATAGTGTCGACTCTACCCGCCCTTCTCAGCCTCAAGCACCGTCACTCCAACATCACAATAGCATGCCGGGTCCGGGCCAAGCTCCACCCACACCGCACTCAATTGCTCCGCACCCGAATGCACCACGACCAGGAATCGACCGTGCACATACTTTTCCCACTCCTCCAACCAGCGCATCAAGTGTGATGGGGATGAGCAGTCAGGGAACTTCGTATGATTGGGGCACTCAAGGTATGACGAATGGCGCACCAGGAACACAACCCTTGTCAATTGACACTGGCATGAACGCTCGATCCATGCCTACAACGCCCGCGACCACTCCACCCGGGACCGCTGGACAAGGGATGCAATCATATCAAGGACAGTCGGGGTACGAGAATTCGAAACATTACTACAGTACCACGCCCAGTTCCCAAACTGGTTATGCGCATCATCCAGACGGCAGCCGGTATGGTCAGTCCATGCAGACAGTACCATACGGGAAGACTGATATGGGTCCACCAATTGCTCCAGGGAGCGCTAGTGCAGGAGCAGACGGGCATGAACAGAAGGCTGATGGATACACCGCGCAGAGTCACTCGTCCCAACATGAAAGTGACCACCCAGACAGCGGTTACATGAGCGCGAACCCTTCTGCCTACAACACGAGCCGGCAATATACGTACAGTGCTACCGGTGAACATCCACACATGTCTCCTGAGCAGATGTCGGGCTCTCCGACGCATCAAGCTGGCTCCGGTCACGCAACCCCAAGGACCATGCCTGCAGGCCAACCACAATGGACAGGAGATTACAACACCCCGCCCCGGCCGCCCACTTCCAGCAATGTATATAATGTCATGGGTGGCCGGGACCGCACCCCTCAAGGAGGGCCAACCGACAACTATGGGAATCCGACATATGCGTCCGCCGGCCATCCCACGACTGTGCCTTCCGTGAAACGAGGGCGTGAGGACGATGATCAAGACCGCCCCAGCAGCCGAGAATATGACGGTTACGACCCGAAACGGCGCAAGACGGCACGTCAAGACACGTACAGCATGCCCCTCAACACGCCTCCACACATGCAAGCTATCAAAACCGGCGGACAGCGGTAGAAGTCTTGGTGTTCTCGTCGAGAGAAGACTCTTATCTGCGTTGGAGACGTGTGTCAAGTGGAAAAGTGACTCGCACCTTCCGATGGGCTCTACTTCCCGAGGTAATGCCACATCACGATATATTTCCAAAAAGCGATTACGAGATTTACGACGGCCTCCGAGCCAAAAAGATTAAAGACTAACGAATGGAACAAGCGTGCACGGTTTGCTTCCTCGACTTTTAACGACCTTACGAAACGATTTCCTTCGAGCGCTTGCAGATGGCGAAAATCACGATTTCTCCTTGCGATTTCCGGCCGTTTGGGGCAGGGTTGAATTTCACGGGTTTAGATGTTCTGCTTCCTTGTTGTGTATGAGGGAACGATATATGCGTGGATGGATTATGATTTGGGATGGATGAACAGCTATGATTCTGAAGGGCGCCCGACGATATGTTTTCTTGGCTGCAGGAAACGAGAGCAAGACTACATGCGGCTCCTGGGCCTTGTCAACGACATGTACAACTGAGAGAGTCACAATAATTTTCATGTGTCAAGGAATAGGACTGCCCTCAGGCGTGCAGTAGTAGAGGCCAGGCGCTGCAGGAACAATGGCTCCTGTCTCCCCATTCGTGGGACTTCCACTCATGATATGTCGAATACAATAAAAGCTCTATTTATAATCATGAGAGTTCTCATTTCTGAGTGACTGATGGATGGTAAACTCATCGCTGCGATGAGGATGGGAGCGGTTTTGTTTTCTCGCCACGGCTTGACAACATGAGGTTAAAGGGGTGGGTTGTATCACAACCAGCCTTGCCAAGTTGCGAGTGGTCTCCGAGTCTTGTGAAGATAATACCCCTCGCTGACTGGATTTGGACTAGCGCAGATAAATGCCAAGCTTGGCGCACCATGAATTTGTGTGCGTCGATTGACTTGACTCTTCCACGGGATCGAGGTTTATTTGCAACCCACGACAACCACAGCTCTCCAGTCATCGGCTCAAGATGTAAGTCTGGCTTTCTCTGTGCGACATTCCAGCTCCATCGGCGCTTGGGCTTTCAATTCTAGAACCGGTCTCTTCGACGGCGGAGAAGTGGATGCCGAATTTGCTGAAAGTCTTGAAGCTGATACATCCTTTCTAGGACGAACCTCCGCACTCAGAAGCGCCTCGCAGCGTCTGTCGTCGGCTGCGGAAAACGCAAGATCTGGCTCGACCCCAACGAAGTCAATGAAATCTCCAATGCCAATTCGCGACAGACAATCCGAAAATTGGTCAGCGATGGGCTCATCATCCGCAAGCCGGTGGCCATGCATTCGAGGGCTCGTGCAAGGGAGCTGAATGCGGCTCGAAGAATTGGCAGACACCGAGGATTCGGTAAGAGAAAGGGTACGAAGGATGCTAGGATGCCTAGGTATGATGAAATGATTCCACGAGCGCGGAACGGGTGGCACTTTCAAGAGAACTTGACACTGATGGATATCCGTGCACAGCCAGGTTCTATGGATGAGACGCTTGCGTGTCCTCCGACGTCTTCTCGTCAAGTACCGTGCGGCCGGCAAGATTGACAAGCACCTCTATCATGAGCTCTACCAGTTGAGCAAGGGTAACACTTTCAAGCACAAGCGTGCTTTGGTCGAACACGTATGTCTTCGCGCCCTTTTTGGACATGGCTCTGGAAAGGAAACTAATGGGCTATGATCACAGATCCACAAGGCAAAGGCTGAGAAACAACGTGAGAGAATCCTCAAGGAGGAGATGGATGCCAAACGTGCCAAGACCAAGGCCGCTCGTGAAAGAAGACAGGAACGCATTCAGACCAAGAGAAATGCCCTTGCCGGCGAAGCCGAGGAGGAGGCCAAGCAAGAGTAGAGGGTTGGAGAAGCACGAGGACGAGGGACGCGAGACGATTGTGACGAGCAGCATGTTTTGTGGAATGTCGGAGAGACAATCTCTCGACCACATGCTCTTGCACAACAACCGCATACACACCTGTGTGGATATGTCGAACCGAATCGACGGGGAAAGGGGACATTCTGCGGGGCTGCGTAGAAGCCACGGCTGCGCATGGGGATAGTGGTTTCAATAGCCGTCAATGATCAAGCAACGAGGAAATCGGAGACATGAGGTGACATGGCTTTTCAGCCATCTTCATGACCTTTCTCGATAGCGCCGTCAGCGTTGCTGCTCAGGAGTAGACAAGAGAATAGTCTGGTCCAACGATAGTCGTGGCCCTTGAGGACTGCAGACACCGATCGGGGGGACTGATGGTTGGCTGTTTGTTCGCCTGCCGCTCCCACCGTCCTTGAATGACCGTCTTCAGACTAAGAAGCATCACTGTCCACTTGGACGCGGACACTATCCACCGATATCCAACCCGCGTACCGCATCCTGCAGACCGAGCACATACACCAACGTTTAGAATCCTGCAATGCTATGCAGGTCCCCTGTCACCAACGCCCACCAGCCTTCCCATCCCGTTGTCCCTCCCTAACCTTGGCAAAAAATCCTCTGCATCCGCTACTGCAACTCCAGGTGTGACGACTGCTACGTAGGTACACACCTGCTCTTTCCCCTCCCCCTAAAAGCCTCGTTGGATGTCGCACTAGATCGACCGGGCGGATGTCGTCCTGAGCTGATATCAAACTGGCAAGGGGCTACTTCTACTCCAGTATTACCATCTGCGCATCCGCGCTTCAAGTCAGCCCTCGTTATCGTCGTTGGGCAATGTCACGCGGTACCACCGTGCTCTTGCCGTTCCGCTTGGATTGCTTTATCAAGTGGGAGGTCAGTCATTGAATATTCGACGTCAACCCCGCGTCATCTCCCAGGGCGCGAGCAACAGCCAAAGGACCGGCGTCCGCTCTCCGAGGGTGACAAAAATCGGCCGTCGAGAAGCGCATATTGCAAACGTCTACCGCTCGATGACAAGAACTTCGATCCGACACCCCTGCAATCATGTTTGGTGTAAGTTGGGCTGCTGTCGGTAAGTAGAAACCCAACCACATCGCCCAAATCACGCTCCAAGCTCTGCATCCAGCGCCGAAAACCCGGAGCCACGCCTTTGCCCTGCGTGTGAGAAACCACTTCATGCACCAGCCGAATCTGTTCTGAGGTGACCTCGACCTGGGGGTATCTCTTTCATACAGAGCCGTCTGGCGACCAGGGCATCAGATTTTAAGTTGACCGACGAAGGCATATGTCATACCATCTCCTGTTCTGGTTGGCCGAACGACCCGGTCTTCTGTATCCCTAAATGAAGCTCTCGACAGGCATTTGATTCTTGATTCTTGCCAATCACCACTTTTGCATTTCTGGATTGATGACCGGTCGATCATTCACTGACCTGTGTTAGGAGTTGGAGGAGACGGGCTTCTTGACAGAGAACGGAATCCGCCGCCAAAGCCTATTCCATTAGAGTTCCCCAGCTATGTCCCTCCACGCTGCGGCAGCCCATTGAGTCGGCAACACATCAAGAACGTCTGTAAAGAGCTCGCCTCGATCCGCAAGTTACCCGACATTCGCGACTCTCATCTCGCACATCTCAATCTTCAACTGCGCCAAGATGTTCCACTTCCAGACATGGTGCCCGAGAAGCAGTTCGAATCACGTCCACTGCTGTACGACAATGATCTAACAGCCATGCTTGACGAACTTGAGGTCGGCAACGAAGAAGCATATCGAGAAATACTCAGACTCCCACCGCTTGAAGGGAAGAAGAAACCCCGCTTGGCATACTCGAGGAACTTCTTTGCCAGTCTGGAAGACATGAGTCGCTACTGGGACCATAGTAAGGACAACTATTACGAGGTTGAATCCAATGTCGGGGATGATCCGACGAAAGACACGGAGCAGAAGACTGATAAGGTCGAGAACCGTCTCAACAACGCAAATGACGTTGAGATGCACGACCCTATCGAGAATCCACAGCCTTCTGGCCAAGCAGTTGAGCAAGCGGCGACGCCCAACCTTTCATCTGACAGCCCAGCAACTATGGCCACTGTGGAGATGCCTAGTCGCCCGAAAATGAAGCAGGTGTACAAGGGACAGCGACTCGGTAACGGCGAGCAGATGAGCCCTGGCACACGAGTTTCAGCAGTGAGGAACCTCTTGAAAATGGCCGTCCACAAGTTCAACTGCCGAGATTACGACGTGAGCCCGCGAGAGAAGTTGAGAATTTACAACATTAATATACCTTCGGTATCGTATAACTTTTGTGTTGCCAAACTACCGGCGGATACGAAGCTTCTGCGGGCGAGGATGGTGGAAGGGCCGGTCCTTGCAGTTCACTGCAGACACGAGGTAAGGTTCAAGTCCAGAGAAGGGCTCCTGGATCCGACGAGTGATTTTGTGGGTGAGAGATTTGATCTGTTCCGCGAAATCGGCGGTCTGTTGATGCTCGCCAAACAAAGGGCAAGGGAAGGACAGACACTATCTAAAGAACCGAGCGAGAGTCACTGGTGGGCAACCAAGAGCCGCTGGGGTGGAGGCGAGACGAGATGGGGCCAGCTCGCCAACGAAGTGCTTGAGGACGAAGACCCAAGCTGGAGTCCGGAAGAAAGGCGGCTGCAATTGGAAAAGCGGGAGAAAGAAGAAGAGGAGCGAAGAAAAGCAGAGGCTGCCGCTGCGGCCGACTTGAAAAATCAGAAACCGGAAGATCTAATGTCCGGTCCGTCGTCACCCAGCGAGAGGCCGAAAAAGAAGAAGAAAAGTGGCGAAGCGGGTGTATCTCCCAAAGACAGGGCTGAGTATAAGGACGGCAAGCGGTTGATGTATGTCCCGCCCTTACGGCGGAAATGGCATCAGGAGTGGGTGAAAGTCCGCCCAAACGGCCCTTATTGGGATGAGAAGTTGATCCATCGGAGAATTGGCAAGCGAAGTCGAGAGGAAGGGACGGATGGCTGGGACGACGTTTTCATGATATCGGCCGCAAACCATCACGCCTGCATCTTGAAGATGAGCGTGCATGAGGATTATCTGGACTGGCTGGAGACTGGCAAGGAAAGGGGATCACGGTCCATGTCGCAAGAGAGTACAAGCAAGACCGGTGTGGACCAGAGGAAAGAACACTTCCTCTACGTCAGCCGGAGCCCTTGGCTGGATCTGTTCGACATTGAGCAGAGAAAGGAATTGCTGATCGGTATATGGAGGGTTCTGAGCTGGATAAACCGACACGAGGTGCCGAGAGCGGAGGTGGAGAAGATGGAAATACTCAAAGGATCGCAGAGCCAACAGCGGGAAGATCAGATTGGAGACCACCAAATGGAGATCTGATCTGGCAGCAAGCCGTGGAGGAGACGTGCGCAAAGACAGCAACGACTCAAGCCAGAGGAATTGGGCATTTGGCCGACGATCTCCAGCAGTTGATAAAGAATTAGGATCCTACCAACATATAAAATATACGGTGGGACGTAACACCGTCCAAGGCCGTTTGCTGAGCGAGAGTAAAAGAGGCCCCACTGGCACTCACCACGCCAGCGAAGTGGTTTTGGGGGGGGGGGGGATGGGTGGACCATGAGAGAGGGCGTCAAGGCGCAGAGACGAAACCCCTATTAGAACAGCCTTGGTGGTGCGAAACTTGTTGGAAAAAAATCACCGAGTACGAGGTACCAAGGAGGTACTGTACCTCGTATAGATCATTCAAATGCCCGGTTCGGGCAAGAAATTAAGCGCCAAGACCCCACCTTTTCTGGGTATCCGTCTTCGCCGTGCCCTGCCGTTCTTAGACTGGGTTGCAAAACGTTTCGAAACTTTTGCTCAGTAATGCCGCATAGGTACACAGTCTGATCCATCCGAGATACATAGTGGCCGGTTGGGAGGCGAGGTGAGTCATTATTGAACTTTGATCTGGTTTCCTGTCTGGGGTCGTTGGCACCACCCAGTATTCATTTCCTCCCATCTAGTTACCTAGGTATACAGACACGAGGACCTCCCTCAACATGCCGGCGTCACATCTCTCAGAAGGCATTCGCATCCAGCAGAATGGCGACCGCGACCCGCAAGCTACCATGCCCCGCGAAGTTTCGCGCAGCCTCTCCATGTCCACCTCCCCCAGCGACACCTTCCACCACCGCAAAGTTTCGTTCGGCGTCGACAGCCTCAGTGGTACTTCTCCCAATCTCCGGCGAACAATCACCGGCCCTCAGCCCAAGCCATTGAAACCCTTCCGCGAACAGGATGTCAAGATTCTGCTGTTGGAGAATGTCAATCAGACAGGGCAGGATATACTAAAAGCCCAAGGCTATCAAGTGGAATTCTTGAAGTCGAGCTTGCCCGAGGATCAATTGATTGAGAAGATAAAGTAAGAAACCCATACGAGTTGGCCTCTATACCTGACCCGCTTTGCTGTCTAGGGATGTTCATGTAATCGGCATCCGCTCCAAAACAAAACTCACATCCCGCGTCCTCGCGGCGGCAAAGAATCTCATCGTGATCGGGTGCTTCTGCATCGGCACAAATCAAGTCGATCTGAAATATGCCGCGTCCCACGGCATCTGTGTGTTCAACTCCCCCTTCAGCAATTCCCGCTCCGTCGCCGAACTGGTCATCTGCGAAATCATCGCCCTAGCTCGCCAACTGGGCGACCGCTCCAACGAACTGCACCGCGGTACCTGGAACAAAGTCTCGGCGAGATGTTGGGAGATTCGTGGCAAGACCCTGGGCATCATCGGCTACGGGCATATCGGCTCGCAATTGTCTGTGTTGGCCGAAGCGATGGGCATGGACGTGATATACTACGACGTGCTGAACCTGATGGGTTTGGGCACTGCACACCAAGTCCCCACCCTCGAACATCTCCTCAAGGACGCGGACTTCGTAACGTGCCACGTCCCCGAGCTGCCGGAGACGATGAACATGATCGCCGCCAAGGAGCTGGAGACCATGAAGAAGGGAAGCTATCTCATCAACGCCTCGAGAGGGTCAGTCGTGGACATTCCCGCGTTGATTGATGCGATGCGCTCAGGTCATATCGCCGGTGCGGCGTTGGACGTGTACCCAGCAGAGCCCGGTGGGAATGGGGACTACTTCAACAAGAGCCTGAACCCCTGGGCGGAAGATCTGCAGTCTTTGAAAAATGTCATCTTGACACCTCACATTGGCGGGTCGACCGAAGAAGCACAATCGGCCATCGGCGTCGAAGTCGCGGAGGCCCTCGTCCGCTACGTCAACGAGGGCGTCACCGTGGGCGCCGTCAACATGCCCGAAGTCGCCCTGCGCTCTCTCACGATGGACGAGCCGGACCACGCGCGCGTCATCTTTATCCATCAGAACGTCCCCGGTGTCTTGAGGAGAGTCAACCACCTTCTGGGCGACCACAACGTCGACAAGCAGATGACCGATAGTAGAGGCGAAGTGGCGTATCTAATGGCGGATATCAGTAACGTCAAAGAGGATCAAGTGGCCGAACTGTATGCCGATTTGGAAGGCGTAAAGGAGAAGATCCTCACCAGGATTCTCTATTGAAAACATGCACCAGACAAGCCCAACATGTCACTGCTCCAATGTGCCATATTTTACGAGGTACTACCGTCACACAAGCTAGATGGAAGGTGAGTGCGTTTCCCGTCTGCACCTCTGGCAGCAGTCGAGCGGACGAGGGAGGAGGAGGTCAGGGAGGGCGACCAAGAATGCGCCGTATCGTACTCTACATGGCAAAGTCGTGTTTACTGAAAACGACGAGGGAAAAAAAAGCACGGCATCCTATAGGAAAAGAACAAAAAACATACTTAATATTATAGACCAACGACCGAAGGAAAAAGACGGCGATGGGCTCACAGCTCCAAGCTTTCAACGACCCAGGCTTTCAACAGCTAGCTAGCTATGTAGCTACCTACACACAGGGCGTTCAGGATGAGAGACGCAAATAGGGTGTACGTCAACGGCTTCCCACGATGTGATTATTCAACAATGCCGGAGGTCCTGCAAATATTAAAGCAGAAATGAGACCATGGGTTACTTCTGAAACTCGTTGATTTGCTCAAATGCGGCCCTCTTCTTCATCCTCTCTCTGAGTGCCCAAGGCTCCACCCCTCTGTGTTCAGTCTCAAGCCTCGTCCAATTTGGAACCCTGTGTCCATGATTCATCATACGCGGGAGGGTACGTACCCGTGGTCTCTTCAAGATCTTGCATGGTTGCTAAAGTCTGAAGAGTTCGCGCTTTCAATTGCCGCCTCTAAAGATCGTTCTCGAGTCGTTCTCATGTTCCGGTCGCGAGGCGATCGAATCGTCAAGATAAAAGTCGGATAGCGGATTGCTCATCACAGTGTATAGAATCGGTCGCCGAAGTCACCAAGGCCGGGGACAATATAACTGGACGAGTTAGTTGGACGACTTTTGGACGGTCCGCATGACAAACTTACTTTTGCTCGTTGAGACCTTGATCCACAAAAGCCGTGATGACCCTCACCTTGGGCACCTTTTTGGCGAAGTTCTCAATACCTTCAGGACTGGCAATCAGGTTCAAGAACAAAATACGGTCTTCCGGGACGCCTTTGCTCTTCAGAACCTCGACTGCCATGATTGCGCTACCACCGGTCGCTAACATAGGATCCAGGAGCAGCACCCATCGATTCTGAACATCCGGGGGCAGCTTTTCGTAGAAAAGCTTGGGTTTGCTCGTTTCCTCATTGCGCTGGATCAGGATTTTGCCTATCCTCACCGACCGGCAACATTCTCTTAGACCTTGCTCCATTGACTCTCCTGCCCGCATAATGGAAACACCGCAAATCTTTCCTTCAAATTTGACCCCAACATAGTCCTTGCCGACAGGAGATGTGACAGTGTGTGTGACGACCGGAAGGTGATTAAGACCTTCCTCGACCAGAAGGCGAATGATTCGATTGGAGTAGAAGATGAAATCAGCCCGTGGGGTGTTCTTGTCTCGGATCATGCTTGATTGAACAAGTCAGCCACTCTTGTTTCGATGCTGTAGATCTTTATAGTACTCACGTCAGGAGAGCAATCAGTTGAGGGGTCTGAGGCAGGACGTGGACATTTTCCTGCTGGACGCTTTTTGAGACAGTGGCTGTGGGTTTCTCCTCCTCTGGGCGATAAGAAGGCCCAACGCCAACAGCGGGAGACTGCACCCCGTTGATACGCGGGACTGAAGCCATTATCTGCAAGCAATATGCTGTGACAGACAGCTGAAAGGAGGGATAGCGGCTGCTCGCGTGACCTTTGGAGGAGGGGGATCGTAAGTTAACTTCTTGGGATTGAGATGGATGTCTGGCGAAAGTGGGGGGGCGCGAGGTTGGAATGCAGGAATATTTCCTCTGTTACTATGATGGGAGAAGGAAACAAGACGGCTTCATAGAGCTTCAGGTTCACCAGGAGCCCATACAACCACAGGTGGTCTCTAGATCGACGTGGTGCAAGCTCATAGTGCTTCGTTCATGGACTTTTGATCTGTGGCAGATGGGCCGGTGCGCAGATGCGGGTAGATGCACATGCGCTGAGGAAGCTACCGAAGAAATTTGATCAAGGAAAATGGCCCTCCAGCGGGCCAGCCCCGAGGTTTAACTAAACAGCTCTGGGCATGCGGCCCCGAGCCGCCCGTCGGGGCTTCGGCTTAACTGCGACCACCACCAGTTCCAGGTGCTGGGTGATCAGTGATCACCAAACACTAAAGGGCCTCTGTTTGTTTATGGGCCCTCGTAGGTACATCACCCCGCGTCAACATCGGCATGCGATGCTATCGTCTCCAAAGCTGCAACTCACAACAACTCAACATTATCGACTTTTCGACCTTCCAACTAAGATCGACAGCACTTCAGGATATCTGGCTGCATTCTGCACCGAGTCAGATATCAAACAATGACCCTTTGTTCTCCCCAGTTTATATGCAGTATCTAAGATATGCGATGGCAGAGTTCTGATACCTGTCGCGCCTATTTTAGACAATCCACACTTCGAATGAATCAACCACGTCTGCGCCCCCTCGCCAGTAGGCACCATGGATTTCCCTCCAGGACGTCGAAAAGTGAACATTTATGGCAAAGGAGCCAGGAAAGTTCACGTCCACGACCTTTTTGACGTCGCTGCGCCATCACCGGTCGATGCGACAACAACGACATTTACCTCTCATGTCCCAGCCCTTCCTCGACCCGGTCAAGCCACCAACACATCTCATATTGAACTTGAAAATGAAGTGAGAGGTGCAGCGAAACAACAGTCTCATGGGAGAAAGGGGGATCCTTCGACTGCTACCAGTCCATGGCCTCTGACAGCAACCCACTCGACCATGTTTGACCTACACTCCTCTGAGGAGGAACCGGCCAGTCTCAGACCAAAGCCCCCTCTAAAGAAGAGAAAGATAGCATCTGCCAAATCAAAGCAAACGGAGAATGCTGTGAAGGTGGATAAACCACCCAAGGGCGTTATGACAAAGATGAACGGATTGCGTGCGATGAATGAAAGTGGCAAAGAGAAGCTGCAGTCCAAGTCTACGAATGTGAACTTCACCCTCGAACGTTCCGACTCAGCCAATGCCGCTCCTAGGATGAAACGACCATTTAGGGGAGTCACTACTAGCAGATCAATTTCTCCTGGCGACTTGGTCCGTCCAAGAGCGCCTCGCTCAAAACAGCCTCAACTCTCTATTGTCTCTTCTCCAGAATCTTCAGATTCATCCAGCAGATCGCGACCGTCCCAGCGGAGTAGTCCAAAGAGAAAAAGGCGTGTTTCAGACGAGAGTCTCCTGGCCTCGCCCACCCTTAGCGAGGTTCATTTGACTGCTTTGCGTTTGACGCCCGATTCAAGCTCGCAAAGGTCACACGTCTCATCCGATGACGAGGACATTGGAGATGCTCCCACCAAGCCTGCTGAGAAAAGCCGAAAAAGGTTGGTTGATCGACTGGACGCTCCACGCACTCAAACCAGGGACATTATCTCGCGGACTGCATCATTAAACGCAAGAGAAAGACAGGAGCAACATTCAAGTCAAACTAAAGGTGGTGCGGCACCACCTGGAAGGATTTCAGCGAGTCGTCCGACCAAGGATGTCCCTCATCTGGAAAAGCAACTATCAGATGTATCCGTTGCCGCTTCTTCAGGACGTCCACGGCCCACTTACGCTAAGCAAAGGACTTACTTGAGCGAAATGGTTGACAGTTTGGAGAGTTATCCGGCACCGAATAGTCAAACGTCTTCCCAAGAAATCCATTCGCAGGCCGTGTCTTTCACTAGTGTGGCCTCACGGATGGAGCTAGACACCGGTGACAGCGATGAAACTGATGCTTTCAGTCAGATTAAAAGCATCCACGAATTGAGGCGTGGAGGTGCGCTCAGAAAGTTCGACTTGGATTTAGACACCATCTTGGAAGATGTTGAATCAGGATCCAAGTCACGGCGCATTTCAGGACTCCTACAGCTTATTCCGAAGTTGAACGAACTCTCTTCCCTGCGTCACTTTCAAGATTCTAGTAACCTCCAGCGCCTTCTGGATTGTGCGAACGGATCCTTGGACGAGGTCAGCGGCACGTTGGTGGCCCTAGTCCTTCACTGCGTAGTACTGGCTGAAAGCTCATCACCGAGGGTCGTGCTACAGATATTGAACACCCTTTACAAGTTATCTCCCCGTCTGGTCTCGGAACCCAAATCACTAACCAAACTTGCAAAAGACCGAAGTCAGAATCTCTCCAAGGTTCTTGTCAAAGAGATATCGGAGTTCGAGGAGAAAAGGTCGAGACTTTTGGGCCAACCGTGTATGGCTGTCAACAAGACCATACTTGGTTCCGTGGAAGCTGCTCTACGCAATCTCATCAATCTCAAGGAACCATTCCCCGCGCTTCCACGAGTTCTCCTTGACGAGATTCTCTCGACCTTTGCGACGACGCTGGATATGATTGAAGGAGGAGGGATGGCTAAACAGTTGGAGACGATCCGACTCTTGCTGTCTTTATTGGAGATTGCCTGGGCAACAAACCACGGGGCGGCCGGGTCTAGCTTGTCGACTGTCTGTGTCGCCGAGCTAGGTGAAAGCGTGGCACGTGTCATGAAGGAGGCTCATCAGTCCCAACCACAACTTGAGCAATCGTGCCTCAGGCTCATCGTGAGCTTGAGTAACAATGACGCAGCAGCTTGTGACGCTCTGGTTGATGGACGCCTCATCGACACTGTTTTCCAGGTCATTGATGAGCGCTTTCTGAAGCTAGCGAGGCATGCGGAGCAAAAGCAAGAGTTTGACCATGCACAGCTTGAATCTGTGATTCTGGCTGTTGGGTGCCTTCTCAACTTTGCGGAATGTGCGGACGCCGCCAGGGTACGGATGTTGGGATTGATGGCAGATGGAAAGAACATGGTGGACCGGCTGGTAGACATATTTAACACCCATGTTGACCAGGCCTCCGAGGTACGAATCCCTGACTGACGGCAAAGAGTGCGAGACGCTGACTTGTACAGGCGATGACCATTGACCAGACCCAAATCCTCGTCGCCTTTGGATACATCTCAGCGCTGCTGTGCACACTGTGCCTGAACCCAACTGCGAGCCATCGAATAGCACAATCCACTAACGGGAAGGGGCTTTCGCCATTGTTTGGGGCTGCGGACACGTTTCTTGATCACCTACAGACGGTGGAGGCGGCACTTGGCAAAGAAGACTGCTCGCCAACGGGGTTTACAGAGCGGTTTACTACGGTGCTCGAGACAGTGAAGCAGCAAGCCGGATGATGCGTCCTTCTCTTGTATTCGCGAACGATAGGACATACAGGATATGGCATTGGGTACAGGGTCCAGAGTATTGGGACATGTCCTTAGTCGGCATGTGGTTGCATAGAAAAACTGGACGATACCCCCTGAGTATTGTGTTTGCTGGATAGAGAGGTCGGTGCATTTGCCAACCGCGATGAGCTGGTTCGAGTCAAGGATGTCTAGCTCGCTAGATACATACACACCTGGCAGGATTATACTATGTCCTTGGAGCTCACCCTAGACCCCGCCGCTTTCCCGCTCCCCGCCCTTGGTGGCGTGTTGCTGCCCCGTTCCAGCGCTAGTCTCCAGACCGGGAACGTTGGAATGAGAAGGACAATGGCCTAGCTCGCTAGGTACTTGGTATGGAGTAGATAAACCCCATATCATATGTAGATCCCTGAGAATCGGATTGCGAGCGCTTTTATCATCTATGTGCCCGGAATCCCATCAAATATCGGAGACCAATCCCTCCCCTCTCATCCATTCCGCTTCTAGCGTAGCCATATACAATGGCTTTGCAAGTTTGTACCAGATGTCGCAAGAGAAGAATCAGAGTGAGCAATGTCTGACGGTCTCATGCCCATAGTCAACCCAATTAATGGCTTACAGTGTGATCGCGGATTGCCAGCCTGTAAAAACTGTCGGCTGGCTGACGTTGATTGTACGTTTTGGGATGACTCTCTCGGTCAGGAGATATCATGCAGGTCAGTAGGTATGACATCTCAAGTTCGGTCCGTCAATGCCAACCCCAGGCCAGTTACCTTCACTCGCTCCAGCAAAAAGTCCAAAGCCTTCGGCTAGAGATACAGCAGGCTACTGATCCAACAAGCCTCGCCTCGACCGCGACCGCGACCGCTTACCAGGCCGATGTGGTCCCTTTCTCTAGAGAGGGTTATCACTTGCAGGTGGCCGACCCTGACGACCTCCCGACTCCTTCAGACACTGCTTATCTGGGTCCTGGGAGCTCAGCTCGACTCGTTCAACGCTTCTTGACGACCTCGGCCAATTGGCACATCACCAACAACATTCAGATCCCAAGGCATCTACTTCCGAACGGTCAATCCCACTTGACCGGGCTTCAAGAGCCTCGAGTCGTAGTGCCTTCTTTTCCCATCACCAATGAACTGCGAAAGGTAGAGCTGCATTCTCTGGTGCCGCCTTCAACACAACGAGCAATCATTGAGCATTACTTGAAAATTGTGGCCCCGGAATACACCTTGCTTCCTGTCGAACAAGAGACCGCCTTGTTGATACATGAGAATCCTCTAAAATGGATCAGCTCGAACAGGGACCATCCTGCGGCATCTTCGTTGACCATCGTGTTTGCCATCTCCACCGCACTCATCACTCGGGATCTTGACTCCAACCTGGCGAATGTCTCCTTGCGAAACAAAGAGGATATCCAAAAACTATCTCTCGGCGATGCGGCGAGTCAGGCCCCCCCGATCGCGACCAGTTGGACCTGCGCCGCTTTATGTGCCCTCGCCTTGATCGAGTTAATCTGTCCAACATCTGGCCAACTTTGGGACCTCCTGGGGAGAGCCGCATCGACGATGCAAGACCTGCAGGAAGGTTGTCTGCTTCGACGCTCGGATCTAGACGCGGATTTGCGAAGACTGGAGCGTGCCCTGCTCAAACTAGAGAGGTACTTCTACAATTACCATCACTCTAAGGTGCCGGGCTAATACCACTTCTAATAGCTTGGCTACGATGCATTTTGGACGTCCTTCGTTATTCTTCGACACTCAGATACAGCTCCATCTCGAAGACCTCCCCACGCCGAATTTGCTTTCAGACGAGCTCTACATCGCAAGTTGTCTGCACAGCATTGCGCGTGCGCTGACGACCGTGCCTGTCCCAACCGAAACGTTTCTCGAGGCTCTAATCCCCTATCCTCTCCAAGTCAAGTCCCTTGGCTCTGAGATTGATTTGTCTTCGGCAACGCTCTACACAGCTTTAAATCCACTTTTCACCGACCCGGACAGGTTCGCTGGGGTTGGCATCCTGAACATGGCATCCCCAAGAGTGGTTCACGTAATTGCCAAATCCGCCTCTGTCATCATTGATCACTTCACTCTGCTCAACGAAAAAAATTCGATCATCAGCATTTGGCTGGCTGCTGAGCGAGTTCTCGAGGCCGGTACCGTGTGGGCGGCCAGTCTAGTCCACCAACAACGTTGGGCAGGCCCAAGACCACAACATCTCTCTGCCACAGGGACTGATGTGGCCCTGAGTCCAATTGTCAAGGTATCCAGTCTTCTGGCTTCATTTGCAGCGCGGTGGAAGGCCGGGTCCGTATACGTGAGTACCTGGGAAATCGTGGTTGAATCCCTTTGGAAAATGGTGTGAAGCGTGGCATACCTCTATCTGATCACTAAACTCTTGAACAATTGCTGCTGCGGCTATTGATAAATCATGGACTTTGCAGACGACATGCCCCAGTCAGCTGGCATTGCCGTCGACACCTTGCAAAGACATGAGCGCCCCTACCTAAAACGACCAATTTACAACTGGTAGATTATCACAAGGTCTGCCGATCAGCACCTTTCCTGTGCAGCTCTTCAATTCCATCATGATGCACGCCAGAGTTGTCATCCTTTCCATTCCAACCGCTTCAGCAGGCCTGTCTCTGCAGATCGCCAATGGGCTTCCCTCTTCATCTGACAGTTTCTCACGAAGCGACCGAAACGTTGTCGTCGCATTCTTTTCCCGATCAATGTCAGTCAACTTCTGAATGCGAGCCAACCGCAGGAACGAATTCGGAGCAGGATGATCTACCAGTTTGGCGGGCCGATTCGTCCCGTACAAATGGTTTGTGTGTGCCACATACCCATTGCTAGGCAAGATCAAGACATTGCCCCTCGGCGAGCATTCGATGTTGACGTGCTTCCCGGTTCTGTCGGCAAAAATATAATTGGCAGTACACGCCAGGCCAAACTGGTCGATTATGCTAAGTGCGTTGTCCACACTCCTAGCATATTGCAGAAGACGCCGTGACATGACATGGACGGGTAGATTGAGTTTGTCGAAAGCGCCAGATCGGAGAGCATTCATGCACAAGCCGAAGCCAGCACTATTCATCCCGATCTTGCCCACAATGCCTGCCTCTCCGAGAAATCTGAGAGCGATGTCAGACTCAAGAGGTTTGATATACAGGAACACCATCCCCTTGTGGAGCTCCTCGAGCCAGTCCCAGTTCTGGGCCAGGAAGATTTTCCCATCTTCTCCAACTTGACTGATCGAGGTACACCCGTCCGCGTAGTTCGTCAAGCAAATCTCACTCCGAACGTTCAGAGTCAAGATATCTTCACGCGTCAGGCCACCACCAGCGCCGTCGGCGATACCTCTCATCTCCTCCAGAATCTCGGGATACCTAGCCTCAAGAGTCGGAACAAATTGGACGACAGCTTGTTCTCGTGCTGCCTCCCATGAAATTTTGGCCGTCTCCTGAAAGAAGCTGGTATATGTGGCTATGTTGGTGTGCACTTCGACACCAGCGGTACTGCCATGTTGAAGGCCAATCTCGTAGGGAGTACCGGAGCAATGGATAGTCTTGACGGACGGGTGATCCATTGTGGCTCGACATTGGATGGTCATCTTCGCAGTGGGATAATGTTCGCGTCCACCCAGTGGATAATTTCACGAGAAAGCCTTCAACAAAATGGCATCCAACCTGAAATATCATATATACACACACGTTGCCTGCCATATCAGAAGATATAGCCCTTTCAACATGTCACCCGTGCTGGTATTCGGTCCTCGGTCACACTTGCCAGGGCTTGCGAGCGTCTCCACGCGTGAAATCTGAATCACCTGGTTGTTGGCTAACGGATCTCACCGAGAATCGGCTTTACCTCTCGCCTGAACCCGGATCTCCAATGGTTCGCACAGTGGCCAACCAAAAGATTCGCTGGGCTTGAGCGTGAGTGTCAAATGCAAGGACCGCGCCCTTCGATGGCCGAGGCGCCGAGTCATCCTGTCGAATGACAAGGAACTATACAAAGAAAAGTATCGTTTCTGATCGACTCAATAGGTGCTTTCAGACCAGCAAAGTGACCTCGTTAGCAGGCTTAAGGGGTTTCGGCCATGTACCTCTTGTACCAAGGAGAGCTCTCCCAATTTGTGCGGTCGGTTCCTATACTACCATGAACGGATAGACCTCCATATCTGGTTACAGCTGTGTCAGGTCTTTGGATGTTCTTCAAGACAAGATCTGAAGATGTCACTTGAGGGGTGTGTAAGTATCCCCTTGATCCCAGTCGTGGTCATTGAGGTACATCCCCACACCTTTTCCATCCCGTTTCCAGATCTGACCATCCTTCATGACGAAGTCCACCTTTCGTAAAGCATGCTTATCCTCCCTCGGGTCTGAATTGAGGGCGATAATATCGGCTCTCAACCCTTTGTCAAACCAGCCGAATCGCATTCCACATAAATCTCCTCCACAAGCCTCCCAGCCTCCAACAAAGCAGGCCTCCAAGACATCTTCTAGCGGGAGACCAGCTTCACGCATGAGCTCTATCTCTCTGACCCCCTGACCATGAGGATAAGGACCAGTATCTCCTCCACAAGCGAACCGGACACCTACTTCGTGGGCCAGCTTCGTCTGCCTCTTGATCGCATCGAAGCGGCGATGATGAACCCGCTCACAGACAGCGAGGGTCGGACAAAACACAGTTCCTTTCTCTTTCATTAATTCGAACAACTCCTTGTCTGCGAAGTAGGCGTGTTCAATGGTATGCACTCCGGCTTTGACGGCGATCATTGCTCCCTCGATGGTTCCGGCGTGACATGCCACCGGCGCCTTACCCATTTTCGCTTCCTGAACAAGAGCCTCGACTTCTTCCTGTGCGAAAACGAGCAGGTCCGGGTTGGGGTCCGCCGGAGGGTGCGTGACGCCAACAATATAAGGATGTTGCTGTGCTGGAGGGTATCGCATAATGCGGCGGCGATAATCGGCAAAGTATTTGATCACATCCGCACCGGCGGCTAGGCGTCGCCTCACCGCCGTTCGGACGTTATCTGGACCATCGACCGCCTCGCCTCCCATCGGCAGGCACACGCCGCCTGACGAGTTCTCGGTGCGAGGCTCATATGATCCCGTGCTGGCTAGTGCGCGTGTGGCCACGAACATTCGTGGTCCCGGTGTTAGGCCGCGGTTGATGCAATCCCGAAGTTGAGCGTCGCCTTCTCCCATTGACTCCGAGCTTAGATCACTGGATCTCGTCAGTCACATGGAACACGAAGACCGCATTGTGAAGGCAAAGCTCACCGATAGGTTGTGTAGCCCGCGAGCAGAGCCGTTCGGCAGTGGTTGGCCGCGCGGACTATTCGCTCGACAATGCTTTCATCGCGCTTCTGGAGCAGGGACGCACGTTCACTATGTTCCAAATTAACCACTCGGAAATCCCAAGAACTTGCTAACAGTCACAACCGTACTCGTATGAGTGAAGGAAAACATGTGTATGCGCATCAACAAAGCCCGGCATCACAATCTTCCCTCGAAGATCGACATCGCCTTCTGGCACAGATTCGCCCAGGGAGCCTGGTGGACGTTGTGCGACTTCCACAATCAAGCCGGACTTGGGGTCGACAGTGACGGAGACATCTTTAACGAATGCCTTCTTCTTGGGGTCAAAAAGAATCGAGGCGTGAACAGTATATGGTGCTGCCATGGCGGCTGTGTCGCTTGAGCTTTGACCTATATGGGAAGAATGGGCACCTCTTTGTAGATGACATTCATATTGTTTCTCTGTTTTGCAGCAGCATTTGCCAGTGTCCAAAGGTCACCTTTCAAACCGAATGCTGCGGTTAGGGATCTACAGGCCTGCCGGAGATACCATGCTACTTTGAGAACAGTTTCCTTTCCGGCTGACAAAGGTTGAGACTCCGACATAGCATGAGGTACACATTTCTGGGCCTCCTAAACGGTGGAAGCCTAGCTCGATAAGCAGCTCCTCGCTCTCCTCCGACATCTTGTCCCTGCAGAAGTTGCCCACTCCCCATCGAAGGCGCAAATAGCGGAGAAGCTCATGGGTCAGTCACAATCCCTAGGTTGGTAGACGAATGTTCGCTCTCCTCCGTCCGAGGCACAGGCAGTCTTTGGGGTTGACGGGTTTAGTTACCACGATGAATCTCTGGTCGCCGCACTTCATTCATCGCGATCGCATGCACGGATGCAGTCTGATGAGGTCCAGGGTCGAGTTTGCGCTTCATTGCGTATCGATTAGAATCCATCCTTTTCAGAGATTTTATCGTGCAGTCACTATCTACCTGGCCGCCGAGGTGCAAAAGAACTTGTTGCGATCAACTCTCCAGAGCCAGATCCAGAATTACGTCGTGAAGAACTTGGCCATCATGTCAATATCTGTCCTTGCAACAGGAGATATCGTTATCAAAGACAAACTCAGTCGCCCCGACCGGCAATGGAACCATCTACGATAGATTGCGGACGGCGGATTCGTGCTTTGCAAATCTCGAAATGCCATTCACGAAGGATGGATACCCTGCTGAGAAACTTATACCTCTGAAAGGTGATCCTGCTCAAGCCAATGTCATCCGCGAACTTGGCATCGATGTTGTTACGTGTGCAAACAATCACGGTATGGATTTTGGCTTCGAAGGGCTGCGGATGACTTCCCAGGCCCTTGACACCGTTGGTGTTGCCCACGTTGGCAGTGGAGAGAACGTTTTCGAAGCCTTTGCGCCTGTCGTTAAAACACTGAATGGTGTGAAAGTGGCATACATTGGGGTTACGACCACACTACCGAACGGCGCCGGGGCGGGAAGATCACGACCTGGACTTGCGGGCGTACGGTTCTTCAGCAAATTCGTCGTCGACACGGTCACAATCGATGAGTCTCCGGGCATGGCGCCGTTCGTGGAGACGGAAACATATAAACCGGATGAAGAAATACTTCTGAAGACCATTCGTCACGCGAAGACCCAGGCAGATGTTGTACTGGTGGCGATCCACTGGGGGGGTTCCCTACGGATGGGTCCAAAACAGTCAAGACGAGATTGCAACCTATCAACGGCCTTTGGCTTATGCTATGATCGATGCAGGCGCATCTGCGATATTTGGGCACCATCCGCATGTTGTGCAGGGCGTGGGATTTTACAAGGGCTCTCCCATTTTTTATTCACTGGGAAACTTCATCTTTAGCAACAGCATCGTTACTCCCTCCGATGGGTGGCGGAAGTACCCCCCATATAGCTGGAGCAGTCTGCAACAGACTTTGTCCGATATCGGGGCTCTTGCCAAAGTTTCCTGGGCAGGAGGAAAGCTGGCGAGCTGCTCTGTCGTTCCGGTAACCCTTGCTGAAGATGGTGAACCTCTTGAGGCTACGAGCGAAGATGCTGAGGTGCTATTATCCCGATTGGGCACGCTTTCGAAGGCTTGTGGAATGGAATTTGGCCCGAGGAAGCAAGCAAGAGGTTACGAGATCCTCATCTCCGAAAATCTAGAGTGTTAGGTATGTAGAGCGGACGCGCCGACTTGACTAAATTTTTGCCCAACTTGCCAGCCGTTTCCTCAAGCTTTGGCTGGTCGAACGCCCCCATTCAGCTCGCAGTCCTGAGCTTTAGGACGGATGCGAGACGACTTTCGCCTGTCTACACTGTCATTGTCCTCTCTACAGGATGTCATCAATTTAGAATCGCCCAAGTCTCTAACATCGGCACTTCTCCCAAGGACCTTAGGGGGGGGATTAAGGCCACTTGAGGGTGGATTAGTATGTCTAATCTCTCCCACGGTGCCGAGCACTCGGTACATAGAAGATGTCCGTTGCCCTAGCTCAAGCACCCTGATCGAAGGCTATCTCCGCGGCTAGTGCCAGAGGTGGCAAGGTGATCTCAAACCACGAAGTAAAAACCCTCGGCGGCCTCGTCTGTCAGGACTTGCAATTCGACGAAATGCACTCGGCACCGAGGAGTCTGGTTGAATTGTCAGCTCGGGCCGTGTTGTGGTTGTGCACAACTTGTTGCTGATCTACAATGCCACAAGACCTCAGACATTCATGGCGAAACGCCTCCAAACCCCTCTGTTGAAATATTGAGCTGATTTGTAAAAGCATTCGATATCGCCTTCTATATATGTAAACCTGATCCGAGACGGGGGAGCCAAGTGAACAACCAAAGGGTCGAGATTGGGCTTTACTCCCTAGAATTATCTTCACAGACCATGGTCGAGGCAAATACATCGACAGTCCAGGTGGACGACGGCGTCAAGCTGCACGTCCGACTTCTCGGGGGCGATTCGACCGGGGCGAAACCTCTACTCATCGGCCTTCATGGCGCACCAGGAATGTTTACTCACGCAGAACCGGAGGCCTGCTTCAGTCACCTCTCTCCTCTTTTCCGAGTTCTGGTGTTTGATGGCCGAGGAAGTGGTGCCTCGGACATGATCGGGCCTTACTCTCATGAACGCTGGATGAAAGACATTGAGAACCTCAGGTGCTTTGTGTGTGTCAGCGAGATAGGTTGCATGACTAACCGGTGACTGCAGGGCATGGGCCGGAGCAGAGACGTTTGTGTTGGCCGGCCACTCATATGGGGGCTTTTTGGCCCTTGACTACGCCGTCAATTATCCCGCTCGTCTGCGTGGCTTGATATTGATAGACACCTGGACTGTTGGAACACTCGGAGCAATGGGAGCTTTGGCAAACATATTGACGTCGGATAGAATCAAGGTGGACAAGGCACGTCAGATCCGAGTTTGGTCGGGCAACCTCCTGGGCGACACGGACTTTCAAGAAGCAATTGCAGAGATGCTCCCCTTCTATGGCCCTCCCGAAGACCCGTCGAAGGCAACAGCTCCCGACACGGGTGATCAACCTACGTCTGCAGCGTTCTTTGGGCCAGGGGGACAATTTCATTCCAAGACCCAAAACTGGGCTTTCGGTCAAAGCATGCCTCGCTTCGACGTTCGACAGCGACTCAAGGATATCACGGTAGGCGTCTTCCTGTCCTCTTCATCACGCTGACAGTTGACCGTCTGACAATTCTCAGGCTCCTACCTTGGTCGCTGTTGGGCGCCATGACTATGTTACACCTGTGAGCTTTGCGGAAGAGATTGCCAGAGAGGTCCCGGACGCGCGGCTGGAGGTATTCGAGCATTCAGGACACAGTCCTCAATCGGACGAACCCGAGAAGTTCCGCGAGGTTCTCCTAGATTTTTTGAAAGCCAGGATTCTATGAAAGATGTCCACGTACGCGGTATAACCATACCCAGTACTGGGTAAGGGCGGTGGTATTGGAAACAGCTCGTGCCAGCAAGCCGGGGCACTTGTGCAACCCGTTAGCAGATACTTGACTGAGGCCCCTGAGGCTCCTGAGGCCATCGAATCGCTGTTCTGGCCCGGTTAAAATGCCAGGACCTCTCCTTGGACGAGTGTGGTGGTTAGGCGCAAGGGGGCCAACTGGGGGCCAACTGGGGGCCAACTGGGGGCCAGGCATGCTCACCAGGCTGGTGGCTCCTCCACCCTGTCCAGAAGCGGACTAGGCGGGGCGAACCGGCATGGGTTTCTGTACTCGGCGAGTCGGTAATATAAATGGGTGCTTGCTTCCACAATAACTTCATCACACTTCCTGCGCACTTCGCCTATGTCTGATCGATGCTGTGTATGCTCACCAACAGTGACTATTCATCCTGCTTATTGAAACCTTTTGCTGAGCCCGAAAGTTATGTCCTGCCGTGCTGCTACCTATCCTTGACTTCTCGCTCCACAAAGAACTGACACTTGGGGCCGGATTGACACTGGTCACGAGCTGCCTCGCATGAAGGAACGCCCCTCGATGCCGGTCTTCGTCGTGCGCAGTCACCGATCTGGTATCGATGGCGTCCGCCTCATCCGATCCTTGGAAGAGACGCCGCCAAAGCAAAGCCTGCGCACGCTGCCGGAAAAGAAAAATACGAGTACGACCCAGGTTCTTGACCTCACACGCTTCATTCTCACGGCGGCTTCTAGTGCGACTTCCATTACCCGACGTGTGGTGCATGTTCAGCTGTAGGGGCCACATGTTTGGGCTTTGACTCGATCCACGGGATCGACAAACCTCGAAGCATTGTTCGGGATCTCGAAGACCAAGTTGGCCGTTTAAGCGTCGACCTGGCCGCCGTAAAAAGCCAGACCTGCAGCATCTGGGACACGGTGGGTGGCACGGTGGAGAGACTGACAACCCGCCTTGCAATAGTGACCGTCGAACCCACTGGACGACCCCGCAAGCAGGAGCAGCTCCTTCCGCTGGTCTCGAGTTATTTTCTCTCCGACTCGCCCTTACCATATCTCAACCGTCAAGCCCGGGATGCTACGAAGGGTGCCGAACCTCAGGTCCAGTCGTGGCGGGCCATGGCAATTTCTTCAATCCCTCGCCATGTTGTTGACGCCATGTTAAAACATTACTGCGAGACGTACCGCCCGCAGTACCCTTCGATTGGCGAGGAAGACCTGTACAGAGCCAGAGACAAGGTGTACGAGAGTTCGCAGCTTGTTGGCTACGATGCGTTTGTGATTTATATCACGTTAGCCATCAGCTCGAATACGCTCATGCATATCGATGAGAAACGGGCCGCAACAACTACGGATGGTCTGTGGGCCACGGCCGTCGTGCACCTAGAGCAAGTTGGCGCCACTAGCTCATGGGAGCGCCTCCAGGCCTTGCAGCTTCTTACCCATTATGGGTTCCTGAACCCCCAACATGTGAACGTCAGTCACTGTGCTGCTGCTGCTAGCAGACTGGCCTTGCATCTCGGCTTGCATGAAGAATTGCCAATCTCAACCCAGGTAAAACTGGAGCCTGCCATTCTGAATACTCGACGGAGGATGTTCTGGAATGCATATGGTATTGACGCGTGAGCACTTCTTTGGTCCTTATGTTGTGCTCCAACTCTGATAAGTCCGGTAGGGCAGCTCATAGCGTCCGCTGTCAACCTTTTAAGTGGTCAAGACCGGCGATCACGGCAAAGGTACCTATCAGCTACTCCCGCGCAGACTGTCGTCGAAACCGACTGACACCCACACCCAGTTTCCTGATTCCGAGTCTCAAGCGATACCAACACACTCTGCTCATATGTGGTCGTTACGGGAGATCGAGTGTGAGATCACCTTGGGCTTGTACTATCCTGTCTTTGCACACCAAGCTTCCAATGCCGATACTTCTTTCGAGTCCTGGTATATAAGCATACAAGCGCGGCTGGAAGACTGGTATCAGGCCATTCGTCAAAGCATCAATCTCACGGAAAAGATTGAATTCCATGAATTGTTGTTTCAAATCCAGGTGTTGAGGTTGAACCGGCCTTCGCCTCGTTGTCCTACGCCAACCAAGGAGATGCGTAAAAGGGCTGTCAAAGCATCTATAGCCTTGATCAAGGAGTACACCGTGCTCGATCGACTAGGTAAGATGTTCATGCTGTGGCATGCTGCTCATTGTGTCGTCGAAGCCGGTGTCTATCTACTTTCGTCTGTCTTGACGGGCATCGAATCCAAAAGCCAAGATCGCCGACATCTAGGAGGAGAGGACGTCAATATTTTGGCCAGATACGTCAAGACATTTCCGAGTCTCATTTGGAAAATATCCCGTCGCTGGCCGAGCGTTATGCCCTACGCCTCTGCCATGGATGCCATTTCCGTCTCAGTCTTGGAGAATTTGCATCAATGGTCAGATGGACAAGACTCATGGAGCTCTGACTTCGTCTCCCTGAAACAAAGGCTTGATCAACTGACCCTGTTCTCCCCGACACCATCCAAAGAACAAGCTCCAAGAAGTTATTCACCACAGACCGGGGAAATCGACCAGTACCAGGGATTGCCTACCTTCTCTCATTTGCCCGGGCAATCTTACACTATTTCTGAATCTTCAAGTTTCCAACTTTCAACCAACCGAGAGCTTTCTTCGATCAATTCCGGCTGGTTGGGCAGTCAACCGGGCCCGGAGCAGAGCGTTCCTTTTGTCCCAGAGTCCTACACCCTCGAGTACGGTGACCCAATGGCATGGGACTTTTCTGGAATAGATTCAGAGGAGATTTTCGCTGCACTACTGGAGCAAGGACAGTCAGATATCTTGATGCTTCAATGATGGTACCTTCGAAACGGCGTCAGCTTGTTACGACTCGGTTCTGCATGGCAATGATCTAACATGGATCTTTAAGCCTCTGACATCAATAAAGCCATTCAGAATAGGACTTGAGATACCTGCACGAGCTTGTCGTTAAAGCCATCGCTTCTACTGTCCGACCTTCGAAGAGATCTATGGAGTTGTTGACACTGGTACTTGTTGCTTCGTATTGGCTGCCTTAGGCGCCGGGGGGACTTCTCATCAGATCATGATTTCTGGTCTTCACTTTCATCTTGCCGCGTGTGTCTGGGCTGCTCGCCTGCTTGAGACAAGGGCTAGTTGAGAAGATTTTGTCAGCTGGACGCGCCTAGGATCTTCATTTGATCGACCGACCAATTCTCAAAGTGGGCAACAATCGTCATCCTAAAAACATCCTGCAGAATGCTCAACCAATACCCAGGAAGCCTGTGATGCAATCTAGGGTCATACCAATTACAGAACATGCGTTAAACCTAGACCTTGCCTCTGACGGAGACAAGCGAAGTATACCGATTGAGAAACGTTCTCTTGCGTGCGGTGGATTCGGTGCCACTCGCCATGTTCGTTCTAGACGATGCTATACGAGGTGCCTAAATGCTAAGGTTGCGGGAGGCGGCTATCAGCGCGAGGCCATCACTTATCAAGGGGGAGTCCCGTGCCCAGTATCTGAGGACCTCCCTTCAAGCTCACCAGGCAGGCTTTTCGAAGAGGGAAGATGCAAACACTAATGATGAAATGTCTGCCGAGCATCATGTAGACTCAGCGCGGCCCTTTCCACCACAAAGTCACTAGATGGAGGTCTGAGTATGATGGGTTGAAAGATTCTGTGTCCGGGCAGTCTTGACGCCCTCACTTCATAAAGGGTCAACCTGCCTCTCACGATAGGTTGAAGCTCACGATTTGCGCACCTTGAACACTTTGGTCCTCCATCATGGCTCTTAAAATTCCAGGTCTCCCACCACTTCATTTGCACTCTCCATATTGGCAAAAGAAAGTTCTCTCGGATATCGCTACTAGCATATTTTACTGACGGGTAACAGTGTCAATATGGGAGTCATCATAGGCTTGACCGCGGGACTCTATCAGGCACTCAACCTACTTGGCGCCGGTGGTGGCAAGCCGAGCTCCTATGAAACCGTGCAAATTGTGAACAGCACACTTTGCGCCATTTGGTTTTTCTCCTCAGCTTTCGGTGGCACCGTGCTCAACACGATTGGACCTGCTCTATCGTCCTGCATTGGGGTCATTGGTTTCATCCTCTATGTCGGCGGACTATGGTATTTTGATGACACTGGCAGGAATTGGTTTGCAATCTTTGGAGGCGTCGCCATAGGTGTGAGTCCAAACATCCGTTTGATTTGGTTCCACTGCTAAGAGGGCAGCTCTCCGCTGGCCTGATCTGGGTTACCATGGGATCGATCGCCATGTCATACTCTGAAGAACAGGAACGAGGCTCGTTCATCGCCATGTCGGTCAATTTACAAGCCGTAGGCGCGGCCATTGGAGGACTTATTCCCCTCGTCATCAATCGCAACCGGACAGATGTTGCAGGTGTCCCAACGGCTGTCTATGTCATCATTCTGGCCATGATGGGCGTCGCCGGTCTTCTTTCTTTTCTTCTGCGAGATCCTTGGAAGATTGTCCGGGATGATGGGACACGACTCTTCACAGTCAAGTCCCGGGGCTGGATTGAAGAGCTGAAATCTAACCTAGAAATTTTCAAGGACTGGAAACTCCTGATCATGGTTCCAGCGTTTCTCCCTTCGGAGACTTTCCTGGTTTACTCAGGCTCGGTCAATGCTTATCACAACAATCTGAGGACAAGATGTCTCTTGTCTTTCATGGCAGTCATTTGCCAGGTTCCCTGCGGCTATGGATTACAGAAGATCTTGGACCACAAGACCTGGCATCGCCGTAAGAGAGCATTCATCGGACTCGCTGTTGTGGGCACGTCGCTTATAGCTGCTTGGACCTGGGAGATCATACGCGTTCGCGACTATGACCGTCGCAACCCACCAACCCATCCTCTAGATTGGAGTGAGCCACGATTTGCTCCTATTTTCATCCTCTTCGTGATGACTTGGGTGTCGAGCGTACTGTTTCAGTACATTATCCTCTACTTCCTCAGCGCCATGACAAACTCACCTCGCAAGTCAGCCGTCTATGCGGTGAGTTCCTTCTCCTTTTCCGCCCTGAGAATGTCTCGACTAATGATGGCATTAAGGGGGTCTACAGAAGTTTTCTCGCCGCCGGTGAAGCCATCTGCTTCGGTCTCGACTCCATCGCTGTCCCCTATATCAAGGAGGCTGGTACTATCTTTGCGTTCTACGCTACTGGGGTGATCGTCTTCATTTACTTGGCCGCCTTTCACATTACCGAAACCGAATATTTTACCGGCGAGGAGGGTGTGGTCATCCCCAAGCATGTCGTCGAAGAAAATCCTGAGAAGGCAGCCGACGCTCAGGTCGAGATGACGATTGCAGGGCCACAGCAAGAAACATCCCACGAAGAGAAGCGCAAGGAGCTGGCGGTCTAGAAGTCAAGGCGGCTATCCGGAAGTTTGGGTGTTGCCACTATAGTCGGTACCTAAAGGCACATATGCCGGCCTGCTAGTCGATCCTCGACACATTTGACTTCGCCGAGTCGCCGTGTTGACGTTGGAGATTTGTTTTGAAAAGAAAGAAACGAAACGGCGGCTAAGTATTCGACGTCATAGTTTGTGTATATAAACATCCGTCGAAGATGTGGAGCCTACGTTGCTTGGGCAAGTACGAGCACAGAACTTCTGGTCGACCTGCTATCATGAATCTGACGTTCAGCACGAGTCCCGACTGAGCCGATATCTTGCCATCGTGGCGGAGTTTGCAAGCCTGACGCGGACATCGATGGCTAGAGACCTCCTGACTGACAACTATCTCGCGTCCACCTAGACATCTCATCTGACGGTATTTGAACGGGGATAAGCGACGAGAGAGGCTACTGGCAACGGAGCGACTCCGTTGCACGTTATCCGACTCTAGCCCTAATTGCGCACGCTGAAAACATTCCTAGTGTCTTTGGCCTAAGGCTCATAGGGCTTGATCGGTCCGTTTTCAGACCTGATGGCCACTTAACCAACATTCATTGCAGATTCGAACTGAGACGTGTTTAACTCAAAACAAGACGGACTACTCGGTATAATCGTCATCGGTCCAGGTATTTCTTTATTTGACGACCCCCACCAGCAAGTGGGTCAGTGGGTCTTTTTCTAGGATCGGTTAGGTTCATAAAATGTATACCCGGTAATGTACAAGGTACTTCCAGATCCACTTAACGTATTCATCTGTCACAACGGAACCAAGCGTGGTTTAAAGTGCTTGGATACAGCGCTCGAGTTTCTGCTGATTCTTCCTGAGCAGCATATGTACCTGCTTGAATGCGCAAAATGTCTAGGTAGAGTGCAAAGGTCACACAGGTTGAAGACATCGGAATCCTGATCAGCGAGCTCATACGATTCTCGCCCTTCCTTAGCTATTATATTTGTAAGCGTGGAAAACACGCATCGAGCATTGAAGCCCCACCACGAAGTAGAAAAACCCCTATCAACCAGTCTCGCAATGCTTCAAAGACAGAGAAAGACACATCGACCTTTGGTCCTCTGGACAATATCTTCGTCAATAGTTCATCATGGCTCGCGAACGGCTGTTCTCCCCACTGCAGCTTGGCAACGTCAAACTCAACCACCGGATCGCCATGGCACCACTGACGCGGTTTCGAGCAGACGAAGACGGCATTCCAATCGATATTGTAAGAGACTACTACACTCAACGCGCCTCAACCCCGGGCACTCTCATCATAACCGAAGCTACACTCATAAGCCCCCGGGCATCCGGTATGGCCAATGTGCCAGAGATCTGGAACTCCAGGCAGATTGCCGCCTGGAAAAAGATCACAGACGCCATCGCTGCAGGTTTTGATGGCGTCGAGATCCATGGTGCAAATGGCTATCTGCTCGACCAGTTCCTTCAGGACGTTTGCAACCGACGTACCGACAACTATGGCGGAAGTATTGAGAACCGTGCTCGATTCGGACTGGAAGTCACCCGAGCCATCATCACGGCGGTCAGTGACAGCAAGAAGGTCACGATTCGATTATCGCCATGGACTGATTTCGACGGCAAGAGAATGGGAGATCCGGTGCCTCAGTTTTGCTACATGGTTTCCGAGCTCAAGAAGCTTGGTCTCGCCTACTTGCATCTCGTCGAGAGCCGCTATGCAGGGGACGTGGCGACAGCCTCGTACCACGTGCTGACACGGCGAAATGATCCATTTATCAAGCTCTGGGGACCGCAGACGCCCATCATATTAGCCGGCGGGTTTACGGCCGAGACAGCAGAAAAGGCCACCGAGGAGATTTACGCAGACTCAAACCTGTGCTGCAAACTCCTCTTGATTTGCACTCTCCCCGGTTCCAAAGTCTCAGACAATTGGAGCTTTGGATGGCGCCATGCCTTTTGTCAGATTGCCACCACCTGTATGACCTCCGTAGTGCCCCCGAATCAACACCACACAACTCTCGAGCGGTGTACGTCGTTGGCAAAGCACAGAAGTCTGCCGGCCCTCAGATGGAGCCGAACTCCTTGAGAACCGTCGATGCCGTGGACGACCTTTTGGCTTCTCGCGACACGGCGAGGACGGCGGTCAGCGTCGTGTAAGCGCCTGCACTAGGCTAAGTGCGTGATATCACTTGGGCCATTTTTGATCGGCTTGGCATCTGAGCACTCCTGAATCCTGATATCGAAAGCAGCTAAGTCTTCGAATTGTACAGCTATCCATTCGTGGGCTGGAAGTCTCGTGGGATATAACCATTGCTTGCAGTCCGTCTTCGTGAGTGGTGACAAGGTGTCTAGTTTCTCGGGCGCTTTATTACGCATCATCATGAACTCCATGGTGAATTAGTAACCACTTGCGTGAGGGACGGTTTTCAGGGCAGCCTCTGTTTCCGGCCACTACATTTCAATAACGCTTTATCCGGGCGTTGAGACCGAGTGTCAGATATGGCCATCGAGCTTCCGACAAACGTGCAAGTTCCGTTTGGTAGCTTGCTAACCCTTTGTATGATACCCAGCGTTCGCTAAAGTTTGACCTGGACTATATGTTTTCGGTGACGCCTGTCGGACCTCTCCTCGCGGCTGAGGTGAAAGAATTCCCTTTTTTTCCCAGCCAATTCGGAGACCCCTGCAGCTTACTGTTGCGTGAATTTGGTTCTCGCCCACCAAAACTTACATTGCTCATCGTAACAAGCCTCGAGAGTCAGCTCGGCTGGCGTCCCAACATCTCCTCCTATCAGCTCCCTATTTCCTTTGCCCAGAATCATGGTGAGAGGGCGATCGGGAGTGTACGGCTCCCACGTGGGACGATGATTGTACCTCCCGCGCAACTTATTTGGATTGCCACCGTGGCAGATGAAGCTTGTCATATAGGCATGGAACATGCCCGCCACTTCCTTTTGACCATGAGACTGTGAAGTTGTGGCACGATCAAAGGTTTCGTATCCTAAGTTATCCGCGTGGGCAGCACCGCCATAGAGTGTGGTAAATACGTCCCAGTGGTAAAGGTACACCGGGGGCGCGCCTGCCATCGACGAGGCGAGATGTGCTGTTTGCCGGACTGGTGCAATAAGAGCGTACTGACCATATGCGGCCTCCGCGCGCATGTACTCTGGTCCAATGTCTTCACCCGTCCTCACGTCTTGGTATGTGGGATCCCCGGTCAACGGATCTGGGTATAAAGCATTCAACCGAGCGATATCTCCTCCAGGTAGCCCTGGAAGAAGAGTTTGCATGAGCTGAGTGAATTGTTCTGGGTGCGATAGCTTCCGATCCACGTATAAAGACCCTTCGTTTGTACAAAATCCGGTCATAAGGGGAATCTTGTAATACTGCCCGCGGTGCCAGCTCTCAAGTGGTGGCTGTCGAATGATGTCTCCATCTATAACTGGACGGAAAGCCCACTGCATCGTAGGCTTGTATTTGTTGAAGACAGCATCTTGAGCACCGGTGATGGTAGATAGAGGTAATTTGCGTAGGTAGGCAAAGGTGTCATGAGCCGTAAGGTCTTGTGGACACCCTACCTCAGCCAGAAAATCTGCAAAGTACTGTTCGATAATCTTTGAGTCGTAAGGGCGGCAATCCCTTGTGGTGGCTGAACCCGACTCAATTATAGCCCGGTGAAATGGGCCGGGATTTTCATCGCTATAATGAAGAATAAGATGCCCAATCTACTTTGGCATTAGAGGATGTCCACTTCGATTGGTCTCATCTTGTACTTACAGATATCGCTCCCGCGGAAAGTCCGATCAAAGTCACGTTATTCTTATCGCCACCAAAGGCGTGGATGTTTTCCTGCACCCATCGAAGGAGGAGTCTTTGATCTTGGAAGCCAAGATTAAGAATTCCTTCCTCCGCCGCCTTTTTAGAGGGCAGGAAGCCAAGCGCTCCGACCCTGTAATTGAACGAGACCGCTATGAAGGGCTCTTCGGACCAAGCGACCATGGACGCGGTGTTGTGCATAGACGAGTTTCCGCGATTGAAGGCACCCCCATGGATGTAGACCGCCACCGGTAGGAGGGGCCCCGTGCTTGACTCAAGCCTCGGCCTAAAAACGTTGACGGTCAAGCAATCCTCGCCGTAGACCAGAGGAATACGGGGTGGAATCAGGGGGTTTCCCGGGGCTGCTCTGCCATATTCCGACGCGTCGAAGATTGCCGACGAGGGCTCAACTGGGAGGGGTGGTCGAAATCGAAGGTCTCCGACTGGAGGCTGAGCATAAGCGCAGCCTAAAAAGCATTCTACCGGCTGAGGGAAGCCATCCGTTTGCACGATTCCCTTCAGCCTGCCTTGTGGTAGAGTCACTAATGGTCGCTGGAGGTCTTCTGAAATCGAATGCGTTGTCTCGTTTTCTGAGTTTATTGAAGCCCCGACGTTACCCATTGCTGCATCAATCTAGGGATCATCCAGTTGGTTGGAATTGAGAAGGAAGAGAAGTTCTTTCTGTGACAGAAACGGCTTCAAATACCCTTCTAATACCCTACTCGGCGAGATCGGGGTACCGGAGTGCCAAGAGGTCTCCAATATTACCCAATCGGGTTAGTTCAACTCCCATCCATACCCGGAGCAAGAGCAAGAAGCAGCAATTCATGTCGACAATTTGGCCGACGTCTACCCAAGACAGAGGAATGGCACATCGCATGAGCTGATCATTATGTCTGCTCGCCGGGTAAGGAAAGCACCATCGCCACGCTTGACCTGGGTGATTATGCAAGCACGGCAGGAGGCTCCACGACACTAGCCCTCCACCAATTTTGAAGGCAACCCGTGCTTAGTTGGCTTTGTTTCCTACCGTTTGCTATTCTACCCCTACTATCTCCTGCCACCTACCGTGGTCTCCGCGATGACTCCGCATGATAAGCAGGTGCTGATACAATATGCGGGGATAAATGGCTCGAGAGGTTTGACAACGGAGTTGAGCCGCACATAACGAATAGCGCTAGGTTAACCCCTTCCTTTCCAGAGTCAATGGTTGGTGAGGACCGAGGTTGCACGGCCCACAATCTGCACGATACCATGGAGTGGGCGACAAAGTCGTGGAAGAGGTTCGATCCGGCATCGATACCAAGGTAATTTCCTTTCGCCAGACGTCCTGTATGACATTTCTCCAGTCGCCAAGCTGCTTTCCTCCGGCCTCAGGACCCTCGGCAACGGAGAGAGACGAGTCTGTGCACAGGTCCGGGGAACTCTCGATCGTTTGACCATATATCCCTACGACTCAGCTATAAAAGACCATTCGGGTAAAGACATGTCCAAGCCAAAATTCCCGAGCATTTCCTCTCCGCAAACCCAACACCTGTGCTCAATCCGACACCTCATGCAAGTTGGCATATTGCCAGCAGCAATGCCCTGGACGTCAGATGACCTGAAAGTTGGCGTGCCTGCCGAAGGGCTCTTCATCGAAGAACAGCCTGTCAAGGTCGCCAAAGAGGCCGATGCTGCTCTTTCTTTCACTTTGGGAGAGACCGTCACTTACGATGAGGTTGAAAACAAACGCATCCGGCGCACCATCGATCGTCATATCATCCCTTGGATGTTCTTGACTTTCATGGTGCAGTATTTTGACAAGACACTCCTGAGCTATTCTTCAGTCATGGGCATCATCGAAGACACCAAGCTAACATCCTCAGAGTATGCCTGGTAAGATCCCTCTTACCTATGCTAGACCAGGGTTAAGTTGTGCTGACCGGACCTCGCAGGTGCGGATCCATCTTCTACTTTGGATACCTGGCATTCGTCTATCCCCACAACCGATTGATGCAACGCTTTCCCCTCGCCAGGTATCTATCCGTCATAATCGTAGTGTGGGGTGTGGTGCTTTGCCTTCACGCAGATTGCACCAATTTTGCCAGTTTGATGGTGGTCCGATTCATCCTCGGCGCTCTTGAAGGAGCCGTCACGGCCGGTTTCGTGCTCGTCACGGCACGATGGTATCAACGTGACGAACAAGCAACACGAACCGCATTTTGGTACATTGGAAATGCGGCAGCGCAGATTGGAGGTGCTGCCCTCGCATATGGTGTTGCGGCAGGATTTCTCGGCAACCCCAGCATCACATTTCCCGGCTGGAAAGCCTTGTTCATTCTTTCGGGTGGTCTCACCTGCATCTTCGGCGGCTTCATGTTCTGTTCCTTCGCCGAATCTCCTCTTACCGCCAAATGGCTCAATGACCATGACCGACACATTGCCATTGAACGTCTTCGGGTCAATCAACAAGGTATCGGCAGCAAGGTCTTCAAATGGCCACAATTTCGCGAAGCGTTCACAGATCCACGCGTAAGCTATTGACCAGATACTGGACGTCATCTTTAAGCCTGCTGCTGACAGTATGCTCTAGACTTGGCTCTGCTGTATTTTTTGTGTCCTGTGGCTGATCCCATCCGGAGGCCTGACCGTCTTCTTTGCGTTGCTCATCCAAGGTTGGGGATTCGACTCCAAAACCACACTCCTCATCAGCATGCCTAGCGGTGTGACTCAAATTGTAACGAATCTTTTCTTTTCATACCTCGCCGGCAAGCTTCGAAATCGCATGTTGACGGCAAGTTTGGCCATCATGCTCAGTATACTCTCTATCGCTATCATGACCGGTCTGTCCAGCCACGGCCCCACAGCTCATCGCATCGGCCAATTGGTTGCTTATTATATCATCCTGGGAAATTCTCCGTCCCCTCTGATTCTGATACTCAGCATTGTCAGCACCAACGTGGCAGGATACACAAAGAAGACGACAGTCAACGCATTGATCTTGATCGCCTACTGCGTCGGTTTCCTGATCGGACCTCAGACGTTCCGCGACCCTCCATACTATATGAAGGCGAAGTATACCATTCTTGGTGTCTATTCGGCCTCTTTGCTGTGTATCTTGGGGCTTTGGTGGATCAACTGGCGAGCGAACCAAAGGCGAGACCTGGATGCCGCCGAACTTCCACCTCAACCCAACGGCCAGGAATTCTTGGATTTGACGGATAAGGAGAATAAATATTTCCGGTATGCGATTTAACGCTTGAGGACGATAGGATCCGATCACGCAAAAGACGGGTTTCCAATTCCGTCACCCTGATTCTGGGTAAAAAAGCATTCCAATCTCAATAATTCAGGGGTTGCTTGGGGTACGTTGCAGAGCAGGTACAAGGGTCACGTGTCCAAACGAGCTGTGTTCGAGTATGGGGTACTGTATTATGTGGTATGATATGCTCCTCATTCGTTTCGGCTCCCCCGTTCCGGCCTGCGTCTCCGGCCATCTCCATTTGATGTCAGTACACAGGAGTTTTCGAGGATTGAGATTGGGGGAGGAGGGAATGTCCGATTTTAGCCGGTAGCATGTGGTAATACACTACAGGTACAAGTAGGTCGGCATTTAGGCAGCAGCGGGAGGGCTCGCCGATCGTTAGGGGGCCAGATTAGGCTGGTGAGGCCCCGGCGCGCTTGCTCCGGGAGTGCTCAAGGAAAGCCTCAGGGACTGCTTAGAGAACGTCCATGACGGGAGAGCAAAGGGCGGCATCACCCTTGTCCCAATCCGGGCTGAGGTGCGAGCAGTTTTTGCCTACCTCCTGAAGTAGTACTTGTACTGTAGGTATTCATCTTGGCGGCGGGGAACACAGCTTGCTTAGCCTTAGTGCACGCACGGCTCATGTGTTGCGACAATTCCCCGCCGGTGGGAAATACTTGTACAAGGCCCGAGTACATACTAGGATTGTTCGTGGCCCAGCAGCCCTTTGGGCGAAAGCAAACAAAGACAAGTCAGTCAGTCATGCTTTTCCATCTTGCATGCTACAACCTCGCAGAATGTCGGTGAAGTTGGGGCCTAATGAGCCCCGGTCCTGGTTCCTGGCTCCTGACTCTTTGCCGTATTCCTCCTGCTATAAGCCCTTTACCGTCCTATACGTACCGTCCCTTCCCGATCCTCCTCATCCCATCACTGACCGCACTGACATCACGGCGACACGGCAAGCGCGGCGACAAAATAAACCTTCTCACGCTGTTTCTCGTAACCGTTTGGTCCTTGGGTACTTGGAGCTCCGCCGCAGCCCGTCATCACCCAGTTCTTATTACCTACTGCTTTGCTCTATTTTGGCTCTCGGCTTGGATGCGATTTCCACCATGGCCTTACCTGGTCTGTCGCTTTTACACTGACGATCGTTTCTTACCATTTTCCTCTCCATGCCACTTTTGGCGCTAGCAAAGCTGCCCACCATATTTCTGCGAACTAGGATCCGGGCTGGACTCATACGGCCCTGACGCCATACTCTCGTTTTCCCTTCGAGGAAAACTAAAAAAAAAAAAAAAATTATAGAAAAATTAACCCAGATTTTTGTCAAACCATGGCTCCATCGGTCAAACAGCGAAAGATTGCCATTCTGGGCAGTAGATCTGTCGGTCAGTCCCCCCCTCCGTCTGAGTCGTTGTTGTACTGGGGGACAAGATCCAGGCCAAGGCGAAAATAGTAGGGCCACAAACTGACACCTCTCCTCCTCGGAGCGCAGGCAAATCCTCGTTGACCGTCCAGTATTGCGAAGGACACTTTGTGGAAAGCTACTATCCCACGATCGAGAACACGTTCAGCCATGAGATTGTCTACAAAGGCCAGACATTTCTCACCGAAATCATCGATACTGCCGGACAGGTACGAGGCATCATTCTGCAAAGAGGACATGCGGACCTTTGGGGAGGAGGCTGACGTTTGGTTGGGGTACAGGACGAATACAGTCTTATGAATTCGAAGCTGTATATCGGTATCCATGGCTACCTTATTGTCTACTCGGTGGCCTCGAGGCAATCCTTCGACATGGTGAGGATAATTCGGGATAAGCTTTTGAACCATCTTGTACGCCACCATCAACGAAGCATCTTCACCCTCCCTCCCGAGCCACGCTAACGTCTGCTTTCAGGGCGCCGAGTCGGTTCCCATCATGATCGTCGGCAACAAGAGCGACGTCGACGCCAAAAAACAACGCAAAGTTGCGACCGAAGAAGGGCAAAAGCTGGGCCAGGAACTCCATTGCGGTTGGATCGAAACCAGCGCACGGAATAACACCAATGTGGCAAAGGCATTTGAGATGATGATTGCCGAAATCGAGAAGTCGCAGGAACCCGACAAGCCTGCTGGCGGCGGCAAGTGTGCAGTGATGTGAAGAGCAGCCGTTGCACGACTTGTGAGGGTCGTCGAGTGGACCGCAAAGGCCGCCGCGCCGCCTCGGGCTGTTTGATGTCGGGGAGTTCTCTTCTGTCGCTTCGGTTCTGGTTGTCTCAATATGTCAGGTTGGCTGTTCTTGTGCCTGGGATGCTTTTGGCCTCAGTTGGGGCATTGGGAAATATCAGGATAGACGTCGAGGCGTTTTGCTTTACCATTAGGCGTTCGGTTTCTGATCGGTGTCCCGTCACCCTCGGATCCAGAGGGACGAAGGGAGGCGAGCGCATCTTGTCAGAAACGAGAAATGGTTCCGTCGCTGGTAGAGTGAAGGAGAATGTTTGCCGGGTCGGTTTTGCTAAATCGTGCGATAGACGAAGAGATGGAATGGGTTATGGTTTTGGTACTACAGCCAGGATAATGCTTGATGTTCTTTATCATCCGACTCCCTTGTTCAGCTGATGAGTCTCCATTGTTGCTGCTGGGCATCTACAATTTAATATTATTGAACTGGCACATGTTAGTTCCGTCTTCGGCGTGCCTCGCGAGGCTCCGCAAGTTTCGCGGGGTTCTTTGAAGGGGGGCACAAACTATTTTACTAGGGGGGGTCGACCACCTGTCTAGAGTACCACACGTGCTGCTGGCAAGGACAGTCGTACTCCTACCCAGCACCTTCGGTTCTAGTCCTTTTCTTTGCTTCTAAATTCCGCGCATTTCCTATCACTATGATTGAAGTACAAGACCTTATTGTCTCTAGGTAAGGCACTTCCCACAACCTCAGGGCGCAGCTTGGCTCACCGATCTGTAGAGGGGGGGATCCCCAAAAAGTTATCGACAGCCTGCAAAAGCGGTACGCCCCCACCGAAATTGTCGACGAGGTCATTGCGCTCTGGAATGATGCATATCAGAGTTTGTTTCCCTACATCTTGGAGGAGCCGCCCTAATTCGAGGCTCCAGCGCGGTACAAGGCCAGCCAATTCGGCGCAAAGATCAACGCCGTCCAAAAAGAGATCGGGCAGCTGAAGAAAGTCGGTGGACCACCTTTGTGGATACTTTACGAGGACCCCAGACTGATGGGTTGAGGTGTACAGGCAAAACAAGATGCGGACCACCTACTGCAAGAAAAGGCGAATCTAGAGAAAGAGAAGAAGAAGATCGAAGAGGAGGCCACCGAGAAGGAGAAGTTGAGAGACCGCAAGTGCAAGTTGATTGGCAACTACGTGCACGAGTCGGTGCCGGTCAATGACAACGAGGTCAGTTGCGGCCAATCCACATGCTACGGGCAAGAAGACGGACACTCACTGACAGGGCCGTGTAAGGACTTCAATGAGGTGGTTAAGAAATGGGCCCCTGAAGGCTTCACGGAAGAAAAGCGTGACTGTCTCTCCCACCACGAAGTCATGACCCGCGCAGAAGTCTACGACGGCGAACGAGGCGTTAAACTCGTCGGCCATCGAGGGTACTTCCTTCGAAAATGGGGTGTCCTGCTTAACCAAGCCCTCATCAACTACGGCTTACATTTCCTCGTCTCCAAGGGATATGATCCGCTCCAACCGCCATATTTCATGAAGGCAGAGTACATGGCCAAGACCGCGCAGTTGGAACAATTCGACGAAGAGCTGTACAAGGTCATTGAAGACAAGGACGCAGAAGACAAGTTTCTTATCGCGACATCCGAACAGCCCATCTCGGCAATGTTTGCGGAAGAGTGGTTGACGGAGAAGGACCTCCCGAAGAAGTTTGCAGGCTACTCTTCGTGTTTTCGCAAGGAGGCCGGTGCCCATGGGAGAGATGCATGGGGGTTGTTTCGCATTCACCAATTTGAGAAGGCAAGTACTTTGAATATCCCTAGAGAAATCCGCTCAAGTGTGCTAATTGGCGCCGTCCAGATCGAACAATTCCTCTTTGTCAAACCCGAAGAATCCTGGCAAGCCCTGGAAGACATGAAGTCCATTGCCGAAGAGTTCTATCGGTCCTTGAAGCTCCCTTACCGTGTTGTGGCGATTGTCTCGGGCGCACTCAATAATGCGGCGGCCAAGAAGTACGACCTGGAAGCTTGGTTCCCCTACCAAAACGAGTACAAGGAACTTGTGTCCTGCTCGAATTGCACGGATTACCAGACGCGGGAGCTCGAGATTCGGTACGGACAAAAAAAAGGCGCCATCGACGCGAGAAAGACATATGTTCATGCCCTGAACGGGACATTGTGCGCCACGGAGAGGACCTTGTGTTGTGTGGTGGAGAATTACCAGAAAGAAGATGGCATTGAAGTCCCCGAGGTGCTAAGGCGGTACATGCCTCCTGGGACGCCGGATATCATTCCATACACAAAGGACTTGCCAAAAGATACGGTCTCGACAAAGGGGAAGCAGCCACCGAAGCCAAAGACCGGAGGAGGTGCTCCTGAGGGTGGCCCCAAGCGGGATATGCCGGCGGCGGAGAATGTCGCGGATAAGATGAAGGACATGAAGGTGTAGGAGAGTGCAAAGACGAGCGATACGTATGATCTGATTTGACGAGTGACGCGCGCATAACCCCTGCGGATGGGATCAATGGGCTGAAGGGGAAAGAAAGCTCCCACCAAGAGTGAGAGAGAATAGAGGTTTCATGGGGCGTCCACAGAGGACTGTCTAGGGTCGAGCCAGAGACAATAGAGCAAGCACACAAATGCCTCATCATGGTCATGCAGCAGCTAAAATTGACCGAAACATTCTATGCATTGATCTTGCATCTGGAAAATCAAGTATCACCCACTTCGAAGCCCTTGAATGGACTTGAGATGCTGTTCAGGGTTGCGCCAATAAAGGCGGCAATCTAGAAATGCCGAAGGCTGAAAAGTGCTCCACCGTAGTTATTTTTACGCCAAAAGCCAAAATGTTCCGCAATATTGAGCGCCAAGAAAATATTTCCGCCCACATACCGCAATCGACTGCGATATCAAAACTTCTCGCCCTGCCCACCCATTGTCTCTATCTAATTCCACCCACCATCAGCAACCTCCTCCGTTGCCTCCGATCGGACCCAGACAGCTTCATTCTGCGACACGAGACCAGTCGCAACCATGGCTGTTGGAAAGTAAGTCCAGCCCGCCGCCCGCAAATCATCGTTTCCCACCGCGGGACGGGGGGAAGCGACAACTTTCCTGAACAGCAGAAACTGACAACTTTTTTCTTGTTCCCCAGAAACAAGCGATTGAGTAAAGGAAAGAAGGGGTTGAAGAAGAGAACGCAGGATCCCTTCACCCGGAAAGATTGGTATTCGATCAAGGCTCCGTCCACATTCAACCAGCGAGAGTACGTCCAACCCCCCAGCAGCATCCGCCGTAAAGAGAGACAGAGAATAAAAGAGAAAAAATAAATAAATAAATCAAAACTACACAATGGAAAGCCCGGAGGAGACATCTATTGACATTTTTGTTCTCATAGTGTCGGCAAAACCCTGGTGAACCGCACCACGGGTCTGAAATCGGCCAATGACGCCCTGAAAGGCCGCATCTTCGAAGTCTCCCTCGCCGACCTCCAAAACGACGAAGACCATGCCTTCCGCAAGGTCAAACTCCGGGTCGACGAGATCCAGGGGAAGAACTGCCTGACCAATTTCCACGGACTGGACTTCACCTCGGACAAGTTGAGGAGTTTGGTGAGGAAGTGGCAGACGCTGATCGAGGCCAACATCACTGTCAAGACCACGGATGACTACCTTTTGAGGCTGTTTGCGATTGCTTTCACCAAACGCCGCCCCAACCAGATCAAGAAGACCACCTACGCGGCCACCTCGCAGATCCGGGCCATTCGCAAGAAGATGACGGAAATCATCCAGCGCGAGGCCACCAGCGTCACCCTCGCTCAATTGACGGGCAAGCTCATCCCCGAGGTCATCGGGCGCGAGATCGAAAAGTCCACGCAGGGCATCTACCCGCTGCAAAACGTGCACATCCGCAAGGTCAAGCTGTTGAAGGCCCCCAAGTTCGACCTCGGCGCACTGCTGGGCCTGCACGGCGAGAGTGGCCAGGACGACGAGGGCAGGAAGGTCGAGAGGGAGTTCAAGGAGCCCGCGCCTCTGGAGAGCGTCTAAGCTGGGGGAGTGCAAAGGGGTTTCGTTGGCGTGTTACGATGAACGGCGTGGGGGAAAATGCTTCTAAAAGTCGTCGTCATTGTCGGGAGGGAGAGGAAGAGAGGCCCAGGAAAAAAAGAAAACGAGCAGATGATGATGACCTTGGAGGTCCCTAGGAGAAAAGAAGACAAGCCCCAAAAAACACGAAAAGCATAACCAAGAAATCCTTTACGGAGCCTAAGGTGGGTGGAGGGGGGTTTTTGATGACCGAGAAAGCGTGCAAGACAGAGAGGGGCGTGCGTTCAACTGGAGAGGCTCTCTCTCTCTCTCTCTCGCCCCTCGCTCTGAATGTGTGCCCCAGAGAAGGCAGCATGAGAGAGCAGTGGTAGCTAGTTACTTGCTTGCCTCTTCAAAGGAAGACAACCAGAGAGGTCTTGTGCAGACATACCGATGCAGGTGCTGGAATGGGATTCGTGCGACGTATGTAGACCACTGGGCATAAAACAGGCAGGCATTAGGCATTAGGCACGAGGTAAACGGCGCCGAATGGCACAAGCAGAAGCAAAGGCAAAGTAGTCCATGTCCTCTGTAGCGCCTTTCTTACCTTACCTTAGCTTGCGCCATCTCTTTCCGTTGAGGTCCTCTACAGCGACCCAGGAGTATCCAACTCATCGTGATCGTTGGAACAGCTGGCCTTATTCCATTCACCCCTTTCTATGTATCACGTCCCCTTTTCTCTCCTTCTCCCTTCGAAAACGCATCTCTCTGCCCTAGGTTATTACGTCTCGTCGACGACCCTGTCAACCCACTCCACAAGCGACCTCCTAAAGTCCTCGAACTTCTCGCTCATCACCCAGTGCCCGCAGTCGAAGTCCAAAAGTTCAAACTTGGGGAAGAACCTGCCTATCACCGGCAACGTCTCGTCCGCCACGTAATGGCTCTTTGTGCCTCTGGCAACAAGCGTGGGGCCTTTGTATTTGTGGGTGTCGGGATCTTTGAACGGGAAATCGGCCATGTCGGGCAGGGATTTTGCAAGGGTGTGCAGGGGGATCTGGAATCGCAGCTCGGTCTCGTGCTTTCCTCTTCGTCCTCCATGGTGCTGCACGGGCGACGACGTGCCGTGCGATTTCTGTTCATACGATCCTCCGGGTGGGGTGTGGACGGGCACCTTGACCAGATTCGTCAGAAGGAACTGTCGAATGGTCAGGTCCGGCTCGTATTTCATGAGGATCTTGTCCGCCTCGCTCTGTCTCTTGGGGCGGGGTCTCATTTCGTCAATCTCCTTCATCGCGTCGAGGTATTTGCTGAAATCACCCTTCAAAGCTGCGTCGACCGGGGCGTTGTCCACCGGCACCAGCGCGGAGTATTTCTCTGGTTGGCGGAGCGCGAGTGTCATTGCGACTTTGGCGCCCATTGAATGGCCGATCAGCGTGGGAGAGGTGATTTTGTGAGTGTCGAGGAAATGTTCCACGTCTCGTGACATGGCCGTGTACGTGTGCACAGGCGAGTGAGGGGAGTCGCCATGATTGCGGAGGTCGATCGTGTAGACGGGACGGGAGAGATCTTTCGCTAGGGTTCTGTATAGTTGAAAAGACGTAACTCGTTAGCAGCCATATGCTTTGGCTAAAAGGGGCAGACCGAGGTGCTTCCTTACTTACTCAGAGTCCGATTATTGCGCTGCGACCCGAACAGCCCGTGCATGATGATTAGAGGACCGGGACCCTTGATACTCGTCTTCTCTGGCGGGCTATGGCGGTGGAACGCCAGCTCCACGATGTCGTCGTGCTCGTGCTTTTCATGGCGGAGACGATTGTGGCAAGAACTTGAGAGATGCCGGCGACTGGGCAGAGTGGTTTGTCTTGAAAGAGCGTTGGGAACCGGTATTCGGCGCATTTGCAGAGTCGCCGTGAAGCAGAAACGGAGTAGCTGGGCGTAGAGAGAGTGTCGCGAACAGAGAGATGAGATGGAATGGTCTTAGTCTTTTAGTAGAAAGGACCTCATGCTTGGGGGAAACGTTGGGGAGCTGGAGGAAAGTTGAGAATTAGCTGCTGTTGGTACATTTTCAGTGCTCAAGTACAAAAATTGGCTGCGGGATGACGTCGGCCGCTCAGCCTTGCGTTCCCAGCCTTGTCGCCCACTTCTATAGCCCACCCATTTTTTAACGGAAGCCTTTTTCCAACGAGAACGACAACCCTCATGTCTGTAATCGCAGATGCGTTTAGTCCGGATGGCCTTTCGCTCCATCTATACTGCAGTCCTCGAGGCAGGCACATGGACAGCCGTCATATCTTGCCGCGCCCGGTAGATCGGAGTGTCTCGTCTTCGTCCAGCGGCCCTCGGTCTTCATCTTCTTTACCGGCCAGCTCCTCGTCAAAATCCACATCCTCTACATCGGAATCGAACGGGTTGGACTCGATATTCAAGTCGTTCCCCAGGTCCTTGCGCGTGGCTTGTCTCCGTCTCTCCCTGATTCTGGTCGCTTCTTCTTCAGAAAGTGTGACCCCAAACAATCCCAAGGCTTGCTGGACTTCACCAAGTGTCATGCGGGCTTTCCGTCGCGCCTTTGCGCCGCCCCACTCGATTTCTTCGCGCAGCCGGTCATTGCCGGAATCCATAATGGCGAGGAAATTTTCGCGGACGCCACTCAACGCAGAGATGATCTCGTCTGCGATCATCTCCTTGAATGCACGCATGCTGACATTTGCGTTGTCCTTGGCAATGTAGTCGCTTGACTCTCGAGACTCCGTCACGTGTTTCAGTATCTCTACCAGGTTGGATACTCCTGGCCGCCGTTCCGGGTTGAAAGAAATACCAGGTTCTGAGTCTGTCACGGCACCCCGGAGCTTGGCGTGGATCTCCTCGGGGCTGTCCGTGATTAAAATTCGAGATTTTGGATCCGGGTCAGACTTGGACATCTTCTGCTCCGGACGCTTTAGGGACATGATCCTTTTCGCGGGGGCTGCGTCGTGTCAGCACCTCAAGACAGAGACTTGACCAAGGGACCTTACATATTACCGGCCAAGGTATTCGGAATACATTCCCACCCGAGGACTCCTTGACCAGGGCATTGAAACCCCTGGCCAATGTCCGGGTGAACTCAATGTGTTGGAGTTGATCTTGCCCGACGGGGACAATGGATGGCCTACTCGAGTTTAACCGGCAGCGACAAAATGTGGGGCAAGAGTCCGACTGACTGATACAGTAGTATATCCGCCGCTTGAAGAACGGGATATGAAAATAATCCGAGCTTGAGCTTCGCTGTCGCCTCATCGCTTTCGAGGCTGGCATTTTCCGGCAAGTTCAACTTGCTCTGATGGGGTCGCCGTTTCAGTATCACTCTGTAGGACCACCCATATAGAGCTGCTGCGTACCTTCCACTGAGTCATTCTGGACAGATATCCTGTTGAGGCAATGGTGCTCAAAATCCACATCAAAGACGTATGCTGTGGGACCTGTAATTCGATAAGCTGATGTTGAAAATTTCATGGCAAGCACGGTGCCTACATCAGACTGGAAGAAGAGCGTGGTATTCCTGTTGTTGTGCAATCCAAGAGCAAGAAGAGCCGCATACGACTCTTTCCTGAGACGTAAGCGCTCTGTGGCTAGAGTGTCTGATGTCAGGGCATGCAAGTCGACCACTGAAAAGTACTGTTCATAACGATAATTGATGGCGAATTTTGGGTCGGTGGACTGGTCGTGAAGCCGTTTCCACTGCCGCAAAGCCCCCAGATAGTTTCCGAGGTGAGGGACTCCTGTTGGCTGAATCCCTGAAAAGGCTCGTCGTATGGTGGAAGATGGCGACATGCGCGCCCAATGTTGCTCTATTTCATCTCTCCCGCGGTCTCGCTCTATCCCTCTGGAGGAGGAGTCGCGCCCTTTCTTGACGATCCGAGGCTGCTTTTCCTCGCCGAGGTGCGGCCTTTTGACGGTAGCAAGCTCTGTCTCATTGGTGATGTTGCGACATTGGATCTTCCCGGGCAAATGCGGCCTCACTGATAGACGCACGAGGCCTCGGGGCATTTCCCAGAACAAAGGAGTGTACGCGTACCAAGAGGACGCCAATCGAAAATGGTTTTTACAAGGAAGTTGGAAAAGAAAAGTTGTTGGAAGCAGGTCAGACGACAGATGAATCAATACCCAGTAAAATGTCGTGCTCGAAACGGGAGGCTTGAGGCGCCGCTTTTTGGAATCCACTAGATCCGCATTTATGGACCATGCCAAGAACAGACTCCCGTTCTCCCCACAGATCCAGCCTTGTCCAGCCTTGTCCTGTGTCCAATGGTATTAGGTATTGCTGATGGCCGTAGCAGGGACGGCTGTCAAATTCGTGAAGTAGAGGGCACGAAAAAAGGGCATGTTTCAAAAATTCGGAATTCCTACCACAGTCGCAGATACGGATAGACTGACCTTTCTCAGCCTTGTGTCTGCATGTGGTAGGAAGAGTTTGTTGTTGCTCGATCAATCTTCTGAGTCCATAAATCCGAGATCCGCCGAGGACTTACACGGCCGCTCCTTTGTGAAGCCTGACTAGTAGGGAATAGGTTTACTCCATGGGAATACATGAGACCCTTTGCTGCTTGAGCAGGATGGGAGGCTACGAGTTCCATCTATCGATCATGAGGGAGTTCGAGGGAAGGAACGAGAATGAAGATTGAGGGGACCAAGACTTGCATTCACTCCTGGGTATAGCACTAGCGAGGACTACAGTCTCTCAAATTACCCTAAAGCGTTCCCTCTAGCTTTTTATTCTCTGTGCCAACCAACACGGCACGTGAATGGTAATTCCTTTCTCCCCCCAAGCCCTTCGGAGCATTCCTTCATTACTCTACGCCTTGGACCATCGTGCCTTGATCAGATCAGCTGCTTTCTCGCCAATGCCGTACCTATCGCGTGTCAGTATCAGGCTGTTGCATCTTGGGCAGGACGTTCATACGCTGGCATTTGAGTGTGGCCACCATTCAAAGTAGGCATCACGCTGGTATCAGCAACGCTGAGGCCTTTCACTCCGCGGACTTGAAGCTTCTCATCAAGAACGGCCATCTTGTCGTCGTCCCGACCCATCTTGCAAGTCCCTGCAGGATGATAGCATGTGGTACCCTCCTTTTTGACATAAGGCACCCATTCTTGCCGTTTGGTGTAAGCGTGATGTGTCAGATCTAGGTAATGGTCAGAGTTGTGTTTTGGGTCGCGACGGGCTGAGTACGCACCTGATGGCCACGATCCTTTCACAACCTCTTCTTTGGCAACCTTGTTCAGGTTCATGACAATCTCGTTGCCGAGCCTGACGCCCTCGGAGACAACCAGCATGTCGAGCGGGTCGGCAAGGTAATTGCAGTCAACCACAGGGTTCTCGAGAGGGTCCTTGGACTTCAAAGTAACTGTGCCCCTTGACCGAGGTGAAAATAGCTCGGTTATCATGGCAAAGGCGTGCTTCTTGTCTGGAGGTATCCGGTCAGCTCTTGAATGCTGCAGCAAAGTCTCCTACGCTCACCAATGGGAAATTGATCATATTGTTTAGGACCACCGTACAACTTTAGCATGTCAGCAGGGTAGTTCCGATCGCGTCATTGTTGGATCGCTCACCTCGGTGGTGAAAAATTCAACGTTGGGCTGCTTGGGAGTCAGGCCCATCGGGTCACGGCCGGGCTCCCTCTTTGCCTCCTTCCACAGTGGCTCATCTTTCAAGCGATTATCTAGCCTCGCGAAGGCAAAGGCGCCAAACGGGAAGGTGGAGAGGATTCCTTCCTTCTTTTCCTTGTATAGCATATATGCAGCCGTGGCAGCGTCCCCATGGTACCTAGAGAATTAGCCAGTGAAGGTTCAGTAAAGAAGAACGAGCCGTACACAAGATGATCGTTGGTCAACCCTTCCTTGGTGACCTCGTAAAAGGCAAACACAATCTGTGCTGGGTCAGCCGCCAGGAGGTAGCAATAAAAACGGAGGCTACCCACAAGATGATCCATCAAACCCTTTCCAACTCCGGGGGAATCAACAAGACACTTGATGCCCAACTGTTCTAACTCGGCCTTGGGACCGATGCCAGATCGAAGGAGAATTGCTGGAGAACAATATGCGCCTTGGGTCATCAGCGACGCTCGTCAAGACACTGGGCCGTTGAGGAAATTACCTCCAGAGACAATAATTTCCTTTCCGGCCTTGACTTCTCTTTTTGTGCCGTTCTTGTCGACAAGCACCACGCTAGTGGCATGCAATTCACCATTCCTCTCCTCGAAGTTGATCTTGTCCACAATGGTTTCAACGACGAGGTCGATATTGGCTTTATGCTGGTCGTTGGTCACGAAGTCCGCGCCGGTAGATCTGATGCCTTTGTGGACTTGAAAGATCGCGTCAGCACCGGAAATAACGCCATACTGGTGGAAACCTACCAGTTCGGGGTGCATGGCCGCAGCCGTGAGAGGTCTCGCCGTTGCTGAACATGTCATGCACCAATGGCAAACCCATGTCTTGCATGCTTTCGAGTAGCAGGTTCGAGATAGGTGCAACATCATGCGGCTCTGTATGGAGCGGGCCACTGTAACCGTGGGCTTTCTCGTCCGCTTGAAACCACGGCTTAGGATGGAATGTCTCGGCCTTCTGGTCGTCAGCTGCATGTCATTCCGCTCGGTTGGGATGACGAACCTTGCGCATGTACCCGAAGAATTCTTCTCCTGACCATCCCGGAAGACTGCATCACTGAGTGGAAGTTCGGAACGACAGCATGGGGACTCTTACTTCCAGTCGTCGTAGTCTTGCTTGCTGCCCCTGACACACACGGTGCCATTGACACCACTGGACCCTCCCAAGAACTTGCCTCGGCTGAGCTTGACTTGCCTGTCGTCGATACCTTTCATGGGCGGAGTGATCAGGTTCCAGTCGAGTTCTCCATCGAAATTCTTCGACCAGCCACCGGTCATGTGGACGTTCTCGAGATCTTTGTTATGAGGCCCAGCCTCGACAACGAGAATGCGAGCATTGGGGTCTTCGGCAAGTCTGCCCGCTACCACACATCCTGATGTGCCTCCGCCACTTTGGTATTACCGTTAGTTATGGCGACGACTCAATACGGGGGTGTACTCACCACACAATGAAGTCGTACTCGTTTGCTTCAACTATCCGTCCTGGAGACATGGTGAATGGTATGCACAAGAACTTGGACTCAACTAGGGATAAGAAATCAGCGGGCTCGATCTGAAAGGTAGCGCTTGGTGCTCTTTGCCAACGGCAGGGCCTGGTCTATATCCGCAACTGCCAATAGCACAAGATTACACCGTGGAATAATTCCACGCCGTCTTCAGTGTCAAGGGCCAAGGTGTGGACTTACTAGCTCGACGCACCCGACTCAACCCCCATACTCTATGCCTCACCAGCCTCAACTTGGAACTTAAGTGTCAGGGATCCATTGGGCCGGTCAAGGTGACTCACCCCGCAAAAGAAGGACGTGTCCGTCTGAGCGCCAGGCATCTCCACCACTTAGGGCGACGCGGAACAAATTCCCCTCTGCCCAACAGCTCATTGGTTTCAATGATGCCCTGAACGACCTTGTTGTATGTATGCCCTGCAATGAGGCGTTGTGTCCAGTCGGCAGCTGCTGGCTGGAGTCATAGCTGGTCCTAGGGCTGAGTAGTCAGCCTTGTGCATCGCCATAACCCGGTCAGGCACCTTACCTAAGTGTCAGCCCCCCCTTTCTCGACACCTGATTGTGTTATCAATGAGGGTAATATACGCCAGGAGTATCCATTCACCGTAGTGCTTGCTGCTTTCGAATACCAAGGACACCCCTTGAAGACCTGACCGGCGCCTCTCCGGCCCACTGCGGCAACCGGTCACGTTACATCAGCTCTGGCCGATACTACTATCAATTTTCAATGGCGCGCCGTCCCATTTTCCCTTTTTTTTTTCTCCCGCCTCGACCACATGCTGACTACATCTGCACACAGGACTCCTTGGACAACATACACAGTACGAGCTTGGCCCCATTCCGATCCCAAAGTATATGTCCCTTTCCAGCGACCGGCGGGAACGGGGTCTTATGCGCACCATACCCGCGACGAACGGACCCTGCAATAACATGCGACCTCATCATGAACCCTGATGAAGATCGTCTTCTGCCTGGTGTCGGCAACCGGTTCACATATTTCCTCAGCACGGGGATAATTTCTTGACTACGAGAGCCGAAACGGTCTTCTTGATACCTCCGTGGCCGAAAGCTGGATGAAGGTTGAGCTTCAGCAATATCCGCGGACCCAGACACGAAGGCGAAAGGTCCGTCCTCCACATGGCAGAAGTCTTGTATCTGAGTCGAGCGCAGAGATTCGTCTCGTACGTGCGTGTAGATGATTATCAGATCGGTGAGGCCTTCCCTGGGTCGGCCTCCATCCTTGTGTAGTACGGCCTGGGACCAGAAGTGCGGCTCGAGAATTCCGCATTCTCTGTCGACCCTTCATTTCACGGACGCGCTGACCGAGCTCATCTGCCGTGTTGCACGCCGTCGTGGACGAGCACAACGAGGTCGGATCTGACCCGTCGTGCCTACGGGAGCCAAGACGCTGCTATTTTCGTCGATGCTCCTCCCCTTGGGCGAAGATATCTTTTTGGTCAAAGAGAAAAAGAAAAACCATGGGGGTGTTGGCTGTCCATTCTTGATATGCGTTAACTCGCCCTCGCGGAGCATGTGCGATCAGCAATGCGAACCCGGTCTGTTGGGTACGACTAGGAATATGTAGGAGAATGTTGGATAGGAGACAGTCTGTCTGTCAGTTCGGTGTTTCCCTAACTTTGTTCTTTGTCAAGAACAGAAACATACATACCACACCATCTCACACCGCAACGGGTCTGAATATTGTTCGACTTTTGCAACCCCGCTCGCGGCGTCTATATATACAGAATCTCCCTCACCTTCTCTTGCCGGTGCAGACGGTCCCATCAGATCGATCGATGTATGCGGGTACCTTCTCATTCAGTTCGCCTTCTGCCGCCCGCCGCGAACTAAACCGCTCTGCATTCGGCTCTCCCCATCCGAACGGTATAGCTTCTTACCAGGGATCCTCGGTCGTCCTGCTCTTCTCTCTAACCTCGCTCATGCCCACGCCCTCTCGCCTGTGTCCCTGCCTCTCTAGCAAACTGAGCAAATCGTTCTTCTTGCCCGCTGTCTTGTTAAACCCGAACAGGCGCAACTTATTGTCAAGTTCTTTCTCAAGAGAGGAGAAGTCGTGGTCCATTTTGGATGCGACGTCTGGTAACAGAACACATATTAGCATACCAGAAGCCGTATCATGCACGTGCGGAGAGGAACCAGTTTTTAGTGGTCAAAGAAGAAGAAACAAAGAAAAGGAACGAGCCGTGTAAACTTGGGTACTTACCGATCCCTTCCCACCCCCAGAGATTGGCCTTCATCCCTACTCCATAAAACTGCCACCTTCTCACAAACGCCAACCACGTCTCAACAGTTTCTGGGTGTCCATCATACACCGTGATCAATCTCTTCATTGTAATCCTCTCAAAATTTTCTTGCGCTTTTTTGTTCACGAAATTGCTTTTGAGAACGGTCCATCTCTCTATCTTCTTCGGGAGGGGAGTAGGACCCCTGCAGGGGAGGGAGAGGTAATACGCGGCGCGGACACAGAAATCGGCGAAGAACTCGAGGTTACGGGCGCTGAAGGAGCGGAGTTGGAGTTGGCACACGGGGATCCCGTGGGTTATCGGATGGTAGAGAGGTGTCCGGTAGGCGGCGAGGACGTTGGGCGGAACGTTGGGTCTGGCCTTTTCATCTGGGGATGCAGGGGTGAGTTGGCCGGACGAGTGTAGAGGCGTGGATGGTGTGGATGGTGAGGTTGTGGTAGCTTTGGAAGTCGACCTTGTGGGTGGCCGTGGTTGACCCTTTTCTTGTGCTTTGGACGAAGAGGTCGCATCATCAACCCCTGATGAAGGGTTGGTCGGCTCCGGCGTCGATGATGGCAACTGCTGTAGTGTCTGGGTTCGAGTTTCCGACACTGTGTCTGGCTTTTCCTTTGATCGCTCTATTGCAGACACCGCATGCTTGGATGTGGGTGATGGGGCCGCAGAGTCATCTTCTCCATCATTCTTCTTGAGCGGTGATTTCTCTTCCTCGTAGGTTTCTTGGATTGTGTGTGATCCAATCTCTGGCGTGGGGAAGCCTGCTGTGATGTCTACAGGTCCCGTTTCTAGAGATTTGTCTCTACTGCCTTTTTCATATCGTGGCGCGTCTGAACAGAAGGCTCGTATCAACCGTTGGGGATGGGATTGAGCTGAAAGTCGAGGTCGGAGCGGGACGGTTGTAGTCTAGAGATCGGGTGCTGTTAGTAAACCACAGCCGGTTTGACAAGTCCAAGACGCCGCCAATTGAAGACTCGCTTGTGGCCAACGGCGCGAGGCTGCGATGTAGCAGGTGAGGAAACCTTCGTACCTTCTGAGGCCGGCATGCTTCAATAGCTATGCGAAGACATCGTGGCGCAGACATCTTTGAGCAGACGTCCTCCGAGATACTCTGCCTGAAACTGTCCTGGTCCCCTCCCTGGACCCGATTCCTCGAGCAAGCAGCCCTCTGAGGCAAAGGGCTAGGATGTTGTTCGTACTTCACAGTCCAAGCATGGATCTTGGAGAAACGTCCAAAGACGCGATTCGACTGAAAAGTTTCCATGGTTCCTGAGCGAGCGAGAAAATCCCCGACCATGCGCCGCTTTAAGGGAGAGCTTCTCTCAGCCTTGTCAGGCCATGTTCGATGGGCCATCAAGCCATATAACGATCTACGTACGAGCTTACAACGGTCAATCAGCATTGATGATGTGCTTAGGCGCAACCGACTCATATATAGCTACAAAGGCTAGAATCTAGCTATGCCCTTAAGCCTCTAGAAGCCTGGATGAGGCGCAGTCCAGAAAACTCGAAACAGGGCGGTGACATGGCAATGTAATTGATCGTGTCGAGTGAAGGGGGTCCCATTCTATTCAATCATATCATTACTTCCGATGCTTAAAGGCTACCGAAAATCAAGCACGCATGCCCTTGCTCTTCAAGTATCGTACGGGATAGAGGTTCTGCGCTCATCTCTTGACAAGGCCACTGCGCAGGGACGACAGCCCGTGCCTCATATTGATGAGCACCTATTATAGATTCGTCGCATCAAGTTCCAATCCTAATCATCATCTAAACTCGCCAGTACAGTTGCACTCGGCACAAAAAAAGTCGTCCCAGTCAACGGCGTCGAGTAGTCCAGAATCCGATCGTGCAAGCCAGGTGGTGAACCCACAAACATCCGGTCCAGCATTTGCTCAATGACCCACAGCTTCCTGGAATACCCGATGAAATAAGTCCCAAATTCCCCTTTCCCGGGGGTGCCAAAGGGCATATTGTCCCTCAAAATCGAGAGCTCGGATCCATCGTCGCCCTGGACCGTGGCTAGTTGTTTGTGTGCTTTTTGTTTGTCCTCATCTACGTCGTTCAACTCGATGTTGTCGAGCTTTGTGCGGCCGATGATTGCTTCCTGTTGCTCTGTTGAAAGACCTCGCCACCTCTTCAGGTCATGCACATACTTCTGGACGACAACGTAGCTGCCACCTGCGGAGCCTGCGTCGTCCACCTCCGTCACCAGGACTGATTCGTCGACAGAAGCGCCCACAGGGTTTGCCGTGCCGTCCACGAAACCCAAAAGATCGCGGACGTCAAAGTAGCGGAACCCAACGGTTTCGTCCTCGACCTTGACACAGTCGCCCAGTCGATCCATCAATTGGCGCTCGAACTCGAAGCACAGATCGCGACGCTGTGCTCGGATATGAAACAACAGATCCCCGGGCGTGGAGACCGCCGTGTGAACTTTGCCGGAAATGGTCGGGAAAGGGTGCAGCTCAGCCGGTCTGGGAACGCCACTTAGGAGACTGTCCCAGATATTGCTGCCAATGCCGACGGTGCAGGCGAAGGCGGCATCCAGATCGCGAATAGCAACGTTCTTGGACAGGTCGTCGACGCTGGCAAGGGTCGAGCGCACCGTCTTGATAGCCTCGGGCTTGTCAGTCACGGAGAGGACGAGGAAGGTCGCTGACTGGGTGAGTGGTGCGTCGACTCGTTGGGGTTCTATTGGCGTGCGACGGCTCATCTTGCTTCTCGATATTTTCGTAGACAGTCCGGCGGCTTGTGCTTGATCAAGCAGAGATTGGGAAAATGGCTTGCGGGTGGAGTGATGTGACATAAACACCCTTTGGTCTTTGGCTCTCCCCAGTGTTGCTCGTGCAGCTGTTCTCCTTGCCGCTGAGGTCGAATACCTAGAAACTGAGTATCTAAGAAACCCGCTGCAGATACTCCGGGTCACCTTGTTCGTATTCATACCACAATCGAGCCAGAACAAGACAATTAAAGATCCTGCCTTCACGCTGACCGATATAATGCAGGTACAGCTTCAGAAAGAGATGGCTTACCTTCATCCTCAAGATCATTGGATACGTCGCGTGAAAGATCTGCCTCAATGTCTGATGACTCAGCCTGCAGGTTGGCGCACGCAAGGCTCGTCGTCGCCGGTACTCCGAAGATCAGACAACCTGTCACGAGTACCTGGTAACATAACTTGTAGATGAATGGAATCAATAACGTGCGAGTGCAAGAGTCGAGGCAAAGCACTTTCATTGCATTGCTGCTATCCTATCTAAAGGTGGTGTCTCAAAAACATTCAGCCCCTCCAAGGTAATAGTTGCCATTAATCTGTCGTACAGTCCCATATCGTCATAAAAAGGAAGGGCATAATAACAAGTCATAAACTCTTGACATCATAGTAAAGTGTCTCGGCCGTTGTCCCACGGCGTGATCCAAGCGGATGGGGCCCGCTCACAACCAACCAAGGCGCTAAGAGCCCGTGTACCGACTGCAGAGTCTAAATGAGCCCTCACACCCCATGAATCCAACAACGCGGTGTCACCAAGATAAGAAAAAGTGGACATGAAGAGATCATCCGCTCAACCGTCGGTGGATGAGCGAGTATCAACCAAGTTCATTAACACATCAGAAGCGTGAAGTAAAGCTACGACCCAAGGATGGTCGGCGTGCGTGGTCAGTTGATGTGGTGACGCTAGCTTGCGCCGACGCCCCACCGATTTTCTCAAAACCTTTGAGGATATCGACACCTTCGTCATTATCATCAGAATTGTCGTTCTCGAATGATTTGAAATCGAAGAGGTCATCTTGTACATCGAAGGCCACGCCATGAGTAGCTGAGCCCTTCAACGGTGAGCCAGTTTGTGTAGCCCGCACGCGTGGATGGAGAAGAGAACCACGGGTTGGTGTCTTCGTGTTGGCCTTCTGGGCACTGCCAAGCACTTCAGTAAGGATATTGGTGGATGTTGACGCTCGACAAAATGTTGGACGAGAGACAGACGTTTTAAGTGGTGAAGAGGCACCGATCGGCGTGGCCGGAGTGAGACCAACCGCCGGATCAGAAAAGATTTCAAAAGATTCCTCAGGAAAGGCAGACGACGGCGCGAGACTTGCCCACTTAAGGGGACTGTAAGTCGAATCTTCCGACAAAAAAAGCCCAGAGCTTTTGATGGGCGAGTTTGCAAACTCACGCATTGCTTTGCGATGCAGGAGAAGCTGAGTGTTTGGAGAGACCGAAGGAGGAGGACGGGTGGGTTTCTTGAAGATAACAGCAGGAGTCATCGGATTTAGTGCGGCCGCTGGGCTGACACGAACGGGGGATGACAATTGCGCCGCTTCGGTTGTTGATGGCCGGAATCTTGCATGGCTTGGAGTCAGGTCGTGCGAAGAGCTTCTGATTCGCGCAATCTCCTCTTCGGCACGACCTCTCTTCTTCCTCATAGGCTCAATATCCATCTCCGAGGTGAGCATCACGGCATTCTTGTTTGGGCGAAGCGCAGACGACTCGATGGATGAAAAGTATCCGCTATCATCGTTCTTGGTGAGACTTCGGTTCTGTCGATGAGATACAGATGGGCGTGCCTTGCGTGCAGAGGGGGAAGAGATGGCTCGCTGATGATGAGATGCAGCCACTGGCGGCGACGAATTGATGGCATCCGGGGGAGACGACTTTGGAGCCGTGGCAAGGACAATGTCTTCCAAGTCCACAGTCTCTTGCTCATTGAGAGCAGGGTCTGAGGCTGGCAGAGTGGCATCTGATGAGAGTTCTGGTAGGGCGGGAGCTGTCTGAGGTCGAACAGGTTCGCTTGATTGGCCGAGGAAGGGGTTTGGCGCCAACGCATCCGAGAGTTGTTGAGCAATCTTTTGAGGCTCCGGCCGCATCAGATTGGCATTGATGGTCATGTGGGTGATGTTGGCCCCTCTTCGAATTCTATCTTTGATGAATTGTGACTCCATTCCTGGCTCAATGACCCAATAACTTCCCTTTCCAGCATCTCCCTTCGGCCTCTCCTGTTTGGTGAAAGCTTTGTGCAAGGATAGGTTATGCCTGATACTGTTGTGCCAGCTTTGCTTGGTATCTTCGCGGTAATAGGCAAACGTAGTTGAGATCCAGTCGTAGATTTGTGCCAACGTCAGCCGCCGATTTGGTGCTCTGAGGATAGCCATCCCAATCATTTGAGCATAACTGTAAGAAGGCTTGTTCCCATCGTCCTCAACTGGAGGCATATCTTCCGGTTCAGGTAGATGGAAGGAGGCTTCATCGTCGTGCCGAGACTTCTTGAATGGACGGTCGTTGGGCGCCTGTGCGTCCGAGTATGATCGCTTCAGGGGCTGCTTGCGTACATACGACGGCTCTGGAAAGTCGACGAAGTTATCCTGTGTAGTTTTCACTGCCAAATTTTCTTGTTCATATGTGTTGATCTCGAAGGTGGTAAACATTGGCTGCGCCATCTGAACGGGACGATATTGGTGTGGGGGCAGAACGGCTGGTCTTTTTGCTGGTGAGTCAGTGTAGATATGGCTAGCCACCGCAGGTGGAGGAATAGGAACATAGTTCAGATCCCCGAAGTACGGTGGTGGAGGTGATAATGGTGTGCTCTTGAGGGGCGATATCTGCTGGCTGGGTGCCATTGGCGCATCGAGGACGACGTCTGGGCGAGGATGAGGCGCAGGAGGGTTTCTCAATGGCTGTAGAGGCATTGCCGAGGGTTGTAGACGCGGTCGAGGTCTGTCGATAGGTGAGATACTGTTTGTTGGGGCGGGTATTGGATCTTGGTAGATCTGCACAAACGGGTGCTGACGCGTCGACGTCATGGTGAAAACTGGTGCAAGGGATTCACAGATACGGCACAAATCGAATGTATGGAGAAAGTCGCGTGAAAGTTAAGGTGCATAGGTTCCATTAACAGGTTTTTGAGGTCGACTAAAGGATGCAGCTGAGACTGGGCCAGAGCAGCCAATTTGGAGTCGACGGCTGGCTGCTACTTTTTGAGAACAGTCTCGAGTTGAGAGCAAGGGCGCAAAGAGATTTCAATCTCTCGACACTAGGGAGGTGGATGGAGGTATGAGCGTGTCTGTGCGGGAGGCGACCGGAGGATCGAGGCCGCGGCTGCAGCAGCAGGACTGAGGGGCGGATGGTATGAATGCTGAACCGTCGAAAGGGATAGAAGAAGGAAATTGAATCGTGGCTACGGTGAGAATCGAGCCATTCCGCGCAGTTGACGATTTGAGGTTCAAACAAGAAGGTGTGTTGTTGACTAGGCTATCGCGAGAAATCGATGCAGGTAAGCTGTACGTGGGCACCGGGATGGAAGACGTGAGAGGACGCAGTGCAGTTCTTAAGAGGGGACGCACGGCAAGACGGCCTTGACAGAAAGAGGGAGACTTCAACAGCAGTGGAGGTGTGGGTGAGCCTTGGACCGGGATGACGCCGGATGTGTGGGCTGTGAGGCTTCGAGGCGTTGGTCTTGGTGGTGTCGATGGTCTCGATGCCAGTGAGACAGAAGAGAAGACGCGAACCGTGTTGGATTTGCGCTGCAAGAGACTTTGGCGCTACGGACGCCTTGATTGAGAGGAATCCAGAGGAGTTTGCAGTGGTCGGACCTGTGCTGGTTGTCTTATCCACATCCAATCAATGGCATCTCGGTTGGACTCGACTGACGTGGAATGACCGTTGTCTGCCCACCTGTTCCCTGGTTTGGTGTTTTGTGAGTAGCGCGACTCCGTGACTCTGGTACGATCTCATTGGTGGAGAGCACGACACGCTCCAACGCGCTTCAACGCGTTCTCCGGAACGGAATAATTTGTCTTCCGGATTGACATAACAGTTTTCTCTCCCTCTTCTTCACACAGTCAAGTCATTCACATGTAGAACAAAGAGGATTTGGAATGATCAGATGATAAATGCCGAGACCGTGGCTGCCCCATCGTTCATCAGTCTAGCATCGGTCTTTTTTAACGCTACGTATTTACGACAATGACACCCGCCCCGCAATCGCCCCAGTCGATGTCATTTGGTAGAAGATGTTGGATCTTGTTTGATTGACACTTGTCATGGCGATGGCATTTGTGGTCATGTCTCTTGTTGAAATCATTTCATCTACTCCATAGCTGTCGTTGACATTGTCCGTAAACTTCTTCGAATATAACTGCCACGGTGGGCCCCAATATGTCAGCTGAATGTCCAGATTCATCGTCTTTGAAAAGTGCCTCCCCTTTTAGTTAACCAACCCTGGGTTGAGGATGTCTTCCCTTTTGATATCGCCGGCGCCACCTCTTTTTCTATGCAAAACTCCGCTAAATGTCATTAAATGCCGCTCAAGCCGCTCAAAATGCACAATCAGGGTTCCAGGAAGGTGAACAGGTTCGTATGCAAAATGTTCAATGCTCGATCGGCATCGCGTTCCGCAATCACACAAGAGATGTTGATCTCACTAGCTCCTGTCGCGTTGTTAGCATAGATAGATTGAGAGAGCTCCACATCGTGGGGACGGCCATACCTTGCGAGATCATTTCGATGTTCACATTATTTGAACCGAGGGTCGAGAACATCTTTCCAGCAATACCAATCATGTGCTTCATCTGCTTACCCACAAGGCTGACAATAGCCATTTCTGGAATAATGTCCACGGTTCCAAAGTTTTTCAATTCCTCGATAGCTCCCTGCAGATCCTGGTCCACGATCTGGTACTCGTCGTCACCTGTCCCAGTGTAAAGAGGCGCTTCCGAATGCAAGGCCATGGACATGTTCACCTCGCTGGTTGAAATCACATCGACGGACATGCGCCACTTGTCAAGTGTCGCAAAGATTCCGGCAAAGAAACCGTGGGACAATGCTCGTTTATTGGAATGAATGTTCATCACCAGGATCTTGTGCTTCATAGTGATTGCGGTCGGGCGCTTCGGCTTCTCGCCCTCCGTGAGTTGGCTGGGACTCCTGGATCGGAAAAGTTTGGGATCGTGCCCTGATAATGTCGAGGCTAGTTCTGATGGAGAATCGGGATAGATGATGGTACCTCCTCCTCTTGAATTCATCACATTCTTGATGCGTATCGGTATCCGTGATCGGATGACTTGGTCCATGGTGGAAGGGTGAATGACCTCGGAGCCGTAAAACGTGAGTTCAGCGGCCTCGGCTGGACTGATACGAGAAATCAATTGCGCTGTCGGGACCTTGCGAGGATCAGCCGTAAATATACCGTCCACTTCTTTCCATATTTGTAGCTCGTTGGCCCCAAGGCCGACAGCAACCAGTGCAGCGCACAAGTCTGTGTAGCCTCGACCAACCGTTGTCAGAAGACCTCGAGGGATAGCCCCAAAGTATCCGGTAATCACTGGCACTTTACCCGGGGGTATGTCTTGGAGCCTTTTTGCCAACCTTGACGCCATGCTGTCGTAGAATTGCTGATCTAGGCTGTGGGAGACTCTGAAGTCAATCACGTCTGCAAGGTCGACGTACTCGGCGTCGATACCTCGGTCCTGTAGCAGCGCTGCCATGAACCGGCAGCTGAGCTTTTCTCCCGTGCTCATGACCTTGTCTCTGGATCTGGGGCTTGTCTCGCCTAGAGTCTGGGCGGCTTCTAGTATCCGCTCCACCAAAGAGCACTCATCTTCGCACTCCGCCCGGAACTGCGACCGTACCTTCTCGGACTGTATGTAGGTTTCGGCGGCTTCCAGGTGATCTAGCCGAACATCTTCAATCAATCGTTTAAAATCTTGGGATCGGTGGTTCTCTGCCTCGGTGGCCGCTCGCAATAGACGGTTTGTCGTTCCCGCGGCCTTGGTACTGCTAGATCTCTGAACATAGTCAATCAGTGAGCGTAGGAGTCGAATCGGCGGTCAGTAACACGTACTGCTGAGCAGACTATTGCGACGTCGGTTTCAGAGGAACAGGACTTGACGACGTTGACAATATCCAGAGGAAATTTCCCCACGCTGGTCCCTTGGTTGAGTCAGTGGACGCCGCGCTCAGAGTGAAGCAAGAGGATTTCGCATACCACCAAACTTCAATACATTAACAGGACGAGACCTTGGTGTGCGGGTGCCATTGACCTCATTGACGACTGGGACTTCAGCGTGTACACCGTTAGATAGGGTGAGAGTGGTCATGGTGAAGGAGGGGACTGTGGCAATCGATCACTGGGAACCATAGTACTGTCAGTGGGACAAAATGAAAGGAAAGGAAAGGAAAGGAGCGTCCGAGCCAGCCAGCAAATGAAAGAAAACGAGGACCGAGACCAAAAGGGCGTTTACGGGGTTACAAGCAAGACAGTGACTGGCATCGTCTCTCCCACTACCGCAGACGGAGATGATTCTGGCCCCGTTTTCGCAAGGTCTCTCACCTGCTCACTCTCGCTCAGTCATAATTCTCGCCGCGGCAGAATTTTGCAAAATTCTCGAGGGGTCCTCGAGGCGGTGAGTCGAACTGGCGATTCGGCTGCGCCCTTGGCAAATCACGTGGCGGCGACTCTTATGGCGCCATCTGCCATTTCGTGTTTGGCTGCCATTCTTACGAGGTGCCGACTACACCGCCGAGATGTCGCCCCTGGTCTTGCCCTGGTGAAGCACACAAGAGCATGCCATCAACTCAGTCTTGTCATTTCAACCTCCTGAGCTGGAACACATCTCACATTCCCGGAATGCAACTTCAGGTGCAGCCAGGGATGATCGAATCACCCCGATTGATCTGGGGAAGCTCAGCCGTCACACAGTCAGCGCGACTCCAAGTCCTCGCTTCAAAGGTAAGGAAAACAGGCCGTGTAAGTTCTTTGCTGACACGGACATTTGAAGATGGAGTGACATTGACATTCCATTCGATCCTCATCGCCATTCCCCCGAAAACCCCCTTGAGCTACACCTTGGCAGTCAACGCGGCCTGCCGGTTCCTTATTCGCCCTCTTGTCCAGCCTGCTCGGACATTCCTCATCCGTACACAACACGCTTTTATTAGCACTGCCACGCACAGTCAACTCGGAGAGGCTCATTTGTTGTTGCCTGTGATCTGTCGTCCACCTTGTTGTTTGCAGCGCTTCATTACATCTGCTGAAAAAGAGATAGTGTGTTTGTTGATCAGAAGGCAGCAACAGCAGCCAGTGACTGTCGCTGCTGAGGTGACCGATGTGGTTCGCCCACAGCCTGATTGCCCGGCAAGCACAAGATGAAATCCATCTAAATCTCCTTTCATCTCTGATCTTGTTGAATTGATCGGTCGTGATGGCCAACGCAAATCGAAACCAACATCTGACTTGCCCCTTCTGCCGCTTCGATAGCAATGACTTCGACTCCCTCGAGAGACACGTGCAACATCTTCACACCGACCAACAGCCTGACCCTCGGCGGCCTTACAGTGCCGCCTCCCAGCTGAGTGATGCCGAGTTAGCTCAACTTCTTGCCTTTGAAGAAGCGGGCCTGCCTGCCGAACTAGCCTTGCCAGACCGTCCGAATGTTCCTGCCTGTGGTGAAGCACAGACGCCGGAAAGTGCAACGGATCTGGAACAGTCTTCTTCATCCTCTCAGGTTGGAAATGAAGGATCATGGGTACAATGTGTCTGTGGCGAACGTGTACATTTTCTCGAGCTCGATGCCCATTCCGACATGCATGCTCAAGAGAATATTACCCTGGATGAGACCGATATCCCTAGCGAAGATGTCAAACTTGCGACGACTGCTGGGCCTCCGCTAGCTGATCTCTCCAACTCATTTAGCACTCACATCCCAAAGTCTCTTCGCAACTATGACCAAATACATGACAGAACTCCTCGTAGCGAAAAGCGACGCGGTCCTTCTCTCAAGGATATCTTCCTGGGCACCCACGCATCTCCAAGGAGGGAATCAGCCAACTCGGCGGTCTCCGCAAAGCTTGGAAAGACAAAACGGTTGGGAGTGAGTCCGCCCGGATCTAACATTGGATGTGGTCAGGCTGACTGTTGACAGAGGTCGGAACTGGGCCCCTATGCGCACGAGCACCAGATGCCGAGCTGGCTGCGCCGAATGCTCGAAAAAGGCGCCAAGGTCACCATCACAAACAGAATCGGGCCCGACGGCACATTAGTCAAAGTCGAAACCATTGCCAACGAGACACCCAACCTTGTACCTGTTCTCTCTTGGCTGTCTCACCTGGACGGAACGGTCGAACGTGCATTCTATTGCAGTCCTAAAGTTGTCCACGTGTGCAAGATGCCAAGGGAAGGCGGATTCTGTGGCTATCGAAATATCCAAATGCTGTTGTCCTATATCCAACACACGGATGTTAATGGCGCAGAGAATTTCCCAGGAAGACTGCCTTCAATATTGAAACTCCAGGATATGATTGAGAATGCTTGGGACCTGGGCTTCAACTCTGTCGGGCGTGCGGAGACTGGCGGAATCAGGTTCACTCGAAAATTCATTGGCACACCGGAGGCGCAGGCATTGTTTATGAGTCTTGATATTTCTTGCGAAGCGACCGCGTACGCCACTACAAAGGAAGTCGAGGGCTTCGAGACAATGCTTTGTGCTGTCTGCGAATATTTCGACGACGGCTCCGCCAAAGACAACGTCAACAAGGTTGTGATCACGGACAAACCACCCATCTACTTTCAACACCGTGGCCATTCCATGACCATTGTCGGAGTTGAGCAAAGATTGAGTGGCGTCGTCAATTTAGTCGTTTTTGATCCGATGTTCAACCCTAGTCCGGCGCTCAAGAAACTTGCCCTTTCACGTTCCACTGCATTCGGGTGTGCCAGGCCTGGTAAGTTTCTGAACGCTCATCGACGAGATGAAAAGTACTTGTACAAGTTCAAGGACTTTGAGCTGTTGAAGTTGAAAACGAGGTCACGGTAACATACAGGAACCACACATTTGATCTTCATCATCATTCCTTTTGAGCACCTGAGGCGCGGGTTGGTGGATTTGGTTCATTGCGGTTTGAGCATCTTTTTGGAAGTGAGGATATTTTTGATATTGCATTGCGACGGGGACTATGAGGGATTTGGTCGAACAGATGGCTGCTTCAGTCGGACAGACGGATCAGGCAATAACACTGTTGGGGCATGTCTAACGGACAATTTGTTAGTCTTTTCAACGACATGATATCGGTACTTTGTATACGCCTCGCCCGGCTGTGCTCAAGGTTACGAGGCAATTTTCGAAGCTAGGATATTGCTCTTGTTGGAAGTTCAGATTCAAAACTGTGACTCACGTTGGCGACTCTCATCAGGCTGCAGCCTTGCAGCCTTGGCCATTTTCAAATCTTCATTTTCCGTTTTAATACTGTTGGATACCTGGACGTAGAGCAAAATCAGTACAGATTGCTACTTGTTGCATTGTCCTGATAGCCACCGAATCCAGTCAGGCGTCAACGGCATTTCGAACCACTTAGACCGCTCTTGTCCTTTTCGTTGGGAATACCAGCACCCTTTCCGCATCTTTTTTTACCTTACGGTTCACAGATTTCTTTTGCTGTCATACTGACAGACCTCCTTCCTTACCCTTGAGTGCTTGCTTGCTTGCTTGCTTCCTTTCTACACTCTCAGGTTATAAAGGCCAAACAAGCATGTCTCCCTCAACCCCGACCCAACAATCCGAACTACGCCCGAAAGTCTTGAACTTCATCACGGGCAACGCCAACAAACTAGCCGAAGTGCGCGCGATCCTCGGCGACGTCCCCGGTCTGGTCCTGCAGAGCCGCAATGTCGAGGGCGCCGAGATCCAGGGATCCATTGAGGAGGTCGCGAAGGATAAGGCCAGCAGAGCCGCGAGGGCGGTGAGTGCCCTTCGTTTTCTCTTTTTTTTTTTTTTTTCCTTTCTTCTCCCGTTCGCACTTTGTTTCTCCCATTTTGTTTGGTTTCCATTACCCCCACGCGGAGAATTCAATGGGATGGGTGAAGGGCTTGCCTTGAGATGCGGGGAGAGAGGGATATAGAGGGATATAGAGAGATAGAGAGTGGAATATGCACGGAGGACCAAGCGAGGCGAAAATGGGCATGGAGAAGCGATGAGAAATAGTCCCAGGGAGCCAGATTTGCTATTTTCTCCTCTACGACATTGGGGACGCAGGGGAAAGCCAGGAAACGGGAGGAACAACAAGAAATGGCCAAGGACTCTTGTTTACACTCGAAACTCAGAGATCGGAACCCTCAGCCTTGCGGTGGCTGCTGAATCAATGCTACAAAGCGTCCTTGTCTCTACGGACAGGCTAACGACCAGGTCCCCACACCAGGTAAACGGTCCAGTCCTTACCGAAGACACAGCCCTAGAGTTTCAAGCCCTTAAGGGATTGCCAGGCCCTTATATGTGAGTTGGCCCCCCCAAGACTCTGAAAGGGATCCTTGGACCTTTGAGTCGTCGTCCTCATCATCCCCTTGTCCCCTCGTCCCCTCGTCCCTTTTTTTCTTCCCAAAAGACCATCAACCTCTTCCTCGCAACCACTAACTCTGTACCTCTCTCGTTATAGTAAGTACTTCCTCCAGGCCCTCGGTCACGAAGGCCTCAACAAGATGCTCGCCGCATACGAAGACAAAACTGCCTTCGCCGTCTGCACATTCGCATACTGCGCAGGTCCCGGCCATGAGCCGATTCTGTTCCAGGGGCGATGTAAGGGAAAGATCGTGCCGGCCAGAGGACCACCTGTCTTTGGTATGTGACACTCTTCCTGCTCGGACATTCGCACAAAACCTTCCTGCGATTTTGCCGTGAGGCTTTCTCTGACCGCTGTGTTTTCAACAGGCTGGGATGCCGTCTTCGAGTTTGAAGATGGCCAGACATATGCTGAAATGGAGAAGGAGAAGAAGGTGTGTCCTCTTCAGAGTCGCCCACCCTTTTGTCATCGAAACATCGTTGACCGCTTCCCTCGTGTAGAATCTGATCTCGCATCGAGGCAAGGCTCTAGCAAAGCTGAAAACCTGGCTTGCTGGGGGCGAGCTGGAGCCGTAGTTGTCACAGCTAGACATCATTCCGATAGACCCATAGATTTGTGCGGCATGCCCGTTAAGGCAATAGAGAAAGCTATCCAGCTTGAGATCTTTTCTTCCTCCCGCTAATCTCCCTTTCCGTCTGTTGTATGATCTTTAATCCAGTTCTTGACCCATTGCAGAATCCTCTCGGCGTTCTCCTCGATGTCGTCCGCCTCGACGCTCTTCAGTTCCACAACGCGGCCTTCCTCCTCGTCGCCCCATCCTTCTCTGGCCTCCTCGCTGACCACACCAAAGATCTCAGCGTCCATGTTTTCCTGCACTTTGGCATCTCTGTAGCCCCGCGCCACGAGGCGGTCGTAAAGCACGTTGGTCTCTTCACATCGCAGCACAACAACGAGATCGACCCAGCGCACGGCGAATCCTGCGGTGGAGTGCCAATCAATCAGCCACCCGCCCTCGCCCTCGCCATCGGAGATGTCTTTCTCCACCTCGTCCATCAGCTTGTCGTCGTCCACAATCAGGGTCTGCAGCTCTTCGTCGAAGCCTGAGTGGCAGGAGCGGGATTTGACGAGGTCGTTGATCGAGAGATGCTTGAGATTGACGGCGGGCGTTGTGGTCGAGGCGAGACCGAGGAGCTGGGTGCAGGTGGTCGACTTGCCGACGCCGGGGGTGCCCGTAATTATGATGTTGGGGAGAGAGCGCATCGTCTGTCTGGTCAATGACTGGCGGAGCCTATCGCAGAGCGAGTCTTCTGTGCGCAATGGGTGATGTAATGGGATGTCTACGTGGAGAGAAGGTGGGAGTCAACAGGTCGCGAGGATGCTTCAACAGTAAATCCTTCGAAACAGCTTTGCAAGAAAAAAAGTTCGAGGGTGCGGGGAGCGAGTGTGAATGTGAATGGGCCTGCCAGCCTTGTGAGGGCGGCAAGGCGGGATACGGTACGACGAGGCTGACTACGCGTGACTAGTGGGTTTACAGCACCAACGGCTCTTCTGAGGATCCCTAGCAGACTTAGTCGTACGAGGTAGTCCATGCTGTACTCGGTATACTCGGTGTACTCAGCCCTATGGACTTTTGGCATGTTTCCTCCCTCGACAGCTACACCAAGTTTCCCTGCCGCTGGTCCGTGTCTATTCCTCGGTCCATCAGCCTTGAACCCCCAGTCGTCTCCAAGATCCCCTAGTCCAACACCGAGAATTCCTGCGACATGGAGAGATAGTTGCGAATGTTTCCTCAGCAGCATGTCCCCCGGAGTCTCAGACAAGCTTGAAGTTGATGACTTTTGCCCCCATCTTCATCCAGCTCTCCTCGTCGATCTCACAGTCCATCACCTGCACTCGCTCGTCTGCCCAGTAGTGACCATTCTTCTCCATCCGCTGCAAACACATGAGCATGGTTATCTTCCACTTTCCTTGCCTCTTGGGATCCTTCTCTCCTGCTAACGCCATGAACCTCATGATACACTGGTCTGGCTGCTTCCTGCGCCAGGCCGTATCCAGCCATATGTAGCCTAGAGGAGTGTGGGCCTCGCAACCCTCATGCGCGTCATGCTCGGTGAACACGCTGCCTTCTTTTTCTTCTGTCTGCTTGGCTGCTGGGACAGATGGTGCGGCGGCTGTCTCCGCATCCATCCACTTGATCTCTGGTAGCGGCTGCGAGAGCAGGTCAAAAACGGTAATCTTTCGCTCGGGCGGCAGAGAGGGCTGCTGACTCTGACTGCATCTGTTCGGGAACACGGCGTAGAGACTATTGGAGCCATCGGATTCGATGTGGTCAAGTGCAATGCGTAAATCTGCCATACATCCAGATAACCACCGCTCTGGGTTGTTGTAGTAATTACCGCCAGTCGCGGCGGGAAATCCAAACCTGGGACCCGTCAAAGCATGGCATGCCGGTTTTCGTAGTTCGAGGTTATCCTCAACGCCTTTGTGGGAGAAGACGCCGGGATCGTAAATCATTTGGCTTGTACGGGCTGTCTGAAGCATCTTCCGATCGAACGAGACTGCATCGTCCCACCCCAGCCATGACCAGCTAGGGAATACTTGGTTGCGGAGGTGCGGATTGTGTCGGCGAGTGCGCCAGCATATAAGTTGATCAAAGGCACATATTGGGAGGCCGTAGCAGAACGAGGATGTCTTGCCGTCCATCTTACCATTGTACCTCCGAAACACTCCTTGAAAGGCATTTATCTTATCGTCCTTCCTGGTGAGCTTCCGTTGGGAGTAATGCTCGACCGCAGAGATATACGATTCCAGCTCTTTGCCAGGAGGTATAAAGAGCATACTGCCAACAGCGTTGAACTTGGAAACGCTTTGGCTCTCTTTACCCTGTAGCTGAGTTCCGTTCGCATCGCAAGAGCCCGCTCGGCACTGCATATATATCCCGTTCGACGTGAATAGGATGAGACGGTGCGACAGAACCTTCTCCTGATAACACCAGGCGCGACGACTCCAGGGCGACGACTCGACCATGGCATTTAGAGTATCCTCTGACTCACACTCTTTCGAAGGCCGCAACGGTTCGGCTGGCAAATTCCCAAGCAATCCGATTGCCGCTGTTTCAGCTGACACGGCAGCAATGGTGCACTTGGCCGCGGAATATATCTGCCTCATCCGGAGCATTTGAAACTTCAAGTCTCGCGAAGAGTCCTGCATGATGCAAAGTGCGTCAATCCACAAGTACCTCTCCCCAAGTTGCTCACATACTACGGTCGCATCTCGAATAGTCGTAGGGAGCTTTGGCCAGGCAAGGTCAAGTCCCCCATCACGCATCAGAAGGGGTGCTGTAGAAGCGTTGAGCTCGGCTTGGTCCACACCACCCCAAACATATGTTAACGCGATGTATGAACAACCCTCCGGCGCCTCGACGATGCAGCGTCGATGAGTGTCAATGACCTTGAATCGGGTTCCCGGTAGGTTCTGCCACTGGATTTGCGAAGCTTTGCACTCGGTGTGGTTGCGGTCATCTTCGCAGAAAGACAGCCATCGGCTGATATGGGTGAAATCAACCCCTGATACCGTGAACTTGATAGTTTCAAGCTGTGGCGATAATGATGAGTCTAACTGCGCTCCCTTTAGGCTGTCAGTGATCTCGTGGGGATAGAGTCTGCTATAATTAACATGCGGCCTCTCATTTTTGCACAATGACAGCGCCAAAGTCGCCTCCCCTTCAGAAATTTCGGGATTGCTTTCTTTGGTAACATCAACTTTACTCCAAGGACACAGGATCGGCTCTCCCGGCCACAGGTCTCGGTACAATCGACGTGGTCGAACCCACTCCATTCCATCCCATGACCCATCAGAGCTAGAAAAAAAGGTGAGATCGCATGTCGGTGGGTTGGAATTGCCGCTTACCTTAGGTCAAATTGTGTTGGTGCCAGCAAATATGCTCTCAACAAGACACAGGCAACGGCAACATCATACGGCTTCTCAAATGTTTTAACAAAGCGATGGCAGACTTGTTCGCTTAAACAAAAATCCTCATGTGCATCATCAGAAACACCATTGAAACAGATCCCATCTTCAACGTTCGCTATTGGTGACGAGAATCCATCTTCAACATAGGGGCCACGAATAAGTACGTCGGCAGCCTCGATGATGAGAGGGACGTCTTTGATCAGTCTCGGCCAAGCAGCCTGCCATTCCGCCGCGTGCCAACAGCGGACGTCGTAGTAATGTGTATAGCTATATCGATTGAGTCAGGATCATCTGTAGCATATTTGTTAATGGTCGTACCCCATTCTAATCCAAGGAAACCGGAGAACGTTCTCCTAGAGCAATTGACTGGCGGCGCGGATATCCTGTGATAATATCGACTTCTGGAAGAGGTTTCTAAAAGAAACGGCCAAGGACGACAGTCGCTAGAAAGAAGAAGCACTTGGTGGAGAGTTGCTGGGAAGAACGTTGCAGGACAAAATGCGGCTGAGGTTTTCGCCCCCAAAGCAGTGAGGCTATGTGGTATCGTTGTCCTGCCTAGCAAGAGGCTCATGTGTGAGGCGAGACTCCAGATGCCTCGCCGGGTAACAAGTGGCTGCCTTTACTATCCTCGATAGCCTAAACAACGCCTGGCGTTTGCAGAACATTCCCGGAACGGGTAGAGATGATTGCAAAAGTCATTTTTATAGTATTGCCACGCCGCATGCGCAGCGACAAAGTCTCGCCGTGGCTGTCGGTTAGGGAAGGCTCTGGCCACCTGTCTGGTGCACAAGGTCTGTGGCGGTTCTCCGATTTCTAAGCGACCAAGCGGAAAAGACCTGAGGTTCAATGGATGACATCGGGGACGTTTCGCCAACTCCAGGACATCCGAATCAACTGTGGCAACCAATAGTTCCCCGGAATGGGAAGCACAACGGAGGCCCTTAGCAGTTGCAAGACTCTCGTGTCTACACGTTCGACACCCATTCGACAACATGTTGTCTGTTTTCTCTCCAGACATATCTGCAATTACAGAAGCTGACCCCAAGATTGAAATTCACCCTCCACTGTCGCCAACGAGCTCAAAGTCGACGAAGTTAAAGAGGTTGGGGTCAAGGACAAAGTCGTTCACGGCAGCTTCGAGAGAACCCCAAGCGCCGCCATGTGAAGTGTCCAGGCCTCCAGTCTTGGTATTGTATTGTGCAGGCGATTTCTGCACATCATCCGTGAAGACATCCGCCAGCAGTGGACAGCCCTCCACTATACGAGCCAGGGTTCTCCTCATTCTGGCGGCGATGTGAAAATGAGGCTGCAAGTCTTTCATCATTTCATCCAACAACCGGAGCCACCGAAGGTCATTCTCGTCGACAGAAGAATGCTCGGCTCCCAGAACAGTGGAGATTAATATGGTCGCCGCTACATATAGATTATCCAGCATCACAGAAGGAGTTTTTTCCACTCCAAAGATCTGTCTGTAGGTAATACCTAGTTGGGCAATCTTCACTGCGTTGTGATGCACAAGTTGACGAGAAGTCTCAGCAGTCCAATTGCGAAGGACTGGTGGCTGGTCGGTTCTTTCACCTTGTTTGCGCTTCCTGTGGGTTGATATTGGAAGGGAATGCAATAACATCTGCACCCGTAAGTACTGCATGTGCAGACCGTATGCGACTGCATCAAGACCAGAAACGTTGTTGTAATCGAGTGCGATATCTGCCGGCAATAGCGCGTACCACCTGCGCAACTTTTCATCAAGTTCTGACAGCCGACTCGGAGTGCTTGCCTGCATAGGGGAGGGCATGTTGAGGAGTGCAGTAATCTCAGCGATTAGTACGCAGAGGTCAAACCACGGCCCTAGAGTTGGATTGTCAGATACATGGCCAGCATACGCAGCAATGGACGGGCTCAAGATTGCTATGTGGCTCGGGCGTCCCAGGTATAAACTCCAAAGGGTCTCGTAGACGAAGCAGCCTAATGCGACTGAGGCGCGGAAACTTTCTTCATGCGTGTTCAAGACAACTTGGTCACTGTTTTTGGCCCACATGTGATGCAGACCAAGGTCAACAATGAGCCGGCAAGCAATACCTAGCACTCCATTAGCAGGATGCACGTCGATGAAACAGGCAGTCCTCACCGCAGTACATCCAACCGACTCTATCCCGTCCTTCAGTCATTTCGTAGTCACTGAGGAGTAGCATTCCCTGCAGTGTTGCCATGTTTGGGTCTTCTAACTCTGACACTACCTCTGATTTAGCACCCATCGCAAAGCTCGAGCCCAGGGCGCGAACTGCAGCAGAAGTGCTCAAACGCGCACTACACGCCAGGAGGGAGTTTTCCAGAAACTTAGAGTAATGTTGTGATCGTATGCCTAGCGCTTGGTGTGACAGAAAGATTTCTTGATTGATAATGGTCACGGAAAGAGTCTGGAAGTGGCAGTAGTTGTCGAACAGGAGGGTTTTCAGTCGGTCACAATCCATGTCAATCTGTGTACCTAGAGGTGGAGGGTGGGCACTTGACACACTTCTCACCGCATCTGAGGGTGATGAGACATGGAGTTGACAGGTAGGGCCAAAGTATATGTCAGATTGCTCGGAAACACCCTCCTCTCCGTCAATAATTTGGGGCATGCGGCTTTGTCTTTCGATGTTGACGGAGCCCAAGCTGCGCAAATCCGGCCCTCGCCCGGGTTCGTTCTGTGATGACTGATTCATATATGAAGACTCATTTGGGGACTCTGCCATAGCCGTACTTGTGCCGTGGATTGAACCGGCCTTAGACAAGAGTTTGCTAGTGGCCATGTCTATCGTTGGCGGAATCGGTCGCCTTGACAAATCAGCAACTCATACGAGGTAAATAGCGTCTGGGGATATTGGACAAAGCATACCGAGCTACAGATTTAGCAGAGAGTCGCCGTGCTTCGTTGCGTCGAGAGTACTCACCGGTGCTTGTAATTGGCTGTCCAACCACTGGTGAAGCCTGGTAAGCTATCACGGGAATAGTGTCCTGCAGCGATTGTACATGGGCAAGACCCGGTCCGGTGCTAACAGAGCTGGCTGATTGCATGCTCAAGTGCGGTGACTTCTCTGCCGGGCCAACGCCGTCTGAAGTGTTCACATCAGAAAGGGCTTGACGGACTAACGTCTCCAGTGATCGGATCTGGTCTTGAAGTGCAGCAACGTGCTCGCGAGAACCGTGCCTGAGAATCAACTGTCAGCTCGGAGATATGTTGGGACCCAAGTAACGGACTTCCTGCGATCCGAAAACTGGCTAACGTGACAGTGGATGTTGGATATGCGGCATCCAGTGCAGGTAGATCCAGTGGGAAGACGTTGAATATCACACTGAGAGGATATTAGTTTATGCTGCCGACCGATTGATATTGCCTAAATGACAATATTTTGCTCACTGACTTTAATCTTACGCTGACGGCAGCTGTGGCATGCTAATGAAGCTCGAGACCGAGCTGTGGGAGACCTCTTCACGCGCTTGACATTAGATGAGTCCCCGGCGAGGGGTGATGCGGCTCGTGGGGTTGCGAGCGCGTCGTCTGAACCCATCTGAATCCGGCCGAGCAGGATTGCGATGCATATGCTTTGGTTGGGATCCGATCAAGTGAAATGATTGCATGCAGAGGACAGGAAGCTTGATGCATTGCATTTGGAGCGTCGAGTTCGGCCAGATCCTGGGGTTGATATTCGCGAGGCCCACAACACCTCGCTTCAGAGTATCGGAGAGAATGTGCGGGGAAAGCGAAATCGGGTGCATTTGAGGCCTCTGGAGTCTGGGGTATGGCACTAGAGGCGCAGAGGCAGCATAACGCGGCCGCAGTGTCGGTTGTAATAGTGCCAAAGGGATTTGATCATACTGGGCTGATCGCCTTCGCAGTGCTGTTGTGTATAGTCAGGCGTCACCGTACGTCCCTTCGACAATTAACATGTCCTCAATATAGTTACAAGAGCTCAGGGGGCCAGATCAAGTGCTAGCATAATATCTTCCGACCGGTCCACCTGCGCGTGACTAGGTCTCGCATGTGCTGATGTTCGAGGCCATACTGCTGATCGTGCGTAGACTAGGGGCCTTCAAGCCTGGGAAATCTTTGTCAGAGGCCGATGAAATGTCTTTCCGGATTGCCTCTGGCACTCCCCCTGGACGCTCACGGTAGGCTGAAGCTTCACCGTACACGCTCTCGAGCGGGGCTCTGGCGAGGTACTCGGTAATGGCAACCCGTGAAGGAGGTTCCCGAGGCTGGAGGTTGAATTAACGGGTGAGGTTTTCCGAGAAGGAATCTCCAAGCTTGCTCCGGCCCCGTGATCTTGACCTTGTAGTCTTGGCGTAGAGGCTCCGGACCAATGATTCGCCGGTTTCGGGCCGAGACACCCGCAACACCAGGCTTTTCTGTTCTTTCTCGCAGTGCGAATGAATGCCGGGCAGTGGGAAAAAGGCTGCTTTGGATTCGATTCTAAACAGCCAATCCATCATAGGCGAGCTGCTACCTGCCGTTGTCGAGACCTCGTGTCTATTCCATCTACGATGCTATTCTCCAGCCCCTTAGTGTTGACATAGTAGGGGCTCAGGTCACTCAAACTGTTTACCCCGAGTAGCCTTATCGTGGTCTCTACCTCGTCGCTAAGGACTGTGGTGAAAAGTCAGTTGCGAGCCCGAATTGCGAGCCCATCTTGCACTCACGGTCAATTGCACGTTCCACTCCTTCTTGTCCATAGGCGCCGAGCGCGTAGACAAATGGCCGCCCGACGCCCACAGCCTTGGCTCCCAAGCAAATAGCCTTGAGGACATCACTTCCTCTCCTCACCCCGCCGTCGAGGTAGATATCTATCCTCCCCACGATCTCAGGACAGAATCTCCGAATCTCCACCAAGGTCTGCAGCGAACTTGGTGCAAAATCAAGCTGTCTGCCGCCATGGTTGCTGAGGTAGATTCCGTCTACCCCAGCTCGATACGCGAGCAAGGCATCTTCGGCGCTCTGAATGCCCTTCAAAATGATGGGACCTGCATCGCCCCAGGTATTTCGAATCCACTCCAAGTCATCCCAATTTAGTGTTGATGAGTGGACTCCTCGGAGGATTGGCTTCTCTTCTGATGTCGATGTGTCGATTGTCCGAGGTGTGTCCTCCACGCCGGATTGATAATCTACTCGGGCCTTATAGCGATCGTCTTCCTCCCTCTTTCCGACAACCGGCGTGTCCACGGTTACAAGCAACGCTTTGAAACCTAAACGGCGTGCCATGCGGATTAGCTCCACCGCGTTCTCTCGTTTCCTCGGTACATATAGTTGGAAGAATTGAGTGTGTGGCAGCCCTTCAGATTTGACGCATTGCATAATCTCTTCGTGCGAGCAGGATGCGTAAGTGCTGAAGGCGGACGGAATGCCCTTCGACCCAGCCGCACGCGCAAAAGCCAACTCGCCATCCTTGTTTGCCAGTTTGATCATCGCCATTGGAGAGATGAAGATTGGGAGACTGCTAGGTTGGCCCATTATTCTGCAGGACATATCAACTTGAGCAACATTTCTAAGTACTCGAGGACGGAAAGACACTTTTGCCCAGTCTCTCCGGTTAGCTTCCAAGGCACTAAGAGATTCAGCCGCAGAGTGGAAATAGGTGAATGCTCTTTCACTCAGCACCCTGGATGCTTGCATTTCCATGTCCGCTAAATTTTGACAAAGTTTCAGAGGGATATCATCTGCATGCTGCGTCTCCTTGACAGGCGGCGTGTTGACACTGGCTTCAGATGAAGTATTCATTTCGACCGTGCCTAAATGCTTGTCTGCCGAATGGTCATTAGTATCAGGTATATCGGTCAAGAAGCGTCCCACCTTTTGCGAGAAATCTAGAAAGAGTGTTTTCCGGGTGTATAGGAACGTACTCTTGTGTAGCATCCTGGAACGGACCTTAGTGTCATGGATTCGATGTCAGAAGTTGGGCGAGACCTTTCCAGCATAACGGAGTATAACCCCTGCACCCCCAGGATGGTCATCAATAAAGTCAGTCACATCATATGCTTGACCTTGGATGATGACCCAGCATGACTGTCGGGTGCAATGTGCGGCCACCTCACTACGAGTTGGCATTTTCAGAAATTCTGTTCGAAATCAAGCTCATAACCAGCCAGGTGAGCGTCAGAGCGAATTCTTTCGCCCATTTCCCCTTGATGCAACATTTTTCCATTGTACAGATATCGCCTGGCGGGCTATTGCTTCTCAGTATCAGTTCCGAAAGATCGCGGAGACCAGAGAGCCGGGCGGAGAACCGAGCCCGGAAGCAGAGGCAGACGGCCAGCGACAGCCGAACTCAGAGTGAGAGAAAAACAGCGTCTGCAGACAACAAGAAATATATTCTAGGCTTGAATCGAACCAAGACAACTTGTCGAGACGGTCAGTCGAGAATTATTGCAAAGTTTCACTTCAACCGTTAACCAGGTGCCTTCAACATGCCCAGTGTCACCAGGCTCCAAATCACACCACTTGCAGAGTCCTTTGCCGCCGAAGTCGAAGGGATCGATTTCTCCAAGCCGATTGATGACAACCTCTTTGAGGAATTTAGAGATGCTGTCCACAAATACGGCGTGGTCATAATTCGCAAAACTGCGCTAGATGATGATTCTGCCATTGCCCTTGGGCGACGATTTGGGGAACTCGACAGCGTCAGGGCCCACCGGCTGGCTGGGAGGGCAATGAGGATTCCAAACGACGAAATATTCGACGTAGGGAACCTGGATGACAAGAATCAAGTCGTTACAGTTAAGGATCCCCATCGCACAGCGTCTGCAAATGGCAACGCGCTCTGGCATGCAGATGGGGCTTTCAATCCTCGCCGCACTGGTGTCTCGATCCTTCGAGGTGTCGAACTCCCTCCCAAAGGTACCGGAGGCCATACAGAGTACTTGGACACTCGAACAGCATACGACGACCTTCCAGAGGAAAAGAAAAAGGAGATCGAGGACCTGGTGGGATGCAACTCGTTATTCCACAACCGTAAGACGGCCAATCCTGATTCGCCCCTTTTCCTGGACATCAACCCGATGGATCACCCCCTAGCTAAGCACAAGATTGCTCAAATGCATGAACCTTCTGGTCGAATGAATCTCTACGTCACCTCGTATACTCATCACATCGACGGCATGGATCTTGAAAGGGGCCAGGGATTAATCAAGGAGATATTTGAACACGTCCAACAGGACAAGTATAAGTTTGTACATCATTGGCACGAGAACAATGATGTTGCAATATGGGACAATTGTGCTGTGCTGCACAGGGCAACCCATGGGGAATATGAGGGTAAATATAGGAGGGACATGAGGCGAGTGTCAGTCTTCGATACCGGCTCGACTGCCTATGGAGAGAACGATGTTTCCACATACTGGCAGCAGGGTCTTCCATAGTCCTCATTCAGGCGCCAGAACGGTGCAAATCGTGGCTGCAGGCCTTCGAGCCGTGGCGAGATCCATCTGCTGGTGTTGGCACTGAGGCTCCAATGACTTGTAAGTCTCATTGCTGCTATTATTCCATAGTAATCTTTGATATATGGCGCATAAGTCGTCCCAACTGTCTGGCTACAAATTTTTGAGTTGCTGGAAGACCCATCATGGTATTTCAGAACTTACTCAATACCGAGAGCGCAATATGTTGCCAGGGAATCCTCTACACAGCTACTTTCGGATACTAGCCAGATGAGGAAGGTTGATTCGCCAAGCATTGAAAGACTGGCCAATCAAACACGAACTGACCGATCACTCACCGAAAAATGAGGCGGATATTACGGACCGAGGCCTTTACTAGCTCTACTCCCCTCAAAATATGTACTTCCAATGCTGGTGAATAGACACAACCGAGGGCTACTTCGCAAACACATTGGTCCATCTGGGGGCCCCCCTCCCGGCCGTCTTACCCAGCACGCTGCCGTGACTGGGCTTACAGCTATTTCTCCTCGCCAGTATATCTTACGCCTTGCATGAAATCTTAGGCGATCTACGAAAGTCCAAATCGACCAAGTTCGCAGCTATGAAAGACCTTTTATTCTCCAAAGCGCAGACGGGTGAAGCATCAGGCAGTGGAGGCATTTCCCGTTTCCAAGATCAGCACACACGGCTCGGCCGGCCGTTGCTAGGCACAGTGCTGACAGTCCAAGCCCCTATCGTTGCCATGCTAGCTGCCCAGGCTTTCGACTTCGTGATGATCGACATGGAGCATTCTCCCATGTCGGCGGAGCAAATGACTCAGATGGTGCACGGCGTAGTGGCGGCGTCGAAGGGCAAGTGCTTGGCCATCGTCCGCGTCCCTTCTCATGACGTCGAATGGATCAAATGGGCATTGGATAGTGGCGCGGCAGGGATCATCATACCGATGGTAAACAACGCCGCTGAAATGGAATGCATCATCTCCCATGCGATCTACCCTCCCAGGGGCAAACGGAGCTTTGGTCCTTTCAACGCCGCATTCGGCAGACAGCTCCTCGGAACCCAGTTCGGCACGTACTACGATATGGCGCAAAACGATGGAGTTGCAATTCTCCCCATCATCGAGTCAGCGGAAGGAATCAAGAACGCCGACGCCATCATGGGGGTGCGCGGCGTGTCCGGTGCTTTTATCGGCCCTTACGACCTGCGGCTCTCTCTTGGATTGTCGGGAGGGGTGGACGGTCCCGAGCCAGAGTTTGCGCAGGCTCTCTCAACAGTGCTTGCTGCTGCTAAGAAGCATGGAAAGGTCGTGGGGTCGATGGCGACTACGTCCGAGATGGTGACAAGGCGGACTGAGATGGGTATGACTTTCCTGCTAGTGACTTTGGACTACAATGTTCTGGTGTCTGGATTTGCACTAGCGGTGGAGCAAGGTAAAGAAGCACTAAAGAGAGTTAGACATCTTCCATCCCGTCTGTAACCGGTTGGAGAGCAGAGTTATTTCGGATTTGAGACAATGGTGGTGCCTTATGACTGGATGAAGTGACTAGTCGGAAGGTATCAGGGACCTACGCAACGCAGTAGGTACAGAGAATTGGAGTAGCTGAATGCCTTATTCTATATCACGTAGTCTTATTGACAACGACTCAACGCTTAAGAAAAAGAAAGAGTTCTCTCCCACCCGATTCGGGTGGAGGGCGTAGGGTACTTGGGGAACAACGGTGGGCTCGTGACAGAAGGTATCTACCATCGAAAGAGGTCGCTGCGCCGAGCTTCTCGTAAGAAGTACATGGATTAGCATCTGCCTCTAGTAGGTCGATGACATTTGGGATACTATCTGCAATGGCGCAGAGTACCCTAGGTTATTGAGTTGAAAGCTAATAGTACAGGGGTATCATTTTAAAAAAAGTCCCTTCCTTTCCTTGAGCTCGTAAGCAATGCCAGCTTTCCAATAACTTTGGTTACACTCCCCAAGATGCTGAAGTTGAGTCTCTCCACGAGAATTTCCAACTGTTGTTGTTTGCTGTGCTCTCCTCAGCTCTCCCTTGGTCTCTGCAGCGACAATAAAGAGCGCCTGCCCTTGTCTCTAGTCGTCAGCTTCTGCGAATCTTGTTTCAGCTCCTTTGGAGATCGGTATGTTTGAAGAGCACATCAAGGTCAACTTCGGTACGTAATTGGGGGTTGGTCCGTACATCTTCGTCTTCGGGGAACCGGTCCTCATCCTCAGATCCTCTCATATTCAGCTCTGTACCCATTTGAGGAGGTAAGAATGAGGGCTGGTGGAGTGTAGTCAATTGGCACAATTGGCACCAATCCACAGAGTTCCTCGACGGAATACTCGATAACCTTGTTGCGCAGTGAGGGCGGCACATGGTCATCAGGCATCAGGTCGAACATTGTGATCCGGAGTGGCGGACCCGGTATGAGTGTACCATCTGCGCTTCGCATCTCCTAGCCGACATTGTAAGTAGTTATTGCATGTCGGGGCTGGCAAACTCACTTGAGCATGACGTATCAACTTGCTTTCGGCAACACGGTCAGAATGATCCCGTCTCCACGTTAAGAGAGTGACACTGTTTGTGCCAGGATAGCCGAAATCGAGAAATATGACCAATCGTGTCGTTCGTGTGGTTTTGAGAAGGTAGAACTGCGCCAGTTCCTCGAATCTTGTTCGCTTCTGCGAGTAGCCAATCTCGACAATGACACTATGTTGCACTCCGCGGAGTCTCGGGAGCCATGCATACGCCAAGACACCATTTGGTATATGACAGTCCAACCCGCTCCTAGCTTCAACATCGGTAGGGGGAACAAAGAGCATACGTCCTCCGTCATCGCCAGAGCTCAGAGCTATCCACTTTTGGGAAATGGAAAAGAAGAATCGGAACTGTGCCGAGCTGTGCGGACCCAAAGCCCAGCAGTGAACGAAGGTTTGGGTTTGGGAAAAGTAGTGGTAGCTATATCTCATTGTTAGCTGCAACCAATTTTGGGATCTCTTATTCTTTTCCGGCTTACTCGGGTCTTGGATTATACATCCCGTCAAGGAGTCGCTTCAGAACAGGCCAGTCGTGCTCTGTCAGTTGATATTCCCTCCAAAAGGAGCGGGAGGTGGTGCGGGCTCGACGCCTCTCAGCTCTGACTTGTTTGAGGATTGCGACCACCTCAGGAAAAGTCTCCGAGTATGTAGGGGGTGCCGAAGTGGGCGGCGAAGGATCCGAAGGAGTGTCTTCCAAGACGGGTGTGTTTGGTGGTGTTGCAGGTCTTTCTCTTTCGCCGATATTGCTGTTCACTGGGTTGGACAGTGGTGCTTCGCCACTGGTGGAATCCAAAGTCGCACCAGGCGCGTTCGAATTGGCTTTGGCATCGCCCCGGCGATTATCTGTGAGGTGGCCCGTCGCCGGGGACGACGGATTCCTCACCTTGCGCCAAATTCCACGGAGGAAATTCATGTGCGACATGGCTGCGGAAGACGTTGACAGGAAAGTGAGAAGTTTGTGAGGACAACAAACAAAACATTTTTTTTATGTGCGGAGCGATATTGGGTGCGGTTTCTGTCCGGCCGATCATTGGGCTTTGAGGCGAAGCATCAATATGACCTGATCAAGGGACGCATAGTCTTTGAAAGCTACATGGCCATGGTCTCGTCGCTGTCCGCCTCCTACCTCGTACAAAGCTACCTGAACAACGGCAAACACGCTCTGAATTGTGAGGTCATGTTAGGATCATCACTTAATACGGACTACACGTCCCAATGACAGAGGCCTCTGACCTCTGTGCAAACCCGTTCTGCTGTGTACTCCGTAAAACAATCGGCAGTTCCTTCAACAGACACATGCTACTATTCCGAATGCGGACGTACTGGGTATACCTGTGGGTATCAAGTGTGTCGCGCCTTGGCGGACCCACTACCCGTTGTGGAGGCCCGGATACGAGAAGGCCCCATATGTCCCGGCTGCCATCCGTGCCCACCAGCCCTAATAGCTGCTTCTCGCCAGCTTCACGGAAAGCTTAGTCCTAAGATTGCCTTTTGTCTGTATCGGATAGGTGGAACCCAGAGTTTTCACCACGGAATGGCAGACAAGCTAACCAAACCATCTTCTTCCAGATTGATCTACTACCTACTCACCCTCATCAACCGTATGCTCATCATGCCGAATATCCAGTGGTACTTGAAACCTCCTTTTTCCGCCCAGAAACCAATCCACCAGCGCGAACAGAATCACAGCACCCATGACTGGCCCTCCATAATTCATCGTCTCTGCTGTGACAGGCACCGTCGATGGGAACGGAAGCCATATCACGATGAAAACCGCATAACAGACCGCGAATATGTTTATCGGCAAGCCCGTGCCGCGAGGGAGCCTGAAGGGACCATAAGAGATGCGAAATCCCTTGAGCTTGTGAATTACGAGGAAGAGGATGGGGATGATGTAACTGAGGTATAAGGCCAAGGTGTTAAGAGAGAGGATGGCGAAGAAGGCGGTCGTGGAGCCGATGTTGATGAGCTGGAGGAGCATGACAATGATAGTTATTAGGAAGAGAGAGTTGAGGGGAATCCGAAGGGTCGCGTTGACCTATTCTCTTTGATTAGTGAACATTCAGAGAGAGCAGGAGGTCAGTGTGGCGGCTCACGCACTCTGCCAAAGAAATCCGACAAGGGCAAGCCATTGTCCCTTGCGAATGCCCATGTCAAGCGAGAGACCGAGGCAAGGGTGCTGAACACGGCTACGACACCGATGAAGAGAAGCAATGACATCATTGCTGTGGTCGCACCCTTGGAGCCAGTCGAATTGTACAGCATTTGGATGATTGGATAGACGTATGCTGTTTGGGAGACTGCAATGGGGTCGCCAATGGTAAACAGTATGGTGATGATGATGCCGAAAGCGAGAATGCCATTTATGAGGACGCTAAGGACCATGCTTTGTGGAACGCGAAGAGGTGCGTTTTTGACTTCAGCGCCTAGCAGTAGTGTGAGCTCGTCGAATGCCTTATGCAACCGGACGATTTAGTCATACTCATATGAAGAACGCCATCAAATCCCGCAAGTGGGAAAGCGCCTGATAGCAACCCAATACACCATGACACTCCAGAATTCGAGTATCCACTGAGGTTAGTGATTGTATCCGTGAACACGAAATCAGCAGAGCTCCGGGGCGACAACGATACTAGCACTGCGACGAAGACGATGAAGAGGACAATGTGCAGGACGCCTCCAAGGACCTCTAGTTGTGCAAGGACTCTTCTGGCAAAGACATTGCATAGCAGGGGCAAGGCAAGGATGGCCCACGCTAGAAGGGTGCCATGCCACAGCTTAGGCACATATGTGTCATCGTTCAGGATAATGAGACCTTGGAGGATGGTGCCCTCAAGGAAGCATACTTGTGCACAGACCGCAATCCATGCAAATACAGTGATCCAACCTGGAAGATGTCAGAGACGACGCCCGTTGGACAAGTTGAGAGAACAGTGCCTTGGAGTAAGCTCCAGAATGCTGGAGACAGAAGCCCTCTGGGCGAGTAAAGAGCAGTCCAACGATATTGCGCACCGACGACAGGTGTTCTAGCCTTCGGTCAACCTGGAACGACATGATGCTGAACAGGAGGGGGACGAACATGGATGCCATCTCACCAAGTGAGAGAGCCACGGCAAGAGATCCAATAATACACAATAGCGTCCCCCAGACTAACGCTGTTGGCCCGCCATTGAGCAGACCAGCTTGGAAACTGACTGCAACAGCTTCCCATGATGACTGCAACGTGGCTGGGAAAGCTATCGTCGGAATGAAACTGATGTATCGCTGTCGCAGAAGTTCAGATAGGGTTCACCGATATCTCTCTCTCGGGGGACCGGGATGGCGTACATCCAAGACTTGAGTACCACGGGCTCTGTGAGGATAGAATGCAGCATGTTTGGAATTATATTCCTGCTGATCCACCGACTCAATGACTTTGTTATCCTTGTGGCTCATCTCCAGGTCGTTGTGATCCATGTTTAATGCCTTTTTGCCGTTTGAACGAACAGTTTTGGGCAATTGTTTAGAGTTTTCTTGTGCCTGTATCCTGTCGACCGAGAAGCAGATAAGAAGCTTCCTTTCGGGCGGTCGAAATGAAGTTGGGCGTGTGGCTCTTATCAATACCCCTCCACGGGAGATCGCCTAGTGTTTGAGCTTGTGTATTTGCCGACATCAAAAGTACCCCGCTTTGGCTACAAGCGAGGAAACTTCAGGCCTGGACACTGCTTCCGCCCGGGCGGGAGCTGGGTAAGGTAGCTAGCGACCTACAGTAGTTCGTCAGTTAGCGGCAATCTACTCGGTACCCAGTAGGACTAACGCAATGAGATGAGAAGGAAGAGCCGAGGGGTTTGTCGTGAGCGGCCAGTCCAGGCCAGTCGCCGAAATGATTCATTGAATCTGTCTCATTGCAACCTCGGCCATGGCGACAAGATCCTGCAACGGACGAGAGAAGAAGGAAGGCGGACAGGAGGGCTGAGGATTGCTGGGACTCACAGCGGCTCGTTGTTTACTAAGTACCTTGTACAACAGGAGATGCTGCACTCTTGCGGCTTGGTAGCTGTCTGGAACCATGCGACAGACGACCTCATTCCTCGTTGTACGACGCGGACAAGTCTGAATATGATAATGTGGAAATGCCGACTTTTGTCCTCATTACAAGAGCTTCATAACCACTTTGGATGGACTTGCGGTAGAAGAAGTTGTGCCAGGTGCGGAAAAAGCTGCATTGAGGTAACGAGTCGACGTACCACCGTTCCCTGTGGTTGTTGGAGTAGCCAGTACTGTGATCGCCTCAACCGATCGTGTCTTGCACTCCCAGTGCGTGTAGAAGAAGCCACCCCAAGACAGGGAGACTGTCGCACAATACGGCGCGTCAGAGTGACTGCCAAAGTTCCTGTCAGAGCCGTCGGTCTCGCTCAAGAGTGGGCGCCAAGTCACCAGGTTGTGGCTCCAAGTGTGGACGTCAGACTCTGGTGTCCAACTTCCACACATGTCGTCGGTAGGATGGTGCTGGAGCCACTCGTGCATCCAAAAACGCCGGGAAACTGCCATTCAACAACACCAAAGCCCGAGCTGCAGGCGACGGGTGAGTCTGAGGGTAGATCAGTAAGCTGAATAGCCTCGTGGCTGCTTCAAACACTGTAGACAAGTCGTCGGTAGCTTACTGAAATCTCCATCGTGGTACCCACATACAGCCGTCATAGCTTCGACCCGACTGCAAGACGACTTTCTCGGAATGAGAAATCGGGTTGGGTACTGAGCCTGAAGATATATGATCTGATTATCAACAGTCTCAAGGCGCAGGATAATCGTACCGCTAGCCAAGGTGCCCGGTTAGGGCCAACGCCCGGATTCAATATTAGGATGTACCATGGGAAGTTTCTGTGATGGCACTGTCACGCCAGATTCGTCCACGATTGTAAGGCGAGGACGGGCGCCCGACCTACGCCCGATTTCTTCTGGATCACTTTGCCTTTACAAAGATTTCAGCTTCGTTTCGGACCCTCTATCCGATCCAGCATCGCGACCACGCCCTTCCCTACCCACCAGGAAACAGGGCACGCGTGGACGCAGGGCTGTTCGGGTTGTTCTAGCCTGAGGGCTGGAAATGCTCGATACCAAGGATGGAACAAGATATTAACAGGTACTGAGCGTTACACAAGATAAGGAAGAGAGGGAAGTTGCCGTCAGACAAGTATCTATTATCAAGGCCCAACATCCGGCCGACTCTGAATCCGGCCCAATACAAGGCCAAGCCTCACGCCATCCAATGTTGTCTGGCGGAAGCCAACCACAGTCAGTCGACAAGAGCTTTTTCCGCACAAGCCTCCAACATAATGCCCCAGGCAACCTACACAATTCTCCCGTCATACATGTTTTGGGCGAAGTTATTTGCATGCATCTAGCTTCCAGTTTCACGAATTTGCTCAGACACGCTGCCAAAGGCAGCAGTACCAACACCACAGTTGCAGAACCGATGGTGCTAAAACAGCGAACAACTATGGGGTCAGTCCGATCTACCAAGCCTCGCTCATTTGCTATGAATGATCTTCCGGTCATCGCTCTGGTTCGGTCTTCGTGAACTGTCCCGCGGGTTGAAATCGTGGTCGTCAAATTGTCACAGCTGACTTTTCAGCGGGCTGGAGGAAGGGGGGCATGGGGGGCAGGGGTTCTGCTCTAGATATTGCATCCTCCCGCCATGGTTCTTGTAGACCATCGATTTCAAATCCTGCATGGTACTGCAGGTGGGATATGAGCGAATTCAACTCGTGGCCCACGATTAGACGCTCCAGGGAGCCTGGTTTGCCCAACACTTGAATTAACCCATGCCCGACCACGAGGAAGGGGCAAGGCCGCACCACTACGACTGAGCAGCCACCGAGGCGGGATTGGAGCGCGGCCTCCTGTTCAGGAATGTGTAGGTACCGCCAGGTATGGGAAACCAATCTTCATCCGGGCCGTGGTGTGATTGCTCGGCTAACATGACCGTCATCATCTACAGCACAGTGGGCACAAATACTTTTTGAAGAGGGTTGACGCTCAATGGCCAAGTATCTAAGTAATTACTCAGGCCAATGTGCTCAACCGCTCTCTTCTGCTTCAAAAATGCCTTTGGTTTGTCGCTTACATACCATTGTTGGAATCGACGCAGCTTCCGCCTCGCCGTCCACAAGCCCATTACTAGCTCTAGAAGCAGCTTGTAACGTATCAGAGGTGCCGTGTGCTGAGATTCAGAAAACGGTCAATTAAGAGCACCAACCGAGTGCCGCTCACAACGACAGCGAGCCGGCTCTTGCTCTGAGGTAGGACCACGACTTTCAACATCATTCGTCCGGGCATCCCTATCGATCGTTCTGCGAGATGCTCAAGCGATGAGCTTGGCCGGTTCAAGCATTTCAAGCATTTCTTTTCATTGGCTCCACAACCAGCATAGCGGAGAGATGTTCCACGACTAAGCCGCTTAAATGATCCATTCTACCCTGTGGAGGAGTCTCCGGCGGCGCCATCATGGCTAAGGATCATCGATCGGGAGTACAGACAAATGATTCTTGAGGATCTCCTCTGGTGACCGAAGTTGTCTAGCGAGGTAGTATTGAACTGGGGCGAGGCTACTAGCCATGGGCATCAACTCGTACGGCGGTGGGATAGCCTCTTCACAGCACGCACACTCAACCAAAGGAAGTTCTCCCGTTCGTAACTTGATTATTCTATGAATGATAGTCCCCGAGGACTATATAAGAAGAACCTTAGTCTAGCGTCGACGCCCCAGCCAATCATAAAGCTATCCCCCCACTTCAAACTTCTCCCATTACAGTATTTAAATAGCTGGATCTTGTATTGAACTCGAAGAGACCCCTAACCTAGGTCTAGTTATCCGCTATGTGATACCAACGGGTAGGTTGCCCCTTTTGTTGAGACTCCTGCGAACTGGCACAGAAGAGGTGAATGAAACTGTGGACTACGCCGGTCGTTGATCACAGTTGCTTCAATCAACGAAGCCTTCAACGTCGCCGATATTCATAGACACTGGGTACTCGAGAATATGGCGTTTAAGGCACATAGAGTGGAGGTCGACCAGATGCCGGCTTCGCGAGGGGGTGTCAGTCAATTGGCAGTAAACAGTTCAGCTCGGGCAACCTTGACCATGTAAGAGTTCCTTCTCTTTGCTCAGAAAGTGTGGCTACTGAGTTAGGGTCCGTTGCAACTGACTCTAATATTAATATTGTCACCAAGACCTCTATCCTTTTCCGGAAACCAGCCCTGCGACCCACCGTCTAAACTAGTTAGTGACGTTGAAGCTGAATAGAGACAGTCTCCGAGGCCACATAGATTTAGCTAGGTCCAATACACTTTTATACGTCCCATTTCACAGAAGAGCCAATATTCACGGTGTCTTGATTCCGCTCAGCTTCTTCAGAATGGCTCTCAATCGTTGTTTGTCTGTTGACCGTCCGGTTCACATAATTCAGTGTTTTCCGGGCACGAATGATCCGATCAGTCAAAGAGATGATGCTGAAGCCTCTCCCCGGTGCTGCATAATCGAGTTTTGTTAGCTCTGGCGAGATATTTGGGCAGAGCCTGTCCCAGACATCCTACCTGTGCGGCCCGGACGAGGATTGTGGCTGTCTTTGGCCCTCCTTAGCTGAACTGCACGATATGTGCGCACCCAGCCGGTCTCGACCTTTAAAGATATCGGCCTTGTGACCTGCAACGTGACTGGTAATGAGGCAAGATGCTCTTTATGTATTTACCTACCCTCCAGGTCGTTACAATACGGCCGGGGGCCAAAGTCATCCCCTTAACGAGGAACGCAGTCTGCTCCAACATTGCCCATGACGCATATCTGAATATGTCCACGTTCAACGGCCCTGGGTTTACATGGCAGAAATAAAACGACGGAAGGCGTGTACGAAGAAAGTAAAGAGATAGTCAGAACCAACACAAGGCTCTATTGAGTCTCGTTCTCTTGCCTCCAGCTTCGCCCCGACATTAACATTGACATAGTCAGAGACCGCAGAAGACGCCGCGCCCAGAAAAGGAACTCCTTTGCCAGCAGTAGAGGAGACCCAAGTGCTCTAGTAAACTCCGCAGTGCTATGCCCAAAAGGTGTGTATAATTACTTGCCTCTGCCTTCTTCGCAATTGCTTCTTTGCCAAGAAACATGCCGATGATGAGGCCTCCCTGTTCTAGATTTCTTCTTCCTTCCATGTCTAGGGCATAGACGCCACCCATTCGTGGACAAGGTGATAGTCTCTTCCACATGTAATCATCAGAAACATTTTGGTTCTCGCGGCCGCGACCAAGATTTTCCTAACACAGAGCGGGGACCGAATTGTCACCGGACAGAGAAGCAGCTAGAGCGATGAAACCGACCCAATCGCCACCAAATCTTCACTATGCCATCATAGCTTCGGAGTCACTGATCGCTCCGTCGGGAAGGCCTCCTTGTTCTTGCTGAGCCATTGCTTGGGCGGAGA